ATTAATAAATCAATTTCAAATATCCTGAGCTTGCTTCTCTCGGTTCCGCGTCGATTGTGTCCACAGAACAGCAACCTGTCAATAGCCGGAGAAATCATGGGTTTATGTGAAATTTCAGATATTCCTCGCTTCCCAAACTAGTGAACTGGACTTTATGATAACTCCAGCAAATACCTCCAAAATTCAGTGGTCGGCATCTGTCGATACTCTTCTTTGACTCGTTGCAGCGAACTAAACTCGAAAACTAAAGCCATGTTTCGTGCTTAATGTCCCGTTGAAACTTTGGATTGCAGCTGCATTCTCTTCAAGAATCAGTCATAGAACTCCACTTTTAAGTCTATGTGTCGAAGTTTGGCGTTTTGGAATTTAAAGCTGAACGATTGCACTATCGCGCATAACAGAGGTCCGCATTAATCATTGCGGGTGAACCCGCTGACCCTTTATTTTTTTTTGGAAGGCCTGCAAGTGTAGTAGGCATGCAAGTGCTTTTTCGAAACCAGAGAGGCTTCAGTCTGTAGCGAGTCTTCAGCGAGGTTGTTAAAGCTTTCATTGGACAGAGGATACGCATTGACGAAACACCCAGTGAAGGGAACAACAGCTGCAGTAAGAATAGTAGACGAATAAAAGAACACTCTCTGTATAAATAAGATTGAGCATTTTAGTAGCTTCCACAACTTCGAATGTGGAGATATCGGTCTGAGAGTTTGGAAATGTTATGGCATCGGTAAAGGGAAGTACATTCCATATGACGTAATTTATATCAAGCACCAAGGTCAAACGTCCCTTCAAACCATAGAATCTCAAGGGTTTTATGATCCTCCTGAAAAAAATTGTGGTCAAGCGTCGTTCAAAGGGCAGCAAGGAAACAGAGAGTACAACGCCATTGTTTGAATGCTCTGTGTTTGGATGTGTTGAAGTGTTCGAAACCTTTTCGCAGCTGGAGCTGCACCTGGACGTTGGAAAGCATACAGTCAGCAGGTTAAAGCCAGTATGATGCAATCAAAAGGGACTGGGCCCTTAAGTTCTCGTCGATAGATACCGCTGGTATCGAGTGTTCGAGCTGTTCGTTAGATTCTAGTACACCACTCACTTCTCCCGTGGATACTTCGCCCCACTCGTCTTTACGAACAGGATGGGCCGTAAGCAAACCAAGGGGCAGCGTTAGATTTTCAGAGAAGGTAAAAGAATACCTAAAGGCACGTTTTACACTTGGCGAAAGAACTGGGCGAAAGGCCGACCCCGCCCAAGTTGCAGTGGACATGCGAAATGCGAAAAATGAATCAAATGCACGTTCTTTCACTAGAGAACAGTGGCTGACAAAGAACCAAGTTCAGAGCTTTTTCTCCTGGCTAGCAGCAATGCGGCAAAAAGATCAGGGTGTGATCGGGACATCACTGGATGAGGAGGAAGATATCCAATGCGTCCAGGAAAATTCCGAGAGATAAGATCTGGTAGACAAAGTTAACAAAGAGATCAAAGTCTCACATTTAATCTGCTACGATACGTTGACCTCTGTGAACGTTACCACAATAACACACTTCAGAAATTCAATGTGGTTTTGTTGAGAGCCATCTGTAGTCATTTTGAGATCCCTGTAAAATTGAGAGACAAAAAACAGATCCTCATAGACAAACTGCTGGACGTGATTAGTGATTGTCAGTGTGTTTCTCAGTAGACTTATGTAAACAATGTCTTATACGGTCGCTGAAAGTGTAGAATATGCTCTACAGATACAAACTACCTTTACTTCCGATATCAAGTTCTGACGGCGTTGTTAAAGTGTAATATATTATAATATCTAGTACTCAGTGAAATGTTTTGATAAAATCTATTGAAAATTTACCAAAAGCAACACTTATAACATCTGTTCATACGGAGCATGTGTCAAGTTTTTAACACGTTGGTAGCCGATTTCTCCGGCTATTGACAGGTTGCTGTTCTGTGGACACAATCGACGCGGAACCGAGAGAAGCAAGCTCAGGATATTTGAAATTGATTTATTAATTATATGATATCAAACTCCAGGTAAAAGCATTTATTCTTTTCATCCAAAATTTTTCTGCCCAAATATTGCTTTGGGATACAAAACAAAACCATATGGCACAACGTACGGCACAAGCTATCAGCGGTCTTCTCTTTTGTGCGGACCTTTGTGAGAACAGTATAACATCGAACTGGATCTAAATTAAAGCGATTATTTCTTCTCTTCAGAAGCCTAAAACCTTCATTTCTCCCTCAGCTTCCAGACATGGAGAGTTTATATTCTGATTTTGGAAAAAATTCAGCTCTGCAGCGATGTTAAGTGGGTGATTCACCGCGAAATGTGGCCAATTCCGGCATTTGTTTTGATACCACGAATCACGATGGATGCCACCTACTTTTCGAAGGCAATACCTAGCTATTTGTTGAAGTTATCATGGATTTCACCAATTTGGTTATTAGAAAAATTCTGAAGTGAGCCATGAAGCCGGGCTGCAAAGCGGGTAAGCTGTATTTATGAGGAAATCTGCTCCAGTGGTTCGATTTTGGTGTAGGCGAAAAAATCGCGAATGCTCGTACATGTGCTGATTTAAACGGTCATAACTTTTGAAAAATCGAAAACGTACAGGGGTTTTTGCATATTTTTGCCTATAAAGGTCTAAACTTAACGGCTGTGTAGGATAGAATCGTCAACTAGGTCCCAAATCTCAAAACTTAGCGTCTAAATCAAGGTTATTTACGGCTATCGGCCGATGGCGATTTCTAGTGGTCAGAATATGCTAAAATTCGCCTTTTCAGATATGTTGAGAGGGCAAATTCTAACTTTCATGGAAAACTAGAAAGGTTTTTAAGCAATCTGATATAAATTCTGTGGCTTAACTATGCGAATCAAATATTTTACAACGTTACAAAATATGCCTATTTTTCAATTTTCGAGACGTTGCGACGGTCCCTACGGACTGGGAAATAATTATGGCCCGTAATGCAGTCAGAAAATTATTTCGAATCAAACCAAATCTAATTTAGTTCTTTCCTAGGTAAAGTCTTTCTGTTAACAGAGTTTCTGGCAAAATTATTTTTGACGCAAAATTGACCGGGTGGAAATAAGAGAGACAGCCTCTTAAAAAGTTGAGCAATTTTCCAAACGCTTTGACTGGAACGAAATTTTTGCTGCTATATTAGCGAACGGAGGCATCGGGAAAGGCATCAAGAAGAACGATATTTACGATATGTAACTTATTGTATGACGAAAAAAAAGTATCTTGCCTTGTTTGAGGCGTTAATCACAGTTGGCTTGCTTTTCACTTGAATTTTGCAATATCGACTTTCGATTCCGGAAAAATGAAAAGCTAAGCAACTCTACAAAAATTTTGTTCGCGATTTTTATATTTTTAGAGTCATTAAAAAGTTTGTATCCACAGCCTAAGATAAGAAATTTAATATTTCCATCAGCTGTAGTTCTTTCAGTGTTTATTATGTAAATTCAATCGCCCCATTTCACGTGGAAAAAGGCAAGTAAGAAAACACTGAGCTTCGAGAAACAGCCAAGTTAAGGCTAATGTGTTAACCATGCTTAAATATTTATAATCAAGGCCACTCGTTTAGGAGACCTTTGTTTAGGAACCGAACGGCAGGTGAAATTTTAACAAGTTTAATGATGCTTTTTACCACTGTACAAAATTCTACTAATACAATAACTACTAATAAAAACCACAACAATATTAATAACTAACAATAACTATGTAATATTCATTATATCTTAATTACCATATAAAAGTACAATAGGGAAAGGAAAGCAATATGGGGGAAACTGAATTCCCATATAAAAACTGCTCTCCAAGGCTAATATAAATAACTACACGTTGTATAAGAAAGAAGCTGGAGAAACAACTGAACAATGAACAAAAAGTAAAATCTGAATAAATCTCATTTCAAGATAACAAAACAAAACTATGTACAGGGATAATTCAGTAATCGAGATCTGAAGGAATTCAAACTGGAAGCTGACATAGCAAAATTAGGTAAAGAGTTCCAATAAGTTAAATAAGAAATGTTGTGTAGGCGTCTCAGCGAAAGGTATATCCAGACGACTTGCATGGAAAAACTGGCCTCAGCTATCGCAACTAATTTTTTAAAATAGTGTTTAAAACTAAACTGGTGAGCAACACTCTGCGAACAGTAGTTGTAAAACTGCTTTATTCTCCGACGCGTTTCGTCTAACTGTCGAAAACTTTTTCGGGGAGTTTTACAAGTAACACTAAACGCCTGTATTTATAAGCCATAGTTAGCGGCTATACGGGGGCCAATGACCATAAAGGCTTGGCCAGACCTACCAACAGGAACAGGAGAAGTTGCGAAAAATTTAAACATTTTTTGGGGCAAGGTGGGAGAATTATTTGGGGGCCACGGTTTTGGTTTTCTTTTTTCGCCACGCACGTTACGCTGTAAGTTACAAAACGTAAATATGATTCTTCTTGATGCCCTTCCGGATGCCACCGATACCCTTTCCAATGCCTCCATTGTTTATTACAGCAGTAAAAGATATTTGTGCAATCAACACTTTTGAAAAATTGCTTAACATTTTATTTAGCGAAGTTTCCTGTCGAAATTTCGGCTTTACAACACCATTTTCACCATTTTTACAATTGATGTCTCTATATGAAGTATTAACGTTGTTTCCCCACTGACCATTCGTATTTCGATCATTTCTTCTTCCCCCGCTCGTCGCCCGTGATGTAATAATTCCCAATGCTGAATGATAGAAGGGATTGATGGGGGGAGGTCTGGGACGGGAGAAGGGGTACATAGAACCTTTCTTTCTTGCAATTATTGCACTTAAAGAAATGTAACAGTTCACGTAGCATCAATGTATCCATCTTGTGCGCGGGTGAGAATCAAAGAACCTATTTGGTGCCTTTTTCTGGTGCCTTCTCCATTACTGGGGGCTATTCGAATTTCTTTTTCACACTCCTTTGTGGCCCAGCGATCAACAGCTTTGAACAGTTCCACCTCCTTTACATTTAATACTTCTCTCTCTTGACAACACATTCAACAACAGAAACAAATTCGTCTGACGTCGCAGCTTCTTCGGTCCGCCGTTCAATCACCTCCCAGCATCGATCTTCTAAAGATTTACCGCCAAATTTCTGAGCATGTGTCAGGATACAAAACACGTTGGATGCTGTCAAGTTGTCGCAAAGATATTCTGTGCAATTGTCAAAGAGTGAAGGCACCATGTATTTATTCGCCAAGTACAACACTTGCATCACATTACTTTCGCTTAAATTCACTTTGTCGCTGTACAAGAAACGGAACAACTCCAACAGACTCTCGTACTCACAGTCAGGCAGGTCAATAGAGTCTTTAGTCTCCGCCATTTGACCATAGAACATGGCAAAGAACACAGGACTACTGATGGCAAGAACAAACTTGTGAGCTGGGATCACTTTCTTACTGTCACTTTCAGAAGTCGACACCGGAACGACAAATTTCACATCGCTCAGTAACTCATTGTTGAAAATAGAGGTGGTTCAAGAGTTAGAAGTTTCGTTTGCCAGATTTCTTCCATACGCATCTCTTTGGTCTGCTCTCAGTATCTTTGAGGGTCTTATTTCACACAATGTGAGGCAACAGTTCAAAGACGACAATGTTTTTCTCTCCGGTCAAAGAGAAAGAGATAACTGCAAAGGCGTTTGAAATGTTATGATGCAATTGATATTCTACAACAGGTAACCGCTCTAAGCAGCTGGAAAATTTAAATAACGAAGATTAATTTTATTAATTTTGTCTCTTCTTACAACTGAACAATGTCTGACTCGTCGGAAAAATTTAACACTGTCCTCGATAACCTTTCTTTTCTTTCAGTTCATCGCTCTTACAGCTTCAAAAGGCAAGTAATATTTCTGCACGGTTTTCTCTTATTTTCTGGTAAGATGGTTTATGAATATCTTCAACCCTTAGCACAAGCGCTGGGAACAAAAATTGAATAAATCCATATCTTATTTCAAGAGAGAAGTGATGTCACCAGACAGTTGCATCAGATGATGAGTCACATATGTCTCACAAAACTTCAATTCTCAGAATTTTCTCGGTGATTATCAGCCTAGTTTCCAAATAACTAGCGAGAGACATTGCTCATCGACAATCACGTCTTGCAGAGTGAATCAAGAAGAGTCATCTTTGTGTGTCTCGTGTCAGTGCAAAATAATGCAAAAAGTGCTAACAGCAGCTTTTTGTATTTTTGGAATGAACGGGAAAGCCCAAGGAAGACTGCGTCTTCGAAGTCCAAAGAGGGTTTTCTTTCGCTTTGTCAGATGATGGACAGGTCAAGAGGAATGGGATTTTTCGCTTCGGTGCCTTCAAATTGAGGGAAACCCCCGTTTTTGTCTCTCTTCGCTTTTTCATTTTTAACTTAAAGCAGAAGATCGTCGCTTCCTTTGCCATCAGCATATAACAGAACAGTTCAGCTAGCCAATGAGCTCGATAGGATTCGTGGGTCTATTTGATCTAAATCTTATACTGACTAAAGAAAGGGGAGTTTCTGAAGCTGACGACGTTTCAAGCATTGACCCTTCTTTAAAGTGAGACGAAGGGCTAACGCTCTAAACGTAAGCTTTACAAACTTTTTCCGGTGGCCGATTTACATTATCAACTCAGTTGATAAAACCAATAGATCTGATAACGTGGGCTCGCTATCGTCTCAATTTCTTTTGTCTCAATCAAAATGCTTTGTTCTAACTTGTCCGCGCTGAGTTTACGACAAAAATTTGTCACGTATAATATTTATTAGCCAGAGTTTGGAAGCCTACTAGTACTGTTTTTGTTGAAAATTCCTTTCGAGCCTTGAATGGTATGTTTTTCAATTCGACTTCTTACATTTACAAGAAAGTAAAAGAGAGCATACGAAATATTTAATTCCATTGCTTAAAACAACATTTAGCTACCAAATTATCATTCATTCTATAAACAACAGGGTTCTCTAACTGACTTATAAGGATCACATCTAACAAGTGTTTTGGGTCAACTCTGATAGGTCCGCATAGCGATCTAATTTGTAGTTTTATATCTGCTGTGTTTGTCAAAGGATTCACATGTGTATACCTGGACATCCGCGATGACTGATATTCTTTTTACAGTTCCCGGCGCCATATTGAATTAGTAACCGTGCACACACGATAATGAGGCTGGGGTTGACCCGGCGGTTCTTTCAAACAGCTGATCTGCTGACATTTCACGATCTAATGCACTTTTCAGTGCGATTTCTCCCTTCAAAATAGTTCTTTAACACAACAATATGAAAATTTCGTCATTAGATGACATCCAGAAACTCGAAGCAAGAGATCTCAGGGAGATTTTAAATATAAATTAAAATCGACGGGCTGAATTAGAGCCGACTTAGTGTTGAAAGTTTATGCTTTGCTGATGTGACACGTCCTTCCATCGAGTAGTGGAGAAAACCGAGAACTTCTTACAGATGTCCAGGACCTAGAACAAAACCAGAGCGACTTCAGATACGAAGTAACTATGGTAAGGATTTCAGCCCTTGGATGGGCGAGCAATCTCCGTAATTTACCCGAGATGAATTTCAGTCAGCTTTACGATTACCCCGTTGTTTCACTAGAATATCGTCACATCGTGTTGAGAGGAACGCATCACAGGAAGTACCACAGAAGCTGTTCAGTATGGCTTAGAAAGCGAGACAAAGGCTGCAGCCCTCTAGGTAGAGGAGATTTGTTATTGCTGCTGTTGTTGATGTGGTAGTTGTTGTTGTACCATATTTTTCAGTTAAAGTTGTTCCCATTTTGTTCACCAAGATGTCTTTTAGTTTGCCATTTGTACATTTTATCCTATGGGAAACTATACAATAGAGCCTGTAGAACCACTTGATTATAACCCTTGTTTCTATCAACCCATGAGGAAAACTGTAACCAACAGATGTCATAATATTTTCATACCCATCTGGCCCAGGACAACTTATGCTCGTGATACATTGAAAACCATTTCAGTTCGCAACTCATGGTAATTTATTAGGTGGCAACACACCATTGAAAGAATCAGACCAAAATATTTGACAATTTAAAAACTCACAGAAGTGACTGATTCATGTAACTTCTCCAAACACTATACAGCAAACAGATAAAGTTATCAGGCAAAAGTTATGATCCTACATCAAATTCTCATAACTTATTTACAAGCATATGTGTAGCATCTAGAAGGGAGACTTAACAATCAGATCTTGGATATTTCAGGGTTAAAGGAAGAGAACAGAAATGCTTCCTCTCAGCTACTGATCTCAACAATGCTAGTCCTTTACACACATTTAAGTTTCTGACAGTGATAAACATTCAGTGAATTGATATTCCCATTCTTAGCACTCAGAGGCCTTCTGACACAAAGGTTTGCTATACTAGTTCTTACTGCATTGTGTTAACCAATGTTATGATATAATTTTGAGATGTAAAGAAGATACTTAAAAGATTGAGAAATATATCCAAATCAAGATATTTATTTTATCCTGTTATAGTTACCATAAGATTTGTTTGAAAGAGAATCTTTCAGACCATTGAAATGTATGAGAAATTATATTTTGCAAGACTTCTATCAAACTTTTTATTATGAGGACAATTTTGTGAATAATAAAATTTAGTGTCATAGTTCATCTTTGTGTCAAGAACTCTTTTAGTTGGAGAAACTCACTTTTTCTTTTTTTCAATTTGAAGCATCAAATTGATTGATACAGCACATAAAATATTTTTTGAGAGTTCCACATGGCATCCATAGTGGATTACTATCCTATCATAAAAAACAAAAACAACAACTATTGAAAACTGCTTTTGTCACAATTGCTACCAAATTTGAGTCATCTTTCTGGGTCTGCCATAATAAGTGAAAACTCTGAAGATACAGTGTCTTGGTTATTTTATTAAAAGCAATTACTTTCCTAGAGTTTCTCTGCTAGGAGTGTTTTAGGCAAGCCATGTAGTAAACAGGTGAGCAGCACTGAACTTCTTGACTTGCTGCCAGAATAAAAAAAACTCTACTGAACTTAAAACAATTCAGGTACCTACCAGAAAATTTGTACTAATTTTGCAACAATAGTTACCCTCATCCATAATTCACAGAGAATAAGATAAGTATAGAGCGATAAATACTTAGCAAAAATACATGCCTCCGTGCATAAACTTGAAGAAGTGAAAGCTCGTAGGCAAACCATTGGGGCCATAAAATGTATTTGAACAACCAAAAGCGGCACACAGCTTTCCTTTCTTTTTGGAAGAAAAATTAGCTTTATCGAGATTTCGGCTAGGACCATCCATTTTCCTTAAAAATCGAACAATTTTACTGCTCACGTACGAATTTCACCAAAAGCTCTCACAGAAATTTAACATGAGTCAACCCCAGCCTCGTTCTCACGTGTGCGCGGTTGCATTTCCAATATGGCGCTTGGAACTGTAAAAAGGTCTATTGATCCAATACTACATGACCTATTAGACTTTCACGGGGCCTACGTAAAAGGGACGGTTTGGTTAACGTTAGAATTTTTACTCGGCTACTGAAAACAAAATTCCCGGAAACTGTCCTATCTTTTCACTAGTCCCATTAGAGTAATTCTCCGAGCTACGAAATGTAAATTGCACTCCCTGGCACTCCACTGATGCTTGCCCGTCTTGGCCGTACCACGATTTAGGGCCCTTGATGAGCGACTTTACTATGTATTCTTTATATGCCTTCAAAATAACCGGACGATCGAACAACACATCAAAGCCATAATAAGCATCGGCATCGCTTTTTTCTGAAGCATAATTTCCTGCTCGACTCACAAGCGAAGTGTTGTCCACGAGATCAACAATGTCTGTTGTAACTGTATACTCGCCGCCTTCTGAGCCAAAATGCTGAACTCCGTAAATTTTAACACGCTTCCTGACAGTGAGAATGATAGAGTCAGGAGTCTCATCGTACTTCCAGTAAACCCTTGGGGAACAAAACGTTTTAAACCTGCAGCATCGGTGCACAGTGGAATCAATTCTACTGGCCTTTAAGAATGGCAAAGGAGTATTTATCAGACCGTTGTAGTATTTTGTCATGTTTCCAAACTCTTCATAATTTAAGATTCGCGAATCAAATACAACAGATGCAAAATCCTTCTGTGATATCAACGGAAAGCGTATTCCTTTCACAATTTCTTCTCCAAGAATTCGTCTCTTTGTCTCTCCATCGGAAGTCACACCTTGCCTTGCACATTCTTTTGTGGCCCAGCGATTAACAGCTTTGAACAGTTCCACTTCTGTCACATTCAACACTTCTCTCTTCACAACAGATTCGACAACAGATCGCTCAACTGTTACAAATTCATCTGACGTCATCGCTTCTACGGTCTGCTCCTCAATTACTTTCCAGCATCGATCTTCTAAGTCTTTATCTTCAAATTTCTGTGCGTGTGGCAGAATACAAAACACGTTCGATGCTATCAGGTTGCTTCGCAGATATTCTTTGCATTTCTTGACAAGCGAGGGCACCAGATATTTGTTCGCTAAGTACAGCACTTGCATCACATTACTTCCGCTTAAATTCACTTTGTCGGTGTACAAGAAACGAAACAACTCCAACAGACTCTCATAATCACAGTCAGGCAGTTCAATAGAGTCTTGAGTCTCCGCTATTCGACCATAGAACATGGCGAAGAACACAGGACTACTGATTGCGAGCACAAACTTGTGAGCTGGGATCACCTTCTTACTTTCACTTTCACCAGTCGACACAGGAACAACAAACTTTACATCGCTCAATATCTCGTTGTTGAAAATGAAGGCAGTTCTTTCGACGAGAGTTGGAAGTTCCGTCTGCCAATTATCTTCAGCAGCCATTGCCAGGTTTTGCTCTCAGTTCTCTTCACAAATTAAACTCTATTAAATACTATAAACCTTTGACGTCAAGGGAATCAGTTGACGCGACACAGTTGTTCCTCGAGTAACGCAAAGGAATAAATTCCTCGTTTCCAAGCTCTTTGAGCCTTTGCTCACGAAGTTACGATGACCAAACGGTTTCATTTAATCTGATATATTCCAATAGTTTGACTAATATTGTTTTTTGATCAATCTGAAAATTCTACCGAAATAAAAAATACAGCAGAATGACTGACTCATAACGTGTCTACCATCTTTTTGCACACGCTGAATGATAGAGAGGATTGCGGAGAGGGTCTGGGACGAGGAAAGGGGTACATAGAACCTTTTTCAATTCAAATCTTAATATTTCTGCCTTTAAAGAAATTTAACGGTTCACGTTAGTATCAATGCATCCATCTTGTGCGCGGGTGAGAATCGAAGAACCTATTTGGTGCCTTTTAAGACATAAGATCGTAACAAAAATTTAAAAGGAAATGAACAGGTAAAGTGCGTCGTTACAGTGGAACCTCGATGTAACGAAGTGCCAAGGGACTAGGGAAACTGTTTCGTTATGTCGACGGTTCGCTACATCGAAAACCTCGATTTAACGAATTTGCGGAAAAACAACCAAAATGTTCGTGACATCGGGAAATGGTTGATAGATTTTTTTTCTGGTGTAAGGCAGTTGAATAGAGTCTTTAGTCTCCGCCATTTGACCATAGAACGTGGCAAAGAACACCGGACTTTTGATTGCAAGAACAAACTTTTAGGCTGGGATCACTTTTTTACTTTTACTTTCAGTAGACGACACTAGAACGACAAATTTAATATCGCTCAGTGAATCATTCTTGAAAATAGAAGTGGTTCTATCAACAAGAGTTGGAGGTTTCGTTTGCCAGATTTCTGCAATAGGCATCTCTTTGGTCTGCTCCCAGTATCTTTAAGGGTCTTATCTCACACAACGTGACAACAATTTGAGGCAACAGTTCAAAGACAACTATTTTTTTCTCTCCGATCAAAGAGAAAGAGAAAACTGCAAAGTCATGTTTAATGTAGTAAAGATGCGGTTGATATCCTTCAACAAGTAACCGCCCCTAACAACTGGCAATTTGTATTCTGAAGATTTGTTTTGTTAATTTTGTCTTTTCCTACAACTCAACAATGTCTGACCCGTCTGGACAATTTAACGCTGTCTTCAATAACCTTTCTTTTCTTTCAGTCCATCGCTCTTACAACTTCAAAAGGCAAGCAATATTTCTGCACGGTTTTCTTTTCTTTTCTAATATGGTGGTTTATGAATACCTCCAACCCTATGCACAAGCGCAGGGAACAAAACTTGAATCATCCTACATATCTCATTTCAATAGAGAAGGGATGTCACCGGACAGTTCATCGGCAATGAGTCATACACGTTACACAAAACTTAAATTCTCAGAATTTTCTTGATGATTATCAATCTAGTTTCCAAATAACTAGCGAAAGATATTGCTCATCGACAGTCATATCCTACAGAGTGAAATGACAAGAGTCATCTTTGTGCATCTCGCGTCACCCCAAAATGGTGCAAAAAGTGCTGACAGCAGCTTTTTGTAATTTTGGAATGAATGGGAAATTCCCAAGGAAGACTCCATCTTAAAAGTCCAAAGAGGTCTTCATTTCGCTTTGTCAGATAATGAAGAGGTCAAGAGGGATAGGATTTCTCCCTTCCGTGTCTTCAAATTGAGGAAAACCCCCGTTTTTGTCTCTTCTCGGTGTGTAAACTTTAATGTAAAGCAAATTAATTTAACTCATGCTACCGCTAAATGAATATGATAACAGGCTCACACAGATCACGAAACACATCATGAGCATTCATAGCTTAAACGTTTGGTACTTCGATGACGATCTCAACGGCTTCTCTTGGGTAAACTGGATCAAAAATTGGAAAATTCGAAATTGACAAACTATTCAGGAGGCAAAATCCAACTGAATTAGCATGACGTATGGCATGTTGATCATTTCACAAAAAGAGAGTTTTGCGCATTATTTTCTTCTTTCAGCTCTTTTTCGCCATCTTGCTACAACAATTCACATAGAGAATTCGCAATTCACATAGACCTGTAGACAATTCTCATAGAAAAGATTTTTGTTAGAAAGCTGAAGATGGGTGGGCAACTTCACTTTCTGGTGGAAAGGGTGTCGAGTTTTGAGAGGGAAAGAATAGTTGAAAATTCGGGAAAAGTGAACCCACGGTCACGATTATTGATAGCAAATGATAGCAGTCAGATAACGTATAGGTGTGATTTTACAGGCTATCAGCCCTCAAAGTGACTTGATTTTTATCACATGTTTAAAACAGAAGAAAAAAACAAAGAAAAGCGCAATTTCCAAAGTTGTAGTTTATATGACGTGCGATAATTGATGAAAACGTTTTACAATTTTCCCCAGCGTTATTAAATCTTGCGCGTGGATTCTTGATATTCGAGAGAATTTCATTTTTAGCCGCCTTGTTTTTATTCTTTTGTGCCTTTCCTTTTTCTATGTTCATGCTATAAATTAATACAGCTAATTTTTGCCCCATATACATCAATTCGAAAGCCATTGAACATAGCTTAAACCAGGCGTTCAATAAATAAAACGGTGCGCGATACTAGACAGCGACATAGTAAAGGAAGAGTTAAAACACGAGCGAGGCTTGGGTCGGGCGCCGTTATGACCCAAGCCTCCCTCGCCTTTTCACTCCTCCGCTACTGGCTCAACGTTTGCTATTTCGCCATTTTTTTTTTCTGACTGATCACAGGTTTCTGTGAACAGTAATAGGCTTTAAACCCTCATCAATCGCTTAAGTTTCGCTGTAATTTACTAGGAGGGGGCGGGGGGAGTCTCCACCTAATTTCCACCTATGCTTATAGCTTCGACTAAACATGAAAGCTGGAAATTGGGGTTGACTGCTACTCTCCACTGAGGGCATGAAATCAACCTTTGCTCCTCTGGATTTAAGAGACATTTCTCCCTACCAAGATTGGCTTGTTGGTTGTAAATTAAATACTGTCAGCTCTACTTGACTAAGACCAAATGGCTTTCTTTTTATTTTTTTTGTCTAATTATTTTCTCTCCTCGATTTCGTTTGACTCGAATCGGGTCACTCTAGAAAAGAGGGATTGAGCTCACAATTTAAAAATCGTTGTTCGGGACAAACAAATTTCTTTCTATGAGAGTTGGGGGATTTGTCTGCCATTTTTCTCTAGTAGTCATCGCCATGGTGTGGTCTAAGTTTTATTCAAATTCTTCATTTGACGAAGTGGATGAAACACATCCTCATCGAGTCCAAAATTTGTGCCGTAGGTTGATAGAACGTTGGTATCGATCTGAATGCGGTACTACTCTGAGTTTTGGACACTAACGATCTTGGCGTGGCTAATTGACACATACGACCTCGATCTAATTTTGAATTGCAATGTGAAAACCACTTGTGTGAATTCATGTCACTCATCATTGGTATGAGAAAAAAAAGCTTGACCAGTTTAAACTAGACGAAATATTGTTAGACGATTTCTCTAACACTCGGTTGAATTCTTTTATTTTCTGGCTTGAACTCCTAGTAAAATTTTCTTCTTTCGGGGACTAGTCCAGTCTTGACCTTACTGAATGGGCTGTGTTCGTTTCTGTTGACATAACATTTTATTCCTTCGCATTATCCTACCTTCTAGATTTCTCATTTCTCCACCATAGTTGCCGACGTATCTTCACAGTTTTCTACGTGACAACGATGAAACATGATCGTTTTGGCCGCACTCTTATTGGAGACACTTTTTGGCCGCCAAATCGTAGTTTCAATACGCAAAAAATGGTCAAATTGCTAACGGTAAGAAAATTGGCCATTTTACGACTAACAGTTAACCGCAAATAATGACATACTGGAGATAGGAAAAATTTTTACGGTTAACTTATTAACGACAAACACTTAAAACATATCTCTTTTTACCACTATTGGCTGAGTTTTTAGGCCGTTTTACGGCTAACGGTTGACCCCACTGAGACCCTCACATAAGCCTGAAAATAATGAGTAGTGACGGAGAATTGTGGGCTTAAACGTTCAGACTGTGATGTGAATAAAAGGTGGGTGAGGAGAACATCACAGTGAAATGCCTGAAATGCGCCCGGTTTCATTGCAGCTCCCGTCTTACTCTTCATCAGTGCTTGCTAATTTTCAACCAGTACACACCTCTTGTGATTTTTGGGTCCGAAAACTGACTAGATGCTGACAACACATCCTTCTGTTACTAATTAACCCCTTCACTCCCAAGATCTCGATATCAGTTTTTCTTCCCCGTTAGCGATACCAGTTTCTTTAAATTTCGCCCAAAATAATGAAAAGTAAATTGCACTCCACGGCACTCCACTGATGTTTGCCCATCTCCGCCGTACCATGACGGAGGGCCCGTGATGAGCGACTTTACCTCGTATTCTTTATTTGCCTCCAAAATAACAGGATGATCGAACAACACTTCAAAGCCGTAATAAGCATGGGTATCGCTTTTTTCTGAAGTATAATTTCCAGCTCGACTCACAAGCGAAGTGTGGTTCATGAGATCAACAATGTCTGTCTTAACTGTATACTCGCCGCCTTCAGAACCAAAATGTTCTACTCCGTGTAACTCGATAGGCTTGTTGACGGAGAGAAGAATACAGTCAAGGCTGATGCCACTGTAACACCAGCCTTTGGCGAACTCGTTAAACCTCTGACATCGTTGCTTGTAGGAAATACCTCTTCGGGTTTGTACGAACGGTAAAGGATTATTCAAAACAGTGGGGGTGGCTGGAAAACTTTGGTTGAGTCAAAATAAAATTAATTTGATCCCCACCCCCACCCCCTCCCCCCGTAAAGCTCTGCATTATTCTGATGATACCCCTTATTGGCATCCAATTTTATATAGTCCCCTCTTTATACTCTATTGGCGACGACAGATCCCCCTCCATTCTCCCAGAAAATCTTGTGATCCTCTAAATCCTGCAACCCCTTCCCCCCCTCCCCCCGTAAAGCTCTGTATTATTCTGATAATACCCCTTATTGGCAGTCAATTCTCTATAGTTCTCTATAGTCCCCCCTCCAATTTATACCCCCCCCCCCCCCCCCCCCCCCCCTTCCCTCCCCAAGGCGAGAATACTGACTGGTCTCAAAGTAAAGCTTTTATTTACCGGGGGATTCTCCATCTAATTTCTGGCTGACGATACAACAAACTGTTCGAAGGTTTATTTTTATTTCAGAAAATCATTATTGTTTAATGTTACAACTTAAGTAATAGGTGAGACATTCCAAAAGCATTCCAATATTCCGTCGTAGCACTTAATTCACTTCTGAACACTTACAAGGTCGCAAGGAATAAAAGTACGGTACGTATTCAATAATTTTTAACTTCATCAACTATTAGCAGCAAAAACAATCTAAAACTAATTTCCAATTATTTATGCCTGACAAGTACTAAATATGAAAGCTGGAAATTGGCCACTTGTTTCCGAAGTCCCATTGACACTCTCCACTGACTTCATGAAATTGACCAGCACTCCTTTCGATTCAAAAGACGTTACTCCCTCTTCTCCATGCCATGATAAAGGACCCTTGATAAGCGACACAAGCCTATAGCTTTCATGAGCCTCCAAACGAATTGGCGGATCAAACATTACATCGAAGCCATAATAATTATTAGTCTCTTCCTTTATGGAAGAGTATGTTCCTGATTCCTTTCCGAGACAAGAATTGTGGGCTGAAACTTTAACTTTGGTTGAAACAGTATACTTGCCACCGTCTGAGCCAAAATACTGAACACCATGGAGCAAGATTGGCTTGTTTGTTGTGAATTCAATACTGTCAGTTCCACCCGAGTATGACCAAATTCCCCTTTTATGAGCTGGCGGAAAGACCTTTGGAAATCGATTAAATCGGAACAAAAGGCTCCTTGCGGTATCCTTAAATAACAAAGGATATTTTAAAACGCCGCTGTAATGTTTCATCATGTTTCCAACCTCATGAAAAGTGAGAATATCAGAATCAAATACAACTGACATAAAATCCTTCATGAGTATCAATGGAAATCGTATTGCTTTAACAATGTCCTCCCCAAGAACTCGTCTCTTTGTCTTTCCATCAGGAGTAAATCCTTGCCTTTGGACTTCTGCTGTGGCCCAGCGATCGACTGCCTTAAACAGTTCTAGTTCCGTTACGCTCAACTCCTCTCGCTTCACAACAGATTCAACAATAGATCGCTCAACTGTAATAAATCCATCTGAAGTCACAGCTTTTTCTGTCTGCTTTTCAATCACTTCCCAGCATCGATCTTCCAAATCTTTATCTTCATATTTCTGAGCGTGCGGCAGAATGAAAAACACATTTGATGCTTTCAGGTTGTCTCGAAGACATTCTACGCATTTCTCGGCGAGCGAAGACACCATGTATTTGTTCGCCAAGTACAGTACTTGCATCACATCACTTCCGCTTAAATTTACTTTGTCGGTGTACAAGAAACGAAACAACTCCAACAGACTCTCGTAGTCACAGTCAGGCAGTTCAATAGAGTCTTTAGTCTCCGCCATTTGACCATAGAACATGGCAAAGAACACGGGACTACTGATTGCGAGCACAAACTTGTGAGCTGGGATCACCTTCTTACTTTCACTTTCACCAATCGACATAGGAACGACAAACTTCACATCGCTCAATATCTCGCTGTTGAAAATGAACGCAGTTCTTTCGACGAGAGTCGGAAGCTTCGTCTGCCAATTATCTTCAGCTGCCATTGCTAGGTTTTGCCCTCAGTTCTCTTCACAAATCAAACTCTATTGAATACTATCAACCTTTGCCGTCAAGGGTACTGGTTGACGTGTCACATTTGTCCCTCGAGTCACGCAAGAGAGTTAATTCCTCGTTTCCAGGCTGTCCACGTCTCTGCTCATGAAGTTACGATAACCGAACGGTTTCATTTAACCTAATATATTACAAGGGTTTGAATAATATTGCCGTTTGATCAATCTGAAAATTCTATCGAAATAATAAATATAGCAGGTTTACTGACGTATTACGCATCTATCATCTTTTTGCATCCATAATCGGTCCTCAATGCTGAAGAGAGTTACTACATCACGGGCGAGGAGCGGAGGAAGAAAAAAATGATCGAAATACAAATGGTCAGCGGGGAAACAACTTTAATACGTCATATAGAGACATATCAGTTGTAGTTGCAGAAAACAATAGTGTTTGTAAAGCCAAAATGTTAACAGTATACTTCGCTAAATAAAATGTTAAGAAATTCTTCAAAAGTGTTGATTGTACATATATCTTTTACTGCTGTAATAAACAATGGCGGCATCGGAAAAGGCATCAGTGGCATTCGGAAAAGCACCAAGCAGAATCATATTTACGTTTTGTAACTTGCAGAAAACAATCGTGTTGTAAAGCCAAAATGTTACCAAGTTACACTTCGCTGCTTAGAAAGTTGAGCAATTTTCCAAACGCTTTGACTGGAACAAAATTTTTGCTGCTATATTAACGAACGGAGGCATCGGGAAAGGCATCAAGAAGAATGATATTTACGATATGTAACTTATTGTATGACGAAAAAAAGTATCTTGCCTTGTTTGAGGCGTTAATCACAGTTGGTTTGCTTTTCACTTGAATTTTGCAATATCGACTTTCGTTTCCGGAAAAATGTAAAGCTAAGCAACTCTACAAAAATTTTGTTCGCGATTTTTATATTTTTAGAGACATTAAAAAGTTTGTATCCACAGCCTAAGATAAGAAATTTAATATTTCCATTAGCTGTAGTTCTTTCAGTGTTTATTATGTAAATTCAATCGCCCCATTTCACGTGGAAAAAGGCAAGTAGGAAAACACTGAGCTTCGAGAAACAGCCAAGTTAAGGCTAATGTGTTAACCATGCTTAAATATCTATAATCAAGGCTACTCGTTTAGGAGACCTTTGTCCAAAAGATCCAGACGTTAAAATAATTCTGTTTTCCGTTCGAACTGGTTTTTTTTTTTTCCTATTCAATTTAACAAATGCACTTGGAATGAAAACTTAACGTCCGAACCGAACGGCAGGTGAAAGTTTAACAAGTTTAATGATGCTTTTTACCACTGTACAAAATCCTACTAATACAAGTTAATGATGCTTTTTACCACTGTACAAAATCCTACTAATACAATAACTACTAACTTGGGAAGAAAGACGACATGTTGGATTCACCTGATGGCAAGGAACGTAGCTACGATAACAGTACGAATGGTATTAATTTCACGATCAGAAAGGTGAATCTTACGTTTGTTTGCATTGTAGTTGTATGGATATTCTTTTTTAATAAATACGTGATCCAAAACCCTGTGTTTTTTTTCTGTATAATGTTATGTTAAATATTGTTTACACAATTGTCTTGTCACAGGTGGCCCAAGCGTCTCGAGAAAAAGCCAACGATTAATTCATGAACGCGTCACGCGTTGTGTGACTCGGTGTTAAGTTACGAGAGGAACTGCACGTTATAAGGAATAGTGTAGGGAACGAAGTATGGTCGATTTACAACGATACATATTTCGAAATATGAACATTTTTCTCGTAAAATCAATAAAAAATTACTCATACCCTGTGTATCCGTTGTATTTTCTGGCGATTTCTGCCGTTTTAAGCTTGCTTTACCATCGCTGTTATTCACGTTATCTACTTTTATTACGTTATAAAATCTGTACAGACATCACACCAACCAACTCGCGCGCAAAGTAAGAAGACTATATTGAAGGCTTGAAATAATATTGCGATCGATTTTCATTAAGAAATGGGCCAGGAATATTCCACAATAGTGCAAATAATCGTGAAGGCGGATCGTAGAAAAGCGATTGCGTGACGCTCGGTAAGCTACAAGATGACATGTTATTATATACCAGACGTAAAAACTCTTCAGATTATTAGTCTGCATTTTGTACCCACTCTGCAGTCTGCAGTCTATATTTTGTATCCGGTCTGCAATATGCTGTCTGCATTTTGTACTAATAGGTATCTGTGGCACCAATACAGTTTATTTTTGGTTACATTTATTCACATAATCTACCACAAAATACCTGTGAGTGAGGTAATTCGACATTTTCGTTCTTTCCCACATTAATATTCTTCTCTCCTTTTGTAAGAATGTAGACATCACTCACAATGTTTCAAGTAATCCACCCACCCTACAAAAAAGTAACTCTTGCATGCATAGCATGCCTATGTTTTGAAATAGGTGTATGCCACTATTTCAGTATACTCGTCCGACACCCGTAGTATCACTACACTTGATTCCAAGGATCCAGTACCATCCAGGTATCCCAGTTACCTTGCTCACAGGGTCTAGTTCATATCTCATTTCAATAGCGACGTGATGTCACTAGATAGTTGCATCAGCTATGAATCACATATGTCACACGCAACTTCAATTCTCAGAATTTTCTTGGTGATTATCTGTTTAGTTTCTAAATAACTAGCGACAGACATTGCTCATCGACAATCATGTCCTACAGAGTGAAATAACAAGAGTCATCTTTGTGTGACTCGTGTAGGCGCAAAATGGTGCAAAAAATTCTGACGTAACGGTCCGGGTAACGTTAGAATTTCTACTTGGATACTGAAAACAAAATTTCAGGAAACTGTCCGCTGTTTTTATCGGTCCCATTTAAGCCATCCCCCGAGCCACTAAATGTAAATTGCACTCCCTGGCACTCCACTGATGTTTGCCCGCCGTCGCCGTACCACGAGGTAGGGCCCTTGATGAGCGACTTTACTTTGTACTCTTTATCTGCTTTCAAAATAACAGGACGATCGAACAACACATCAAAGCCGTAATAAGCATGGGTACCGCTTTTTTCTGAAGTGTAATTTCCCGTTTGACTCACAAGCGAAGTGTTGTCCACGGGATCAACAATATCTGTTGTAACCGTATAATCGCCGCTCTTGGAGCCAAAATGCTGAACTCCGTAAAGTTTAACAGGCTTCTTGACGGTGAGAATGATACAGTCAGTCATTCCACAGTACCACCAGCGTTCCCCTGGGGAATAAAACATTTGAAACCTGCAGCATCGGTGCACAGTGGATTCAATTCTACTGGCCTTTAAGAACGGCAAAGGAGAATTTATCAGACCGTTGTAGTATTTTGTCATGTTTCCAAACTCTTCATAATTTAAGATTCGCGAATCAAATACAACAGATGCAAAATCTTTCTCTTCCATCAACGGAAAGCGTATTCCTTTCACAATATCTTCTCCAAGAATTCGTCTCTTTGTCTCTCCATCGGAAGTCACACCTTGCCTTTCACATTCTTTTGTGGCCCAGCGATTAACAGCTTTGAACAGTTCCACTTCCCTCACATTCAACGCTTCTCTCTTCACAACAGATTCGACAACAGATCGCTCAACTGTAACAAATTCATCTGACGTCATCGCTTCTTCGGTCTGCTCCTCAATTACTTTCCAGCATCGATCTTCTAAGTCTTTATCTTCAAATTTCTGTGCGTGTGGCAGAATACAAAACACGTTCGATGCTATCAGGTTGTCTCGAAGATATTCTTTGCATTTCTTGACAAGCGAGGGCACCAGATATTTGTTCGCCAAGTACAGCACTTGCATCACATTACTTCCGCTTAAATTCACTTGGTCGGTGTACAAGAAACGAAACAACTCCAACAGACTCTCGTGCTCACAGTCAGGCAGTTCAATAGAGTCTTTAGTCTCCGCTATTCGGCTATAAAACATGGCAAAGAACACAGGACTACTGATTGCGAGCACAAACTTGTGAGCTGGGATCACCTTCTTACTTTCACTTTCATCAGTCGAAACAGGAACGACAAACTTCACATCGCTCAATATCTTGCTGTTAAAAATGAACGCAGTTCTTTCGACGAGAGTTGGAAGCTTCGTCTGCCAATTATCTTCAGCAGCCATTGCTAGGTTTTGTTCTCACTTCTCTTCACAAAGTAAACTCTATTGAATACTATGAACCTTTCACGTCAAGGGAATCAGTTGACGTGACAAAGGTGTTCCTCGAGTGACGCAAAGGAGTAAATTCCTCGTTTCCGGGCTCTCTGAGCCTTTGCTCACGAAGTTACGATAGGCAAACGGTTTCATTTAATCTGATAAATTCCAGCAGTTTGACTAATATTGTTGTTTGATCAATCTGAAAATTCTATCGAAATAAAAAATACAGCAGAATGATTGACTCATAACGTGTCTACCATCTTTTTGCACCCACAATCGGTTAGGGTCAGGGACGAGGGAAGGGGTACATAGAACCTTTTTCAATTCAAATCTTAATATTTCTGTCTTAAAAGAAATTTAACGCGAGGTTTAGTATCAATGCATCCATCTTGTGCGTGGGCGAGAATCAAAGAACCTATTTGGTGCCTTTTAAGACAAGATCGTAACAAAAATTTAAAAGGAAAATCAACAGGTAAAGTCCGTCATTACGGTGGAACCTCGATTTAACGAAGAGCCGAGGGACTGGGGAAATGTGACGATGCAATTGATATTCTTCAAAAACTGAGTAACCGCTCCAAACAAATGGCAATTTGTATTCTGAAGATTTGTTTTGTTAATTTTGTCTCTTCTTACAACTCAACAGTATCTGACCTGTCTGGAAAATTTATCATTGTCTTCAATAACCTTTCATTTTTTTTTTCAGTCCATCGCTCTTACAACTTCAAAATACAAGCAATATTTCTGAACAGTTTTCTTTTCTTTTCTGGCAAGACGTTTTATGAATACCTCCAACCCTAAGCACAAGCGCAGGGAACAAAACTTGAATCATCATACATATCTCATTTCAATAGAGAAGAGATGTCACCGGACAGTTGCATCGGCAATGAGTCATATATGCTACACAAAACTTAAATTCTCAGAATTTTCTTGGTGATTATCAGTCTAGTTTCGAAATAACCAGCGAAAGACATTGCTCATCGACAGTCATGTCCTACAGAGTGAAATGACAAGAGTCATCTTTGTGCATCTCGTGTCAGCGCAAAATGGTGCAAAAAGTGCTGACAGCAGCTTTTTGTAATTTTGGAATGAATGGGAAATTCCCACGGAAGACTCCGTCTTAAAAGTCCAGAGAGGTCTTCATTTCGCTTTGTCAGACAGTGAAGAGGTCGAGAGGGATAGGATTTCTCCCTTTAGTGTCTTCAAATTGAGGGAAACCCCCGTTTTTGTCTCTTCTCGGTGTATAAAGTTTAATGATTTTAATTTTAATTTAACTCATGCTACCGCTTAATGAATATGATAACAGGCTCACACTGATCACGAAACACATCGTGAGCATTCATAGCTTAACCGTTTGGTACTTCAATGACGTTCATCAGATTTTCCTTATTCTCTGCCGATCTCAACGGCTTCTCCTGGGTAAATTGGATCAAAAATTGGAAAATTCGAAATTGAAAAACTATTCAGGAGGTAAAATCCAACTGAATTAGCATGACGTATGGCACGTTGATCATTTGATAAAAAAAGAGTTTTCTGCATTATTTTATTCTGCCAGCTCTTTTTCGCCATCTTACTACAACAGTTCACATAGAGAATTCGCAATTCACGTAGACAATTCTCATAGAAAAGATTTTTGTTAGAAAGCTGAAGATGGGTGGGCAACTTCACTTTCTGGCGGAAAGGGTGTCGAGTTTTGAGAAGGAAAGAATAGTTGAAAATTCGGGAAAAGTGAAACCACGGTCACGATTATTGATAGCAAATGATAGCAGTCAGATAATGTATAGGTGTGATTATACAGGCTATCAGCCGTTAAAGCGAGTTAATTTTTATCACATGTTTAAAAACAGGTAAAAAAAAAACAAAGAAAAGCCCATTTCTAAAGTTATAGTTTATATGACGTGCGATAATTGAATGAGAACGTTTTATAATTTTCCCCGGCGTTATCAAATCTTGCGCGTGGATCACTTGATATTCGAGAGAATTTCATTTTTAGCCGCCTTGTTTTTATTTTTTTGTGCCTTTCCTTTTTCTATGTTCATGCTAGAAATTAATACAGTACAGCTACTTTTTGCCCCATATACATCAATTCGAAAGCCATTGAACATAGCCTACTCCAGGCGTTCAGTTAATAAAACGGTGCGCGATACTAGACGGCGACATAGTAGAGGAAGAGTGAAAACACGAGCGAGGCTTGGGTCGGGTGCCGTTGTGAGCCAAGCGTCCCTTACCTTTTCACTCCTCCGCTCCTAGCGCACCGTTGGCTATTTCGCTATTTTTTTTTCTAACTGATCACCTGGAACAGGTTTCTGTGGACAGTAATAGGCTCTAAACCCTCATCAATCGCCTAAGTTTCGCTGTAATTTACTAAAAGGGAGGGGGGAGTCTCCACCTTATTTCCACCTATGCTGATAGCTTCGACTAAACATGAAAGCTGGAAATTGGGGTTGACTGCTACTCTCCACTGAGGGCATGAAATCAACCTTCGCTCCTCTGGATTTAAGAGACATTTCTCCCTACCAAAATTGGCTTGTTGGTTGTAAATTAAATACTGTCAGCTCTACCTGACTAAGATCAAATAGCTTTCTTTTTATTTTTTTGTCTAATTGTTTTCTCTCATCGATTTTGTTTGACTCGAATCGTTCTCTCGACGATAGTTAGGAGTTTCGTCTGCCAATTATCTTCACCAGTCATTGCTATGTTCTGCCTTCAGTTCTCTTCACAAATCTTATTCGATACTATGCACTTTTCTTTGACAGGGAATCAATTTCAAGACAGGTAAGTTGTCGTGACACTTTTTCACCTCCAATCACGCAGAAAAGATTCTTTGTTTCCAGGCTCTTCAGGTCTTTGCTCGTGCTGTTATGTATGTTTGCATGCATCTAATCGATCGAGATGCTTCCATTTAATGTGATGAATTCGAAAGAAACTGTGGTGCTTCGTCGGTGCAGTGGGCGGCATAACAAGGTAATTTGCTTTTATCGACTCAGTTGAAAATGTAAATTGGCCACCGTAAAGAGTTTCTAAAGCTGACGACAATACCACAACCGCTGACCGACAAATCCAGACGTGTGACTTCCGCTCAGATTGTCGAAACGTCTGTCACCACTACAGGCAGCAGTCCTTTTTAGGACTACACTCAACCGGATGATCATCCCTCTTGATCCGTTATTAATCAACCCCTTCACTCCCACGATCTCGATATCATTTTTTTCTTCCCCGTTTGCGATACCTTTCTGAAAATTTCAGCTCGAAGAGTTATGTGTCAAATCAATAGTTTTCATTGGTAGATGTTTAATTTCTAATCACTTTTCTATTAGGAAATTTGTTGGTATTATTGAGAGAAATTACTTATTGGTCATTGTTGAGAGTTAAAGGGTTTAACGATCACTCTGTTTTTTCTTTTTTTCTGTTTTTCAAAAATTGTCTCACGAAGCACATGCAGGTTCTCTTCAGTTCATCATTAACACCAGTGGATATCTTATTGTCAAAATTTTAAGAGTTTTGGGCCAACACCTGACTTATTTGGGATCGACCTATGTGAGAAAGGAGTCCGCAAAAGAGAAACAAAAACAATTAATGACCTCCTCCTTCCCTTTCCCCCCCTTCGCCTTCTTCCCTAGACTGGAATATTATCTCAAGGCCCCGTGAATCATCAATGGCAATCACGTACCCGTCAGGCTTATCTATAACAGATAAACTGATATTTGATATAATGTTATCATATACAAGTGTTGACGGATAACGCTGATCAGCGATCAGGCCAAGTCAACAGCCACATTATTATTAATCAACGTACAGGAATATGTCTATGAACGCTTTTTACCAGCTGATCATCTTAAGCGTGCTTCTATCGTCATTTTCTATAACAGGTAATACGCTGATGTTTTATTTCCATATACTTTTCGATTGGAGGATTTCAACAAATATTTATGCTCTAGAAATGATTTATCAAAGATTTGTCAATTTATGTACGTTGCGCCATTCGCTTCTGATGAATGAAACAAAGCTCAAAGTTTGCGTTAAATAGTTGAGGTCAGTCAGATGTAGCTACATGTAACTATGTGTTTGATTTTCTGTACGCAGTATCGTCAGGTAAACAATGAGATTTTTACTGTTGCCCAATGGCATTGACATTGTGCGGTATTATGGGCTGTTATAAGCTGTAACAAAACGATACTCGCTTCAGATACACATGATAATTACGTCCGTGTTTTTTGGGGTTCGTTTTCTACTCTCTTTTAACACTCTCTGAACTTTGTACTTCAGTTTACTTATTGTGAAGATTAAAGGATAAACCACCCGTGGTGTTACACGTCACGCAACGCTCTCTTTCCAGCCGACCGTTACGTGTCATTTCGGCCCCTCTATGAACGGCGGACTAAATTTGTATTGGGATGTTTTGTGATATAACTTTATTACAAAAGAATCAATCATTGCAATTATGAAACTTGAGTCAATTGCGCCAAGGAAGCAAGAAATGGGATGAGGTAGACGTTTCTCATCTTCACTCTGCCACAAAACGATAGACACATTTTCCATAACATTCCTGTATTGAAATTAACGGATTGAAGGAAAACAACTCTGCTAAACCATGAAGAAGGAGGGTCAAGTTATATTTCATGGTGTCACCGAGCGACTTGTGTCTAGACGAGAAAAACATCATGAGGGCAATTTAACACCCTTCCCTCCCCTAGAGCAGTCATTTACGCGAGCGTTGACTCTGCGTTATTAGGACAAGAGCCCAAGTAGTTTTAACTGTGAGTGAAACTTTTGATTGCGTTCCTTAGTCTCTTTCCCTCTCTTTACATAGGGATGATCAGTTGGCCTGAAGGACTGTATGGATTACCAATGGCCATCAATGGCTGTCCCGTCGACCCATCTATCAACTGGAAAACTGGGACGCTGTACCAAGACTGCGAGGACACGGACCCACGAACGCAACATTCGCCCGACCTCCATTTAAACGCTTTCGTCAAATATGGAGACGTACAGCGGTCATTTTGTATGAAAACATCTTCTGTGAATGATTCCAACCGGGACCAGTGGCCCTCAGGGAAGTACTGTATTTATCTGTGGGGGAAAACCTGCCCCTCGGGTATGCTTGAAGGTTGGGTCCAGTGGGACGACGAGAATACCATCATCATTTACAATAAAAACACGAGAAGGGGAACGTTACCAACAGGAGTTTACGACCAGGATACGTGAGTACTCACTGAGTGGTTAAGTCACCACATTGTACATAATTATGTTCAAGTGCATTTGTACTTTAAAAGTTTTAAGTTCACCAATGATCTTTTATCAGCTAAATCGGCCATAAACCAAAAATTGTTTAAGGTAATTTCTCGAGAACCATAAAGGATATTTTTTAAATTCGCCAAACTTCAAATCGCCTGATAAAGGCAAGCAGTTAAGCGATCAAAATGTTGTGCTCATTGATCATATAATTCCAGGTCTCGATTTAGAAACGTAAAATCTTTTAAAATCTACTCTCGTCAATTTTCTTATTTATTTATTTATTTCATGTTATCTTTGCAGCAGCCTTTTTTAGATTTTCATTTGTTATGGCTATTGACTTGCTTTACAGCTATGATTTTGTAATTATTAGGGACCACTCATTATTAATCGCCGGGGGGGTTGGGAGATTTTGGGAGACCACATGGTTTTTTAGGGAGAATGGAGGGGGGATCAGTTGTCGCCTACAGAGTATAGAGAGGGGACTATAGAAAATTGACTGCCAATGTGGGGAGGGTCATAAGAATATTACAGAGCCTAATCGCCTCTCGGGGGGAGAGGGGTAAGGTAAATTTTGTCGTGACACCGTCAAAATCCTTCAATTCCCCTCCCCCTCCCCCCCTTCCCAACCAGATGACAAATAATGACCAGCCCCTTCTCTTATTTCAACATCATGTGCTGTGCTGTGCATGTGCAGACCCTATATGTAATGTACTGTCTTCGTTCCAATAGACGTATCTCTTACTGCTGCAGTGTTCTTGGCTCGACCCAGACTCCCATCGATCTTCCGTTGACTTCGCCATTCTATCTGATAGCCTATGATAGCAAAGTCTGCCAGTTGGTTAGGGGGGCGCAGTCTAGTCTAGAATACATATTTTACGAAACAGAATACTCGACTTTCATGACGAAAAACGATTATGGTGGTGCTCATCCCTATGGTGTGACGAGAGACCCGCAAGGCCAAATGATCTTCTACTGCTATTATAGACGTGAGTTACAATTCATATTCTGAATTAAAACAGCGATCATCATCAGCTTTCTACATGAGAGCACGTCAAAGAAAATCGATATTTTTTCAACAAACCGTAAACTCCAAAATGATTACAATTTTTGTATTATTTCGTACAATCTGTTATTCATAATTATGATTAGCCCACTTTGCCTCAATCGCATCCTCTGAATTCAAAATAATATTGTAAGCTTTAGACAAGGCAAAGAAGGCAAATTATCATGAAGAAAAAATAATGACGTACTTCCTCCATTTCGGAATAAGGTGTATTCCATCCAAATCCCCTCCTGTGATGTACCACGTGAACAAAAAAACGCTGAACCTGGGAACAAGAACTTGCTCAAGTACGAGGCTTTAACTCGAACGATTTTGGACCTGAATTTTTAGATAGAGCTCTTTATAATGTTTTCTTTCTTTTTCTTTTTTTTTTTTTTTTTGGTCTTAAATGCAGCTATCCATTGTCCAGCATTAAGAAAACCTGACAACGGAATGTTAAAACCAGCTCACTGTGGCGAAAATAATCAAACTACGTTTAACGGCACATGTACAGTAACGTGCAATAGCGGGTTCATACCTAAGAATCCCGCGGGACAGATCACGTCATGTTTGGAGAACGGGACCTGGAGCATACCCATCGTCACTGGCTGTATACGTAAGTATTGCGTTATGGGATAAACTGTTCGCTCATGAATTCTTAACCTACAGTAACAGTAAAAATGTATCTAAGTTTCTATACTTTTACAGAAACTTGGATCCAATGTGATCCTCAAACTTTACCCATGGGGAAATTTGTGGTGCAAGTTATTAGGCAAAAAAAAAACTACGAAGGAAAAACACAATTTCACAGTACCAGCCGGATGAAGACCCCTCATTTTGATCCGTACATCTGCTAGAAGCGGGCAACTAACTGTCTTAAGGGTATTTGTTCGCAAGAGACTCGGTTGTGTACGATGATCTACGCCTGGCGCCGCTAAATCTAGTTGAAACCAACAGTTTTACATTTTGCTCCATTCTCAGCCGCTTCCATGATAGCAGCTTCATCTAGTATGATGATCCGAACAAGTACAATTCAACCAACAACAGTCTCGAAAACTTATCCAAGTACTCTATGCTTCACGACTCATTCTACTGCAAAGTCTTCTGGGATTGTAAGTACCCAGTCCTTAGTTGTACAGGCAAGTTCTACTGCTGTCTCTGCTGTCACTGAACCTTCCAAAACTACGTCATCAGCTGGTACGCAGTCTCCCACTGTGGATGGTGGTATTAGCACTGCACCGCCTCGTGAGGAAGAGACTATGTCATTTCACCAAGTGTTTCCTGGAACCAGTTTTCTGGTCGGAACAGTGATTGGTGCCTTAGCTGTTCTTGGATTGATAATTGCCATGGTTTTTTGGTGTAGAAGAAGGTAGGGTACTGATGAAAAGAGTAGCATAAGTCAGCAATAAGTCCTCCCCACTCAAATGAATAAATTTTTACGAATGAAGGGACGAGTCATTGTTTAGGGGATCACATGGTTTTTCAAGGGGAACGAAGATGGGATCAATCTTCGCCCACAGAGTATAAAAGGAAGAGGGGGGGATCTAAAGAAAATTTACTGCCAACAAGTGAGGATCATAAGAATAATTATTACAGAGCCTTATGAGGAGGAAATCAGGTAAATTTTATCATGACATAACCAGGATCCTCCTTCCCAGGTGACCGGTCCCGAGTTCTAGCTAGTTGGGTCCAAACTCCTCTCCTCTTTTGAGACTAAAACCTACGTATCGTGAAACTTTATTTGGTAGAACTTGTCACGAGCGTGGGACAAAGAAAAAATTCTGAGTCTCCATGAGGAATCGAACCTCAGACCTTCGGATTCCGCGCTCTGATGTTCTACCACTGAGCCACGGAGACTTTACAATGAGCGAGGTCTATTACGAAGTTCATATGACATGCGTCCTACATAATTCTAGAATCAGCAATGTTGACAGCGTCATGTTTATAAATAGAATGAAAGAGATGGTAAGTTTTGAGCTCGGTAAAGAAATTGACGAGGGGCTAACGTTCGAAATGGCAGCTTTTAAACTATCTACGGTGGCTGATTTACGTTATCAACTTAGTTGATAATACTAAATTATCCTGTTTTCTAGACTACCCTCTGTTTAACTCTGTTTGACAGAGCTTTTTCTGAAGCTCCTCACCTTGTCCTACTATTTCACAAAAGAGGTGTTTCAAGTTCAGTTTTCCCCCGCGTTGTCTGGGCTCTCTGCTGAGTAGTCATCAAATTGAGATGAATGAAATGAATGAGTGAAAGTGAATGCGCAAATTTGTAAACGAATGCACTGTAATTTGTGAAGCTAAAGAGTGGACAGTTCTTATCTAGTTTGGATTGGGAAAGGAATTAATGAACTCAATTTTTATTACTAACCCTAATGCGTCTCTTTTCCTCTTAGAACACAATGTGAAAAGTCTAGAAGAGGAACAAATGTTAAAGTATACATGAGGTAAAATGATTCTTCTACAAAAAAACGTAATGGTACATTTTGCCGTTTAGAATCTTTTTCGTATACTGACCTCTCAATAAAGAGAGAGCACCAAAGGCCCGATCAGAGTAACTCATCACATTTGTATTTATCTTCACGTCTTTCTCTTTTTTTCTTTTCAAAAAAAGCGATCTTGAGAAGTCTTTTTCGGTTGAGGACCTTGACACTGACAGGTTTGTATGAAGTTTGTTAGTTTCTTGGCCTTCTTTTTTCATTTTTTTTTTTTTTCAGTTTCTTTTCTTTCGTCATTTCTTAGCTTAGGATACGTTCCACGAAAGATCTCACGGAGATTTCGTCAATAATATAGTCCAGTTTGCAAAACGTTGTGGTCCTGGGCAAAGCAATGCTTTAAGAGTGCGTGCTAACTTAGAATTCTTGAAATCGTGCTGTTATATTATCAAGGAATCAAAATCTTTCACGCCCTGTTCGGTAAACTGAAAACTGACATTTTCCTTTTCACGATAGGCCAGTTACGGATGATGCATCAGCACAAGAAAACTTTCTGTACGAAAGGTATGTTTTGGTGTACTCGACCTTTTAGTCAGTTAAGTAACCCTAGAACGCCTACGAGTGATTGCCATCTAGTTTCTCCCTACAGTATCACTTGTGAGTCAAGCCTTAAGGTCATGAGAATATAGAAAATGATCGCTTACTAAATAAGCTTTTGGTTATTTTACAAATTCTCCTTGTTGTTACCAATAAAAGGCCGGGAAACGTGCAGGCAAAGTGTGGAGAATCTGCATATTTATATCAGGGTGTAGCAGGTTAATTTTTCATTAGGCGCTAATTAATTTCAAGTGTCTTTAGCAGGCTTTTCACACAGCCACGAGACTGCGAGGAAAAGTCCTCTGAAAACTTATTATATGAAAGGTAAGCTGAGCCATTTTTACCTTAACTTGCTTATAATGAGGATTGGTGGTGTTAGACTCCGGTTAGAGAGGTCTGGGTCCTAGCCTTGCCTGGTCATAGTTCTGTATTCCAGTCTCTCTCCACCCACAAGTATAAATGGTTGACAATTCAAACAGCGAAATGCTGAGGGGTAACATGCAATACTTTGGTATCCAATCCATGGGGTAGCAAGGAGGGGAGATAGTAATTCTACACTCACTACAGTCTTTGTAGATCACGTTGACGAACTCACAACACCGCTAAATTGTTACCAACTTTTGAACTTTGAATTTTAGTTTCCATCATCGCGTCTCTGTCACAAAAGTAGAAGACAACGTCCTTTATGAGAGGTGAGAATCAAATCAGCTGTTGGTAACATAAACTTCAATACCCATGGTCGACTCCCGTATAGAACGTCAAAATACCTCTTCCCTTCACTCTTCACCTTCTCCCTTCCCCCTTCCCCCTTCCCCCTTCCCCCTTCCCCCTTCCCCCTTCCCCCTTTCCCCTTTCCCCTTTCCCCTTTCCCCTTTCCCCTTTTCCCTTCCCCCTTTCCCTTCCCCTTCCCCCTTTCTCCTTTCCCATTTCCCTTTCCCCCTTCCCCCTTCCCCCTTCCCCCTTCCCCCTTCCCCCTTCCCCCTTCCCCCTTCCCCCTTCCCCCTTCCCCCTTCCCCCTTCCCCCTTCCCCCTTCCCCCCTCCCCCTTCCCCCTTCCCCCTTCCCCCTTCCCCCTTTCCCCTTCCCCCTTTCTCCTTTCCCCTTCCCCCTTTCCCCTTCCCCCTTTCTCCTTTCCCCTTTCCCCTTCCCCCTTTCTTCTTTCCCCTTTCCCCTTCCCTCTTCCTCCTTTTCCTTCCCCCTTCCCCCCTCCTCCTTTTCCTTCCCCCTTCCCCCTTTCCCCTTTCCCCTTTCCCCCTCCCCCTCTCTCATTATCCTTCCCTCTTTCCCCTTCCGACTTTCAACGCCTAGAATCGAGCAACGAACTTCTCTCTAATCCATTATGGCTGGGTAAAATTGTGATTAATCGCCTCTATCAGTGAGCAGAGACGGATTTTTAAAAAAGCACGTACAGACAGGCACGCGCTGAAACTAGATTATATTACTTTTGATCTTCCGGAATTTTTTTCTGATTGGCACTATCCCTTGCTTGCTTTTCTAGTTTATCGTTTGCTGAAGGAAGAGAAGAGGAGAAGAACAAAGAGAGTGAAAGTCATCTTCATTACAAAACAATCACGTGAACGAATTGCCTTCACTCAACCTCGCTTTTTGCCACAGCTGTGGTTTCCCACCAAAGGAGACAAAATACAGGAGGGAGAGCCTTTTTTTTGAAAGCAGCATTTGAAGCTTTGATTGCACTGTGGGCCTTTGGCGAAATTTTTGACGTGGTGAGAGGATAATTTTGTGTATTTGGCTAAATGATTGCCAAAATTTACACAATAAAACTGCTGAAAATATTCAGTTTTGTAATGATTAATTGTTATACTCAAATATTGTTGTAAAGATTGACGTAAGACATATTCTGGCTTCAAACAGGTTTGAATTAACCCTGATCGTTGAAAATAGCGATGTTATTCTTTACCGCTGTCGAGTAGTTAAGAGCGCTTTTCCACATTGGTGGAGTGCAAAGAAAAAAAAAAAGGAACGTTTCCGCATTAAGTGTTAAAGTGTTAACCGTGTTGCTAAAATGGAAACATTTTTCTCTGCATTAATTTTTTCTTTATTTTCTTTGATTGGTTTAAAAAGTGAATAAATAATGGCGAGAAGTTATATTTAAAATCTCTTGATAATGCTTTTTGTTACTTGAACAAACACTCAAGTTGTGTGTGATAGTGTGGTTTGATCGTCTGAGTGAGTGAGTGTAGTCCTGAGAAGGACTTTTGTAGGTAGTTGTGACTGAAGTTTCGACAACCAGCTGAGAGGACGTCAGTCGACTGACAAAAACAACTCACTTGACTCTGATGATTACTTACGCTCAAGCTGTCGAAACGTCAGTCACTTCCCCAGACAACTAGACTACACTATTACCGGGTTCAAACAATTTACTGTGCTGTACTTGTGTGTTGATCAATTTTTGTCTGCCTGAGGCGTAGGCGACAAGTCAAGGAAGAAAGCTTGGATCAAAGTCAGTATCTGAGCAACTGCGGACCTACTCCTCCCCTAAACCAACATTAACCCTAACTTGTAATAAGTTGACTGTTGCTGGGTTGGAGGGGGGAGCTGCGCGGTTGCTCTGATACTAAAATTGAACCAAACATGTCATGCTTTTGAAATGGTTGAACGTCACTGAGGAAGCTTTCATATTAATTATCAATACATGTAAGTAAGTGTGGTTTAAGGGATCGTGGCTGAGCAGATGCTAATAAGACGAAATATCTCTCGTTGCATTCATCGGTATCCTGCAAGAAAGGAAACGACTGCAGAACGATGGCGGCAAATAATTTAACAGGGGAGAGAACACAAACGAGAACATTTCAAGAACTGCGCTGCTCTCCTTCCTTAGCAAGTGGATTACAACAACAGTCAATTTATCTCGCAACAGTCAACATTTTTCTCTCCGTCACAGCATTAATCGGGAATTCTCTTATCCTTGTTGCTCTTCGCAAGGAATCTTCCCTCCATCCGCCATCCAAAGTCTTGTATCTTTGTCTGGCATCAACTGATCTGTTCGTTGGTCTTCTTAGCCAACCTCTGTATGTTACTCATTGGATGTCCTTGGTTCAAGAACACTGGAGTCTTTGTCGACTCGCAATTGACGCAGTCTCCATGACAGGCTTCACCTTATGTACAGTGTCTTTGTTGACGATGGCGGCCATAAGCGTGGACAGACTTCTCGCCCTATTGTTGGGGCTGAGATACAGACAAATCGTAACTTTGAAGCGCATGTATGCCTTGGTAGCTACCTTCTGGGTGCTATCCAGTCTCGCTGGGTTGTGTTACATGCTAGATCACCGCATAACCATTTGGTATGGCCAGACAACTAGGATATTTGGCCTCATAATCCCAATCGCCTCGTACACAAAGATTTTCCGCACTCTCAGTCACCATGAGGCTCAAGCACAGGATCATATTCAACAACCGCCAAGCCGAGCAATTCAACTGAACATAGCGCAATATAGAAAAGCAGTGTACAGTGCACTGTGGGTGCAGTTAGCATTAGTTGTTTGTTATGTGCCTATGAGTATGGTGGAAATTGGTACGGCTTTTAGTAAAACATATTCATCGCATTTAATCGTTATTAGGGGAATAGCAGTAACTTTGGTCTTCTTTAACTCAACGGTGAACCCATTTCTTTACTGCTGGAGGATAAGTGAAGTAAGACTAGCAATAAAGAAATCAATCAGACAAGCACTTTGCTGTCCATGACGTTAGATCCTCCACGATTTACAATCGTGCTGATGTTTTCAAAGCTGAATTAAAGAGTCTCATTTATTATTAGAGAAAACTCGTTGTGCAAGAAGAAACGAGAAACAAAAGAAGAGAATAAAATTCATTGTATAACTCCGTTCGATTGAATGTACACAAGACTAACATCCTTCGTGTTTCGTGCTACCTTCTTGATCATGGATACAACTTGTGGTTTAATTACAAATGAACATGCATGCACGGTTTAGAAACAAATGGGGTGTTGGATTGATTTTAATATCTTTGCAATCTTCCCGGCAAAATGGAAATAAGCGATAAAGGTAGAGGAAGGTAGAGGAGATAGAGAGGAAGATAGAGAGGAAGATAGAGGGGAAGATAGAGGGGAAGATAGAGAGGAAGATAGAGGGGAAGATAGAGGGGAAGATAGCTGTTATTTAGCGGTAGTGAACAATTTCAAATTTTCACCGAACAATGAGGAAGCCCCATAATCCCCGTCAAGTCGGTCACTAGACTAGCTAGCGACTCGAATTTGTGGACAGTGTTTTATATTCAGTCATTATAAAATAATTCAAATAGTACGCGCGCTCTGATTGGCCATAAAACCATTTTACATGAGCGTATGTAATACACTTCGCGTCGTTTTCCTACGCTTATCTGAACCTCCCGCGTGTTTACATCAGGCTATGTAAACACGGAAACCATTTTACATTTCTTCATGAAAGTTTAAAGATGTTTCTATTGCTAGTAATCGACGTGTAACTGAGTGCATGAAATAAATTTGACTTTGTAACACTGGAGAGGTCTTTAAGATCGATCGTTTTTCCGGATAGAATGTTACCGGGGGCAAATTAATTTCGAGGGGAAAGTGTTGTGAACACTGATCCGCTAAAAGTTGTTTGCGAGCTGTAATCGTTGTAAGTCTAGGACTTCTTATCTAATAGCTTTCACCAATCAACTTGCACTTACTCTTTTTTTGTCAAGGGCTCTTTAAAACGCATTACCACATAAGAGCAATCCAGAATTTTCTAACATTCAGGTAGAATTTATCCATTTCTCGAGCAAATAACATGTCTCCTTGATAAACTACTTATCTTATCGTTCATAAAGTGGTTAAAGAGCATTCTCTCATCGTAATAAATAATGGACGTGTAACTGAGTGCATGAAATAAATTTGACTTTGTAACACTTTTAGGGGCATTCTTTAAAAAGATCGATCGTTTTTGCCAAAAGGATAGAATGTTACCGGGGGCAAATTAAATAAACAGTTCCACCAACGCAGTCTGGATGGGTCAACAGTCAAAAGGCCAATAACTAGCCGAAACTCGCAGATCTCAATGGGGCAGTAACAGTTGTTAAAATTTGCGACCACTAACGGTTCTGTAATCGTTGTAAGTCTTTTTTAAGGTTAATATTTTTTAATATTTTTTCAACTACTCCAAATGAAATAAACAGCTGGTTGCCACCAACGCAGTCTGGATGGGTCAACAGTCAAAAGGCCAATAACTTTTTTTGTCTCAATGGGGCAGTAACATTTTAAAACAGCACTTCACCACTAACGGTTCTAAGAAATTTTGCCGTGGAAGTTAAAAGAAAATTTTTTTAAGGTTAATATTTTTTAATATTTTTTCAACTACTCCAAATGAAATAAAATTTATCCGCATTTCTCGATGGGTCAAATAACATGTCTCCTTGATAAACTACTTATCTTATCGTTCATAAAGTGGTTAAAGAGCATTCTCTCATCGTAATAAATAATGGAAAAACTGATGTCTTTATGTTTGCCGACTTAAATTTAAGAATTAACTTTTAAAGCTTATTTATGCTTAAATTCAACTACTCCAAATGAAATAAACAGCTGGTTGCCACCAACGCAGTCTGGATGGGTCAACAGTCAAAAGGCCAATAACTAGCCGCCAAACTCGCAGATCTCAATGGGGCAGTAACATTTTAAGCTAACAGTTAAAATTTGCCTCTTCACCACTAACGGTTCTAAGAAATTTTGCCGTGGAAGTTAACAGAAAATTTTTTTAAGGTTAATATTTTTTACGGCTAATGGTTAAAATTTATCAATTTTTATGTCCAGCAGCTATTTTTTTTTTCCACTGCTTTACGACTAACAGATAAACCTCATTGAGACCTTTTTTTACGTACGCCGGAGTCAAGCCCCGCGCTATGTAGGCAAATGGCACAAATAACATCCTTTTACAGATCCTTTTTGATAAATTTACAGCAAAAAAACAGAACTGACTTCTCTCAGGAAACACTTTCGGTGTCGTCAAACGTGTCTTCAAACGTCAGCTAGCCATGAGTTTTAGAGTGAGTTCCACATTAACGAGTCACTCAGCCGTTATCGCTTATTATGCAATTTAAAAGATATTTGTTTTCAACCCTGAAGTATAAAAATTGACTCGGTGGGCAGCACTGAAAACTTGTAGTGATGAAAAGTAGTTTTTAAATACACAAAAAAGTTCTGTCCGGATCCGTCTGAGACAGAAATATTCCGAAAGTTTTCAATAAAAAAAATTAGAACCCTGTTTAAAAGATAAGCTAATATAACAGCTCATTGCTCTACATTACGTAAATTATTGTGCCTACGGCAGCAGCAATTTGCATGTAGGAAATTGGCAAAATATGTATGTCTGAAATATTTTGCGAAATGTGCCAATGGTTGAAGAAAGAACAGAGTGAAAAAGTGAAGCGTTATCAACAATAAGTAACTCGTCATTCAGAAAAACTTAACCAGCAACCGTCAAATGACCTAAAATTGAATCGTTTCCAGTCAGAGATATAACTCCACACATAAGACCCTCCTCTGAAACACTGCAAGAATATCTGGACCCAATCACCAATCGTACCGCTTGTATTCCTCGTTATAACTCTGTTTCTATTAACCTGTCATCGTACCCACATAAAAACCCACTTCTAATCCCGATTAAACAGTGTAAAAAAGACAGTTGCAACGAACTTGCTTTTAAGAATGTAAAAAATGGAAGGTTAAAAGTGATATTACAGGCATGTTAAGTTGTTTTTATTGGAGAAGTATTTTAGCACCTGTGGTTTTTCCTCAGGAAATAAAATACACAGTAAGACATGCGTTGAGCAAAAGAATTCGCGTGAAAGTCCTTCGAAGCAATTTGACGCGCGTGAAACTGTTCCCAATTGTCACGTCTTTTCGTGGTAGGCAGCTTTGGCGCGTTCGAATGTTCTTCGAATGTTCTTGAGTGTGAGACAAGATATGTCTTCGTGTACAGTATTGTACAGAATCGTAATACAGTTAACTCCTTTTTACTCTGTGAAGAACACAGCAGTCATTATAAACCGAGCCTTTCAGCTTCTTTAGCTTCAAAAAATGTGTAGGAGAGAGTGATGGTGTCCACTTTAGCCATGGCAGGATCTTCAGTGAATTCGGGATCAATGTAAAAAAATACTGGCATATCCACCTGCCAACAAAAAATAGAAGTGCTCTGATTAACATCAAACAGACTTTAAAAGAATTAAAATGTGGCCTTGTTTCCTTTATGACACCTGTAACAAAGAGTGGCTGTTCCTGGTGGACAGAAGCTCTGAGATGTTAAGTTAAAATGACAGCTACCAAAGATGGAGTAAGGATCTCTCTATTACCATTATTATCATGAGCTAACCCGATACTCTAATTTGTACAAAACCTTTCACTGGCTTTACAGCATGGCTGTCAAAGCCATGAGGAATTCATGTGATATTTGTTGAAGTGGAACTCACAACAACTGAGGATGAGTGAAACACTTGAATAGGCCAACCACCACACAAACACATTTCCAACATTTTACAGGTGAAAGCAGAGTTTTTCAGCTGAGGTTCAACACTAGCACTTAGATGGGCTGGAATTTGGTGATATGCCAGGTTGTTTCGGTGTCATATTTATCCTTCTAGTTTTAAGTGGAAATGTATTCCCACTGGAAAGATTGTGAAAGCTTAACCTTACCTGTTCATGTGGATTCAGTCTCTGTTCCTCAAAGCAAAAGCACTAGGAATAAAAAAATCATTTGTAAATCACTGAAAATAATAATGTCACAAAGTAACAAAATCTTACTAATAGTAATAAGGGCAGAAAAAACACTATCCCTCCTTGCTCCTATGAGTGACTAAGACAGTATTTCTCATCACAATATCAATACAATATCAAGGAGACAAATGAAGTGATACAAATAAATAAGAAAAGCCTCAACAAGTAGATTTTTTGTTGATCCAATACCAAATTCTCAAAACTAACATCATAAAAATTACATGGCTCATAGTAAAGAGAATTTTTAATGAGATCTGGGAGTAAAATGATTAAATTTTAACAACAAAATAAGACTTACCTGGATTTTGTTGAAATATTGTCCTGCCTCAAAGGGAATCACATTATATGTTGAAATTCCTGTGATGGGCTCATTAGTTGGGTTAGTAGCAGTGTAAAATGCCAGAGCTGTTTCCCCTGGTACAAGCTGGAAAAAAATTCAGTGCAGCTCAAGGTCAAATGCTGCTGTCATTCACATGATGCAAAAATAATTATAGATACACACACTGTAGATTTGTGATCTTGGTTGAACTGCACATGTCAAAAGAGATGATAGCACCAAACAAACTCATTTCAATTATACCCTGATAGCTGTCTGTTGAGGTCTGAAGTTCCACTGCATGGAAGCACTCCTATCTGCATTAAACCTGATAACTAACTCTCTTTCTGGTTTCCTTTCCATCTGCTCAATCTTCTCCCCAGATTCCTCTCTCTTCACTGTTCCACCCAAACCTGTTGCCTACACAGACAAAATAGAAACAAAAGTAATAATCCAGCTATCTTCTGTTATAACAGTGCATTAGCTTTGAGGTAAAGATAATCAAGATGTTCTTTCATGCTGACAATATGCTAACGTTTAAAATGTCAGCTTCAGTATTTCTCTACAGTGGCCAATTCATAATATCAACTCAGTTGATAAAACCAAATTATAATGCAAACCCCATTGAGGCAGTACTACAGTTGCTATAGAAACTTACCCCTTTTAAAGGTAGTGAGCCTTAGGTGAAGGATGTAGCGTCCCTCAAACAAAACAACAATTCGAACTAGCTTAAATTTTTTTAACACAAACAAAGAATAATAAATTGAAATGGAGAGCGGAGATTGGTGGGGAAAGAAGGATAGTAAATGTACTTGTTGCTTGTGGCCAGGACTGTTAATCAAATTCACTTACCTGGCAGTAAAGGCGATAAAGAGGTACAGCAAGGTATGAGGCTCCCACAACTGTGACTGCAAGGGCTATTATATAAATCGCTGTTGTCTTGTTCCGCATACTGGAGGCCGAATGTCCTTTCGAGCCGACACGAGTCACAGCAAAACGCCGACTGACACCCCACATCAAATCTGGAAACATTTTTACGCGCCTTGCTGGTAAGAGGGTTATTTCCTTTGTCACTGAAAGTTCTTTAAAGCATCTTGTGCAGATAAACCTGTTTCGTGTTATGCTATGAAAGCATACTCTCCCTACCATAAGCTTACATAATCTTGAACCCAGAACACCATGATGAGGATTCGAAAGCAACACTCTCTGGCCAGCAGCCCGAAGAAGCAACCCAATCATGCTACAAAATTCAAATGTAAAAAATGATGAAACCACAATGTTTTTGTATTTCTTGGATGGTAACAGTTTTTACAATCACGTTAAGGAATTATGTCATCTAATTCCGCCATATTGTATTTTCACATTAACCGAGTAAGGCTGGGTTTTAAAAATATTAGTCTCCTTCCCAGGGTCTCACGGCTCTGTTCATTCAACTTTTCTGTTTCCTTGCGTTTTAATTGAGCATCAGTTCCCTAAAATGTTGTATCATCAAAATGGTGGAATTTCATGGCCTTCAAGCTCAGAAATTTTAATGCAGCAGAAATAATGCTTGGGCCACGAAAATACACACTGTAGTGTTGAGATTGGTAAGATAGATAACCTTGAATGATTTACAACCAGCATCAATCCACCAAGTATTTGAAAAGTGCTGATTACAACATTTACAAGTGCATAGGGAGACTCTGTCTTAAGGAGTACTTCCTTTAGTTACATAAATGAGTAAGAATTTCTTAACAAGATAATTTTGGTTTTACCAACTGAATTGAATGCAAATTGGTCACTGTAAAGAGTTTTAGCTTTGAAACTCTTTACAATGGCCAGTTTACATTATCAACTCAGTTGATAAAACCAAAGTTATCTTGTCACACTCCCCCACCGAGGCAACACCACAATTTCTTTAGAAACTTAGCCTCTTTAAGAATTTCATAAGTTGAGGTATTTGGAAGGATAGGGTAATCTAACAGAGGGGCTGCCTCTGAGGTTCTCCATAGCATCATTAATTAACTTAACTGCTTCGTTATTTCTATATAATTGTAAACAAAAGTTTAGAGAATAAAATGGATGAATTTTTTGGAAAAAGTACTAATTTTCATTTTAGAATGTACAGTGCAGGCAAATGTCCTGTCAAAAATGGAAAATGGTAAACTATTTTTGAAGACCTCATCAAAAAGGCTGAAACATTTTGGATAAAGATTTCATCAATGGGCCACTTTCCATACCTCCCCAAGGTAAACTTTCACATGGAGAGAACAAATATATTAGTGGCAGTTAAAATATTCACACAGATCTCCTACATGATACTTACAATACCATTGAAGCACTAAAACATCAATCAAGTGCATTAGCACTATATTTACAACAGCTTACATAAACAAAGCCTGTACATTCATACACTATTTGCTATATTTAGTATATAAATTTCTGTTAATCCTAAATTATTTATAACTTAGTCTAACAGCTCTTGTGTACTCTTTTCTATAGACACCTCATAATACTGATATGTACAATTATCTTACAACAAAGTTATAGTTACATTCAAGACTATAACAAAACAGTTGTCTGAATAGATGAATCCACAAATTTTTAAATAGCATATTACTTCTCCTCTAAGATGCAGTAAAACTTTACATTACATCTTATATAACATTCATATTGACAGGGTCTGTAGAGTTCCAGTCCCAAAAATCTAGCTATGAGATATTTTCCAGGGCACTGCACATGATTTCATCTTCTCTGCTGAACTCTTCATCTTCCTCTGAATGATCTTGTGATTGATTAACCTGATAATTAAATGGTAGATAGAAAAACATTGAAAATTAGAGAGAGAAAGGAAATAAAGGCAAACTTCTTCAAAACATGAATTAATGCAATCAAAACCTTGGTAAGTCTTCCTTTTTGAATATATTTTCAAACTTGATTGCACAGAAATTATGCTTAATCAGGGTAAATATATTTAATATGTACCTTAATAATGTATTTCTAGTTTGGGATCAGACTCACTTTTAATGAGGTCTGTACATCCTCCAAATTTTAATTATTTTTTATTTGCAATGTTTTACTGAATTGTATTGGAATTCCATCAACAACTAGAAACATCTTATGTACACAAACACTGAAAGAAATGTGCAGCTTATATAATTATTTTTTAAATCCTTACCTCCATTTTTTCAAAGGAGCTGTCCTGTTGTCTTGCACTTAATTGTAATGAGGATAGGCTAGACTGTAGCATTGCCACCACTCTGTCCAAATGCCTATGTCAATATAAACAGTTAATTGATATTTAATATCAATACCATACATGCAAATAAGATGCTGAAGGAACATATCATTAGGCTTAATGCAAATAAAGTAGAATCCTGATTTCAGGATCTTCTTTTTGTAAAATATATAAACCTATTTTTCTTTTCCCCCAGAGCCTTGGAAAATTGGAATTCCCCCATTGTTAATTTAAATTCTGAAGAATTTGGGTTGAATGGGGAAGGTTTGCAGAGATCATAGGTTCATTTCATTTTGGATAAAAAGTCCACTTTGTATCCAATCTCTTAAATGTGTAAAACAACATTGGTTTTTTAAGTACACTAAAATGAACATTACTTGTTTAGTTTGTCTGCTGTGTCCAGTCTCTGCTGCTTTTGCCTTTCCATCATTACTCTTAATGTCTCTCGTGCCTGCAAGGTGTCAAAATATATTAACTTTGTCACCTGAAATAACTTTTTTCAATTGAATGGCTCAGAGCTGAATCAAATTCAGGTAAAAACAAAACATCCTAGGAAATTCAATTCCTCATAGAATGTGCTCATAATTATATGAAAATGAGCAATTTAAGGAGTGTAGCTGCTGAGGCTACTGAGTGTCCTCTTGCTTATCAATCTAGAAAACAAAGTACACCCCTTACTACCATACTGATTTCTTCAGCAGGACAGTATCTTATGGAAAAGAAATCTATTAGTTTACCCAGAGGGATACTGACAGAAAAAATTATCAAATTAGGCAAGTCAATTGTAGTTAATATTTGATTATTAACCTGATGTGGTCGAAGTTCATTGATCAAGTGATGAATATTGATAAATAGTAAGTTCAAGTCTTCTAGTTTTTCTTCTCTCTGAAAATAAAGGCAAAAAAGGACTACATTACATCAGGATGCAACTAAAGAAAATTAATTGTGAATCAATTAACCATTTCACTTAAAAGCAATTCCACCTAGTGCATTAAAATGAGTTACTAACATATAATAATTTGTCAGGATGATACCTTACAGGGTTTGGTTTGTAGTAACTATGACAATTTTAAACAAGAATGCTTCTGTAAAGACTTTTAGCAGTTTCTGAACTGATCACTCTTTTTCAAGTAAGTTGCATGTGTACCTGAAAACCTGTGCAGTTTGACACTGTGTAAGGGTAAACATACCTTAGGTGATGAAGGAGATTTAATTAGAATATCTAACAGCTCCAAGAAGTTTATGACAATAGAGTGATTTAGTTTTTTTAGCTCTTTGATGCGATCTAAGGGAATAAGAAAAACAATATTTAAAATTCTGCAGAAAAGAGAAAAGATGAAATAATAAATAGTAAGTTTCATTAGATATTAAAACAGTGCATTACTTTTAGTCATGAAGAAAAATAACTTTAATAAATTCTTGCTTGCAAGAAGTAGGTACTCAAAAAGCAAAGGGATTGTACTTGCACTTGTTATACTCAACAGACCATTTTGGCTTGTTAGCTCAGTTGGTAGAGCACTGCACCAGTATCACAGAGGTCATGGGTTCAAATTGCGCACAGGTCTCAATTTTTTCAGGCCTCGTTTTTACTGCCGCTTAAGTAGTGTTCATTATTGCAAAGATCACTCTCATATTCATTTCTTATATGCAGTTCACATGTATTATTTTTCATATATTCACATTCATTCAGACCAGGGTCAATTCTCATGTTTAAAAATACTGTACATACCAAATCTCCCCTGAGTTGTATAAAGTCTGGTTATTCCCTGAAGTTCTAAAGGTCTGATAATGGATTCGTCAGTCTGAGAAAAATAACGAATAAAGCAACATCAAAATGAAAAAATTATATTTTATGAAAGACACAACCTTAGAAGCGAGCTCAGCACACTTTAACGGTCATCAAAGGATATAAATGACAAATTAGTCACTAAAACAAAATAATAAGAACGTAATATTTCATTTATCGCTAAGAAGTTGTAAATATTAGCGTGTAAAACTTGGTTGTATCGATCCTAATCAAGTAAGTTACTGTATACTCTCTTTTCAGCAAAACAACATTCGATTATGAAGGGCAATACCTCAAAAGAAGCCCCAAACATAGCGTAAGCTCCCTCAGCTGGAGTTGGTGGATCAGGTACTAATTGTTTCTCTATATTTTCATCTGTGTAAACCTTGTAGAATTGAGCTGGAGGAAGAGGAAACGGACAGACACCTTCTGCAGCCATCTTGGAAAATAGTCGGATGCCTGAAGTGGACTATGGGTAATATTTCTCTTTTCCAGTCCTTTCTGAAAGTGCGAGATGTTTCTTTCTGGTGAGCTAGCAAATTAACCCCGCAAAGAAAAAGTATAAGCGATGGTCCTGTGGTAGTATTCTACTAGAAGAATATAAATTGTGGTAATGTGGCATTTTTACAGATGAATCTTCCTTAACTCTTGAAGTTTAAAGAAGTTAACCATTGCAGGAACAGAAAAGAGAGTTGTTTAGTTACTATGATGTCCTCTTCAACAACCTTTAATAGTTCATTTTTGAGGGGGGGAGACTCAGAAATATGCTTAGTAGTCTAGAGTTTGAGATAACTTTAGTTATATTTTCCTATTTTTTCTCTCAAATCATGAATCAGAGTTAAAACAAAATTAGAGCTGCATGTGACAGGTTTTCAAGGCACAGAAATGCTCCCTTACCAAAAATTTGAAAATAAAATGGCTGTTATCAGAATATTGTTTTCATACAAAGATTATGAGAATAGCAAGTTTTCATTAAGTGAGTTGTATAAGATGAACAAGCAATGAAAAGCCTATAAATTATGTTTTTTGGTGATAATTTTGCAGGTATGGCCACAGCCACAGGCTCAGTGGCCAATGAGTGTTCATCAGTGAGGATAATCATACAGCAGTGTCTCTCAGCCAGACTACAGGTGCAACCACCGACAGAAAATGAAGATGCAAAATGGGTTGAGGTAAGTATGACAGCTTGCAAGCAAGTTCTTATGGCATGACGGAGCACCTGCCATGTAGCTAACCCTTTAACTTGCAAGATCTAATCATTTGTTTTCCCCTTTAGCCAGCTGCTACAATTTCCTTCCTACAAGACTTTGATTTTAAAACTCAACATAACAACTTCTTCTTGATAAGTCTGAGTAGTCTGACTTTATCCATCTTCTGAATAATGTATGAATATTAAAATATTATTAACATAAGTTACATATGAATCACCTCTAGGAGACGAAGACGAAGGGTTAAGCTACAAGAAACATGAAAATGAAAAAGATGAGTTAATAAGGGGTTTGTGCACAAATGAGAATGGTGCATTTGTAGGTAAACACACTGTGTTCAGGAAACAGTGGTAACTGAGCAAGCATTCATTTCTTGATACAGGTCTTTCATAGACTTGTCATGTCACCTCTCAGAGGTTACTTCATCCTGTTATTCTTCACCACAGTTAATTTGTTCATTTTCCGCCTCTACTTTTTGTTCTAGAAACATGTCAGGTATGGTCTTAGAAGAAATCAATGTCATTTATCATATCTCAAGGGGTAGAATTGCACTAAACATGGTATAATTATTGTATTTCAATGATAAAGCATCTCAGATTTTCTCAGAACTGCAATTTAATTAACATACAGTGCAATTTGAAATGATTGGTAATGGAAATCCATCAATCTGCCATCTATACCATTCAGATTACCAGGGGAATTGTTATCTACCTGTGTTTTCTCAGAGGCTCAAACTTGGATGTTTTACCAAAAGTTGGTGAGTGAGCAGGAAAAGTTGTAAAATGATGATGGTTCAATTTATGTTCATGTCATGGTCCTCATTACTATATTGAATCCAAAGTTTTGAGTGGGATGATTTATCATTCTATAGAGTACCGGGTAATTCCTTCAGCCTTCAATACACAGGAAAGAATACAAAACTGTAAGAGGCTTGTCATGATGCATATCTCGTGGGTGAATCACAAATATATGGAAGAGAAAATTGGTTGGGACAGACTGTGGTATCCTACAACATTTCTTCCTATTCCGACTCCAATCACTTTTTACAAACACCAAATTTTGAATCTCTGAACTGACTGACCCCCTCTCTGGACCCATCTTGTGTTTGTCAACAATTATTGAGCATGAGGGGATTATATGATAATCTGCAGAAGCTCACATTGATATCAGTTTCCATCATTATCACCATAATTATCATGGTCCATATGTACTTAAGTAAAATTGTTACAGGAATCCTCTGTAAAGGACTTCCTAGTATATGCTCTTTCTGTAGTATTATATTGCACATCTGTGGCTCATACTACCAATTTAGGCTGCTCCAATCTGAATCAACTGTTTATGATAATCAAATTAGAGCTTTCACTCTTTATGTTTGTTTGATTGTTTCTTGTGTTTTTCTTTTTTAATCAGTTAAGTCTATTTTGAATGTACGGCTGAGTGAGACCACAGCCCAACCAGGAAATGTGTCTGTTCTGGAGTTACCTGGTGATATTCTCATTGTTCCACAGGTAAGTGATCAACAGGGCAAGATCAGGAGACTGGGATAGGACTGAAATTAGCCAAGTAATTCCCACTGCCCGAGCTTATCCCAGTTTCCCAGCTGTGAAGCAACCAGGAGTATTACTGTTAAGGTTTTTAATTGGCAATATCCTCTGAGAATAAGATTTACAAGATTCCAAGGTTCTAACTCATCAAAAAGAAACTATCCATTCTCTTGGACAACAAATTCTCTCAAAGGCTTAAATTCAATTCTGGTGTATAACAGCTATGTGTGTCAGTAAACATGCCCTTCGATAAGTTAAACAGTATTCGGTTTCATGCTCAGTTCTAATTAAAAAACAACATAACAAGTGTTTGCAGTGTTGAGTTCTTAAGATTTTCAAGGCTCAATTATTAAGGTTTGCAAGGTTCAGTTCTGAGATTTGTGTTCCATTTCTTTAAAATTACTACTTCTTAATGGAATTTTATTCAAGGTTAGATAAACCTCAGCAACTCATAAAGTTTCTCCCAAAGTTATCATTTACCAAGTTATATTCACAAGTGGAGTAAGGAACTTGAGAGTAAAGAATCGTGCCCAAGCAAACACTGCAAAATATAACTTGACCAGGTATCAAGCCAGAGCTTTTGATGCCAACCACAAAGATATTGTATCTTTTGATCTTAAGAAAGATCAGATTACTTAAAAAAAACTTCATAGATCTGTCATGAGATCGTTCATTTTAAGGGTTTTTAGGAAGAGAATCCTAGAAAGTAGTATGTACCATCATCTCCAGGCAGAGAGGAAATCCCATTGTGCAGTAAATAGGAAATGATGGTACCTGTAGACTACCAACAACCTCTCTTTTCCAATGTAGTCCGTCGCGTGGTTTAAATGGATCAGCAAAATTAATTTGGTGCTGAACAAATTTTGGGAACGAAGTGTGCGAAAAAGAGGCGCTAGTAAAGAAGGACTAGGAAAGAGAGGCTATTCGTAAGTTATGATATGTAGAGCTTAAGAAAATGGGGTGCCACTATACCAAACCATTTCTTTTTCATCTGTCCACTCTTAACCTTCTGAGTCTTCTTCTGGATAAGAACGTAAATAATCATTTTTTCAGGCAACACTTGGTGGAAAGATGAAAGGAAGAAGTGTTCAGTACCATTCAAATATATCAAAAGACGAAGGAAGGATATTTTATGAAAAGTTTATTACCCTTTGTGAGGTATTTTGTGCCAGTACCTTTGTTTTACTTTCGAGGCTTAAACCTTCTTTCTGCGAGTCTTCGTTATTCCCACAAACCTTCATGAACTCAGTCACAAGTTACAGTTATTTTGCAATTGTTGTGGACCTTGTTCATACTTTTTGGGCATCCGCGCAATGGAAAGACGCGCACGACTATCCTTTCTATACCGTTTTCATATAGAAGTGCCCGTATTTTTTAGTTGGCACTAGTGCATTTCTTTGATAAAAATTCCTACCGACAAATTTAGAATAGCAGCATTTAGTGCTACCTCCCTTTTTTCCGTCCCCCCCCCCCTTCCTCTGTTAATTTGAGATTTCTTGCGCCTCCTTTTTTCTCTTTTCGTTCAAATTTCTCTTTTTATTATTTATAGGAAACAGTTCAGGCCAACTCGATGACTTCACCACACTCTACTCCAAAAACAGTGAAATATGGTAAGAGTATTATTGCAAACGCAACCCAACCTGCCTGTTTTAGCGCGCTTTTTGATTCAATATCATGATCACGACAGCCAATCAGAACATAGGTAGAAATCACAAATAGCCACTGATAACTCAGATCAAGATGAGCAAAGCGCGGGAAAAAGTCAGTGGAGAACTTGAGCAAAGACGTTTTTGAGACGCGGACGGTAAGCGGAAGTAAGAATAAAACTAACCTTGGCGCGTTTCAACGATAATGTATCGACCGTAAGGTCTTCGTTTTAGCAATATTTTAAACCAAGCAGTACTGACCAAAAAAGGTGTATTGAGCACCAGTAAAAATAACTTTTACCTTCCGGCTGCCGTCCACGTCTCAAAACGTTGGTGCTCAAGCTCCTTAGTGGCTGAGGCACGGGGTGGTTTGAATTTTTAAAACAATCAACCAACGAGGTAAGCCAAAAGTAATCCAGATTACTAAGAGGGTCCCAATGGGGTTAACCGTTAGCCGTAAAACGGCCAAAATATTTAGCCGTTAGACGTAAAAATTGACAAATTTTAACCGTTACTCGTAAAAAAAGTTAACCGTAAAAAATATATCTGGTGGAAACAATGGAAAGGTGTTAACCGTTAGCCGGAAATTGACCAAAATTTTAACCGATAGCCGTAAAAGCCATCACCCCATTGAGACCCTCCACTAACCACGCTCGATTGAAAATGATTGTATTTTTTATTTTCGCCAATGTAATATTAGTTAGTTTTATTGGGTGTTTACTTCTTATCTTCCTGTTTTCAGGCACGTATGGAAACAGACAAGTACTGAGTGTGGAAACAAATGGACCGTTCACCCACGTGTTTGACTTTTAGGACGGTTCTGAATGGCCTTAATGTACAAATTTTTACGCATAAGTTGCAACTCTTGGAGACCATGCAGAAAAGTTGAATAGTGATTTTTTATTTTTACGGGAAACATCCCTACAAATCGATTTTGCAACATTCAATCTCTCTTCATCCCTACGTTACTCTGACTGAAAAAATGGTCCATTTCGAAAAAGCACTTAGTATAATTCCTTATCGGTCATCTTTCTGTGAGAGTATCACACCGTAGTGTGCTCAGCATATATCAGTCTCATACTGACACTGATCAAAAGAAAACGATCTTGGAAATTCAGAACCGTTTTCCGTACTGCTGCTGAACTACCTCCTGGTAATTCCAGGTCTTCTTACTCGGAAAGTTTCACGGTTCCACTCCAGCCGCGATTTGAGATTCAGTGTTCAATTTCCTTTGCCTTTCTTTAATCATTACAGAATGTATATATGTAGGACTTTCCATTACTTACGAAAGGAAAGGTTATAAAAAGTTAGGTTGAAGGGTATAATTTTTTTAAATGGTTGTTCCTCAGGATAAAGAGTCCCATGCTTGTCTGCAAATTTTGCAGAAATCGACAGAATCCTCTATAGTTAGAATAATTTCCTTCGCGTGCACTGCATATATTAGAACCAGAAGTCTGGAACTATTGCGGCGTAAGTTATTGCAATTCTGCTACTGAGGGCTATTGGTGATGAAGGTGCAGCGCTCAGTGCAGTGACTCTTTCATGCCATGATGCAGGCACTTGGCGTTCCTTACCGTTAATACGAGGGGAAAAATCCGCCTTCCCAACCCAGGTTCGTCAATCAACGTAAGGTAGGCAGAAAATCGACCTCGTATTCCCTTTATTGCCAATAAAAGGTTCAAGTTTCGACGAAGATTTCGTCTCCACCTGGCATTTCGAGTGTCCCTATTAGCTACATGTGTCCCAAGCTTTAGTCAAAGAAAGGCGATTGAAATAACCTCGAATTGTTGGTGGCAAATGAGGCCTAGAAAGATGAGGATTACCCTAAGACAATCAGGAAAGTGAACTTAGTTTTATTTATTTCAAGGAAATTTTTCGAGACTTGAATCAATATTTATGTGATCAAATCAAATTGACCTTACATAATCAGGTACTCAAATAAAATTGATGCACCAAACCAGTCAAGAAACCGAAGCACCTTAATTAAGCAAAGCATCTCAAATAAGCAAAGTATCTCAAATAAGCAAAGCATCTCAAATAGGCAAAGCACCTCGAGTAAGCAAAGCACCTCGAGTAAGCAAAGCACCTCGAGTAAGCAAAGCACCTCGAGTAAGCAAAGCACCTCAAGTAGGCAAAGTAAACAATAACGTATTGCGAGTGAGCAATACATATGCGGTACAATGAATGTGCGCATTCACGACACTTTACCAAGTGGTAGGTATGTCGTGTATAGGCAATTGTTATGTACCCTAAGTGCTACGAACCGCTGAACATGTGACGCGTGGTCTGTTTGCTCAACTTCCGTAATTGTGTCTGGCGTCGTCTAGCGAGGTTCTTCTGCAAGAAATTGCTCAAATAATGACAATGGCGTCTTTGAAAGCGTTGTCTGCTTTAAGTTTAGAAGTTGAACAGAAAGGACAAACGCTTACTGATGTCATGTTTCTTTGTGACGAGTGGAAATCTTCGAAGGGTGGATTATCAACTTTCAATCGAGAATTTGCGATTAATTTGGCAGCAGCCACGACTGGTAGCATGAAAATCCACTGCTATGTCTTGAAAAGCGATGATCAGGACATAGAAGATGCTAAACAACATGGGGTGAATTTAATCACCGCTCAGACTGTTCCTGGATCGCGAGATCCCATAGATTGGTTAAAAGTTCCACCTCCAGAGCTTCAGCATCCGCATATCGTGATTGGTCATGGAAGAAAACTGGGACGCCCTGCATTCTTCATTGCACGAGCTACAGGATGTCAATGGATTCAGTTCGTCCACTTCTTCTGCGAAGACCTTTGGAAATACAAAGAAATCGCCACGGCTGTTGATACGATCGAAGAGATAGAGGAGAAGCACAAACTGGAAATTGAATTGTGTAGAGCAGCGGATGCAGTTGTCGCCGTTGGCTCACACCTACAACAGAAATACAGCAGAAGTCTGCCAAATGTCAAAGTCGAGATTATTACCCCTGGAATCTTTGAAAAGTTTTCTGGTGAACTAAAGTTTGCCATGCGAAGATCAGTACCATTAGTAAAGAACTTTAGTGTGTTCTTGTTTCGCGCAGATCCCTTTAAGGATCTTTCCCTTAAGGGATACGATATTATCGCAAATGCTGTTGGTTCTCTTGGTAAGAACTTTGAGCTGACATTTGTTGGCTCATCTCCTGGTGAACATCGGAAAGTTGAGCGATGGTTTCTTGACAACACTTGCATCAACCGAAACCAACTAACCATCCATGGATATTGCAGTGGACAAGAGGAACTTAAGATGATGTTCTATCAGTCAGATTTGGTTGCTCTGCCTTCTTCTACTGAGGGCTTTGGATTAGTTGGCCTGCAAGCCATTTCTGCTGGTGTTCCTCTACTTGTTTCAGGTGAATCTGGAATAGGTGAGGCTTTGAAAGAAGTAGAAGGAGGGGACACTGTTATTGTTGGATCAGATAAAGATGCAGATGAGTGGGCACAACGGATATGGGAGAAGTCAACAGAGCGTCCAGAAGATAGAGAAGCCAGTGCCATGAAGCTTAGAGAGAACTACAGGGAGGTTTACTCTTGGAAAAAAGAATGTGAGAGGTTTATTCTGATGATTAAGGAAGTATTGAAAAATGCAGATGGTATGTTCAGTACCTCAATTTTTGTGTAAAAATCAGTTGCTTGTGATGTTACCTTATCCTAAATGTAGAAAGAAACCTCACACAAAAGGAAAAACATTTGCAAATGTAATTAGTGCAAATTTCATGAGTTATTAAATGTAAGTGTCTTAATATGGATCAACCAGCAGTAATTGTTCTCTTTCAACCATTTCACTCTATTTTGTAATTTCTTCCATCCTTTCAGCTTATGAAGTTCTCCCTGTCCAAGGGTGCAACCAGATTTTTTCAAGAAAGGGGTCATATTAGAGCAAAACTTAGATGCGTATTGTGGGAGAAGAAAGACTTCAATGTAAAACAGATAAAGAACATTCCTCATCTCCCTTCCCTGCACTGAAAATAGCTGAAAACTATCATTTGATTTAACATTTTGAAGGTGAAACTCCGTATGTTAACCAGGGACACCTGGAGATCTCCAGTTTTATATGGCTTATACTGCTGCCCCCTCTTGTATATCAGTAGGCTTGTATTAAGTCATGGCATGAAGGCCCACATTGACTGAATACAAGAGCCACTAAAGAAAATATTTTGATAGAGAACAAATTTGAAAAAAGAGGGCTTTTCAATGATGGCTTTTGCAGCAAAGATGTCATGGCGTTTTCGCTACCTGAATATTATTGGTTATATGCTTAAAGAAAGGTTTACAAAGGTAGAGTCCAAGGAACTTGCTTGAGATAAATTTATACCACAACTTGTAGTTTTTATTATTGCATGGTAAACCTGTTCTTCTGTCATAGGATTAAATACATATGCCTAGCTGCCCTTTTAAGTTCATGCAATATTCTGGAAGAGCACCTGCTACTGGAATATTGTTGACAGGTCTCATCAGAATGGAATGAGGAAGGGCTAATGCTTGAAATGTCAGCTTGGAAACTTTTTACTGTGCCTAATTTAGATTATCAACTCAGTTGATAAAACCAAATTAAATGAGTCACTGATGATTTTTGCTTTATAGTTTGCTTGCGACATTTGTAGTTCTTTTCACCCTCATGTCATACTTAAAATAAAAACAAGTTAGACATTTTCAAAATTTTGTCGCAAAGACCTAATTGATTTGGTATTGTGCATTTGCAAGACTCACATTGTCTTTGTTAACTCTGCTAGGAAGATAACAGATAGAGAGATGACTCATCTAAGTGTTGAGTTAACTTTTGATACAGCTTCTTTCATGTTAACACCAGAGTCAACAGGATTCCAAAAGGATCAGCAGCAGAAGGACTCTGACACATCAGCTACCGCAGGAAGCATAGTTCATCCAGAAACTGAAGATCCCCAAGCACTCCTTAAGTTAATTGCTATGAATTACCTTGAAATCACACCACCACAGTCCCTGGAAGAGTTGAAACATTTTAAAGAATACTTGAGAAGAATGAAAGAAATCATTGGTGTTCCATATGAAGGTAGTTTGGTGATTTCTGTGGAGTGTGATTCCCTTGAAGTGCTGGAGGGAGTAGTGCGAGTTGACTTTTGATAATGCTTGGCTAATGCTTGAAACATCAGCTTAGAATTTCTTCACAGTGGCCAATTTACATTTTAAACTTGTTTGATAAGCTAAATTACTTGAGCTACTGATGATTTTGCTTTTTAGTTTGTTGGCACATTTATCATTCATCAGAGAGAAATGAGTTAGGGCTAATGCTTGAAATGTCAGCTTGAAAACTTTTTACTGTGCCCAATTTAGATTATCAACTCAGTTGATAAAACCAAATTAAATGAGTCACTGATGATTTTTGCTTTATAGTTTGCTGGCAACATTTATAGTTCTTTTCCACCCTTGTGTCATACTTAAAATAAAAACAGGTTAGACATTTTCAAAATTTTGTCGCAAAGACCTAATTGATTTGGTCTTGTGCATTTGCAAGACTCACATTGTCTTTGTTAACTCTACTAGGAAGATAACAGATAGAGAGATGACTCATCTAAGTGTTGAGTTAACTTTTGATACAGCTTCTTTCATGTTAACACCAGAGTCAACAGGATTCCAAAAGGATCAGCAGCAGAAGGACTCTGACACATCAGCTACCGCAGGAAGCATAGTTCATCCAGAAACTGAAGAACCCCAAGCACTCCTAAAGTTTAAAGTCCTATCCTTAGTTGCTATGAATTACTTTGAAATGGCACCACCACAGTCCCTGGAAGAGTTGAATGAGTTTAAAGAATACTTGAGAGGACTTAAGGCAATCTTAGGAGGTGTTTCATATGAAGGTAGTTTGGTGATTTCTGTGGAGTGTGATTCTCTTGAAATGCTGGAGGGAGTAGTGCCAGTTGACTTTAGATAATGCTTGGCTAATGCTTGAAACTTCAGCTTACAATTTCTTCACAGTGGCCAATTTACATTTTAAACTTGTTTGATAAACCAAATTACTTGAGCTACTGATGATTTTGCTTTTTAGTTTGTTGGCACATTTATCATGAGAAACTTTTTACTGTGCCCAATTTACATTTATCAACTCAGTTGATAAAACCAAATTAAATGAGTCACTGATGATTTTTGCTTTATAGTTTGCTGGCGACATTTATAGTTCTTTTCACCCTCATGTCATACTTAAAATAAAAACAAGTTAGACATTTTCAAAATTTTGTCGCAAAGACCTAATTGATTTGGTATTGTGCATTTGCAAGACTCACATTGTCTTTGTTAACTCTGCTAGGAAGATAACAGATAGAGAGATGACTCATCTAAGTGTTGAGTTAACTTTTGATACAGCTTCTTTCATGTTAACACCAGAGTCAACAGGATTCCAAAAGGATCAGCAGCAGAAGGACTCTGACACATCAGCTACCGCAGGAAGCATAGTTCATCCAGAAACTGAAGAACCCCAAGCACTCCTAAAGTTTAAAGTCCTATCCTTAGTTGCTATGAATTACTTTGAAATGGCACCACCACAGTCCCTGGAAGAGTTGAATGAGTTTGAAGAATACTTGAGAGAAGTTAAGGCAATCTTAGGAGGTGTTTCATATGAAGGTAGTTTGGTGATTTCTGTGGAGTGTGATTCTCTTGAAATGCTGGAGGGAGTAGTGCGAGTTGACTTTTGATAATGCTTGGCTAATGCTTGAAACATCAGCTTAGAATTTCTTCACAGTGGCCAATTTACATTTTAAACTTGTTTGATAAACCAAATTACTTGAGCTACTGATGATTTTGCTTTTTAGTTTGTTGGCACATTTATCATTCATCAGAGTGGAATGAGTTAGGGCTAATGCTTAAAACGTCATCTGAGAAACTTTTTACTGTGCCCAATTTACATTTATCAACTCAGTTGATAAAACCAAATTAAATGAGTCACTGATGATTTTTGCTTTATAGTTTGCTGGCGACATTTATAGTTCTTTTCACCCTCATGTCATACTTAAAATAAAAACAAGTTAGACATTTTCAAAATTTTGTCGCAAAGACCTAATTGATTTGGTATTGTGCATTTGCAAGACTCACATTGTCTTTGTTAACTCTGCTAGGAAGATAACAGATAGAGAGATGACTCATCTAAGTGTTGAGTTAACTTTTGATACAGCTTCTTTCATGTTAACACCAGAGTCAACAGGATTCCAAAAGGATCAGCAGCAGAAGGACTCTGACACATCAGCTACCGCAGGAAGCATAGTTCATCCAGAAACTGAAGAACCCCAAGCACTCCTAAAGTTTAAAGTCCTATCCTTAGTTGCTATGAATTACTTTGAAATGGCACCACCACAGTCCCTGGAAGAGTTGAATGAGTTTGAAGAATACTTGAGAGAAGTTAAGGCAATCTTAGGAGGTGTTTCATATGAAGGTAGTTTGGTGATTTCTGTGGAGTGTGATTCTCTTGAAATGCTGGAGGGAGTAGTGCGAGTTGACTTTTGATAATGCTTGGCTAATGCTTGAAACATCAGCTTAGAATTTCTTCACAGTGGCCAATTTACATTTTAAACTTGTTTGATAAACCAAATTACTTGAGCTACTGATGATTTTGCTTTTTAGTTTGTTGGCACATTTATCATTCATCAGAGTGGAATGAGTTAGGGCTAATGCTTAAAACGTCATCTGAGAAACTTTTTACTGTGCCCAATTTACATTTATCAACTCAGTTGATAAAACCAAATTAAATGAGTCACTGATGATTTTTGCTTTATAGTTTGCTGGCGACATTTATAGTTCTTTTCACCCTCATGTCATACTTAAAATAAAAACAAGTTAGACATTTTCAAAATTTTGTCGCAAAGACCTAATTGATTTGGTATTGTGCATTTGCAAGACTCACATTGTCTTTGTTAACTCTGCTAGGAAGATAACAGATAGAGAGATGACTCATCTAAGTGTTGAGTTAACTTTTGATACAGCTTCTTTCATGTTAACACCAGAGTCAACAGGATTCCAAAAGGATCAGCAGCAGAAGGACTCTGACACATCAGCTACCGCAGGAAGCATAGTTCATCCAGAAACTGAAGATCCCCAAGCACTCCAACAGTTCAAATTCCTATCCTTAGTTGCTATGAAGTACCTTAAAATCATATTTCCACAGTCCCTGGAAGAGTTGGATGAGTTTATAGAAAACTTGAGAGAAGTTAAGGCAATCATAGCAGCTGTTTCATATGAAGGTAGTTTGGGGATTTCTGTGGAGTGTGATTCTCTTGAAAGCCTGGAGGGAGTTGTGCGAGTTGACTTTTGATAATGCTTGAAACATCAGCTTAGAATTTCTTCACAGTGGCCAATTTACATTTTAAACTTGTTTGATAAACCAAATTGAGTCATTGATGATTTTTGCTTTTTAGTTTGTTGGCACATTTATCATTCTCCTCACCCTAACCTGGTAATTAAGATAAAAAATACTTCACCACTACTTTGGTTTTAGAACAAAAACTTTTGGGAAATTTCAGAGATAAGAAGGCAAATTAAAAACGAATTTAAGTTCAATGAATTTTTTTTGGTTGAAAGGAGATAAAAAGAATGCTGTTAAATGCCCTTATTTTGTTTTCCATCAATTCAAATGTAGAGTTTTCCTCCCTCTGTCCTTCAGTTTAAAGGAATCTCAAGTTGACTGTTGTGAGGATTGCTGGAATAGGTACATTTGAGTCTGACATGAGGAAGACACTGAATGCTAATTTAACTCTGCACTTTTGGTCATAGGTACTTCACCCTCATCTGATATGTTCACCATTAGTCATGAAAAAGAACAAGAACTACCTGAAACTATGAGACATCAGGAAAGAAAAGGTAAAGTAAAAAAAGAATCTGGAACTCAGATTAAATCAAATCTAATATGATACAAAATTTATATAGCAGTAGATGTAAGTTGTGAATATTTAGAACATTTCCAAACATTCAAGCCCAAGGAACTCGCTTGAGATAAATCTATACCACAACTTGTAGTTTTAATTATTTTAACAATGTATGGTAACCCTGTTCTTCTGTCATAGGATTAAATACAACTGCCTAACTGCCCTTTAGTTCCTGCAATATTCTGGGAGAGCACCTGCTACTGGAATATTGTTGACAGGTCTCATCAGAATGGAATGAGGAAGGGCTAATGCTTGAAATGTCAGCTTGGAAACTTTTTACTGTGCCTAATTTAGATTATCAACTCAGTTGATAAAACCAAATTAAATGAGTCACTGATGATTTTTGCTTTATAGTTTGCTGGCGACATTTATAGTTCTTTTCACCCTCATGTCATACTTAAAATAAAAACAAGTTAGACATTTTCAAAATTTTGTCGCAAAGACCTAATTGATTTGGTATTGTGCATTTGCAAGACTCACATTGTCTTTGTTAACTCTGCTAGGAAGATAACAGATAGAGAGATGACTCATCTAAGTGTTGAGTTAACTTTTGATACAGCTTCTTTCATGTTAACACCAGAGTCAACAGGATTCCAAAAGGATCAGCAGCAGAAGGACTCTGACACATCAGCTACCGCAGGAAGCATAGTTCATCCAGAAACTGAAGATCCCCAAGCACTCCTTAAGTTAATTGCTATGAATTACCTTGAAATCCCACCACCACAGTCCCTGGAAGAGTTGAAACATTTTAAAGAATACTTGAGAAGAATGAAAGAAATCATTGGTGTTCCATATGAAGGTAGTTTGGTGATTTCTGTGGAGTGTGATTCCCTTGAAGTGCTGGAGGGAGTAGTGCGAGTTGACTTTTGATAATGCTTGGCTAATGCTTGAAACATCAGCTTAGAATTTCTTCACAGTGGCCAATTTACATTTTAAACTTGTTTGATAAGCTAAATTACTTGAGCTACTGATGATTTTGCTTTTTAGTTTGTTGGCACATTTATCATTCATCAGAGAGAAATGAGTTAGGGCTAATGCTTGAAATGTCAGCTTGAAAACTTTTTACTGTGCCCAATTTAGATTATCAACTCAGTTGATAAAACCAAATTAAATGAGTCACTGATGATTTTTGCTTTATAGTTTGCTGGCAACATTTATAGTTCTTTTCCACCCTTGTGTCATACTTAAAATAAAAACAGGTTAGACATTTTCAAAATTTTGTCGCAAAGACCTAATTGATTTGGTCTTGTGCATTTGCAAGACTCACATTGTCTTTGTTAACTCTACTAGGAAGATAACAGATAGAGAGATGACTCATCTAAGTGTTGAGTTAACTTTTGATACAGCTTCTTTCATGTTAACACCAGAGTCAACAGGATTCCAAAAGGATCAGCAGCAGAAGGACTCTGACACATCGGCTACCGCAGGAAGCATAGTTCATCCAGAAACTGAAGAACCCCAAGCACTCCTAAAGTTTAAAGTCCTATCCTTAGTTGCTATGAATTACTTTGAAATGGCACCACCACAGTCCCTGGAAGAGTTGAATGAGTTTGAAGAATACTTGAGAGAAGTTAAGGCAATCTTAGGAGGTGTTTCATATGAAGGTAGTTTGGTGATTTCTGTGGAGTGTGATTCTCTTGAAATGCTGGAGGGAGTAGTGCGAGTTGACTTTTGATAATGCTTGGCTAATGCTTGAAACATCAGCTTAGAATTTCTTCACAGTGGCCAATTTACATTTTAAACTTGTTTGATAAACCAAATTACTTGAGCTACTGATGATTTTGCTTTTTAGTTTGTTGGCACATTTATCATTCATCAGAGAGAAATGAGTAAGGGTTAATGCTTGAAATGTCAGCTGAGAAACTTTTTACTGTGCCCAATTTACATTTATCAACTCAGTTGATAAAACCAAATTAAATGAGTCACTGATGATTTTTGCTTTATAGTTTGCTGGCGACATTTATAGTTCTTTTCATCCTCATGTCATACTTAAAATAAAAACAAGTTAGACATTTTCAAAATTTTGTCACAAAGACCTAATTGATTTGGTATTGTGCATTTGCAAGACTCACATTGTCTTTGTTAACTCTGCTAGGAAGATAACAGATAGAGAGATGACTCATCTAAGTGTTGAGTTAACTTTTGATACAGCTTCTTTCATGTTAACACCAGAGTCAACAGGATTCCAAAAGGATCAGCAGCAGAAGGACTCTGACACATCAGCTACCGCAGGAAGCATAGTTCATCCAGAAACTGAAGATCCCCAAGCACTCCTTAAGTTAATTGCTATGAATTACCTTGAAATCACACCACCACAGTCCCTGAAAGAGTTGAAACATTTTAAAGAATACTTGAGAAGAATGAAAGAAATCATTGGTGTTCCATATGAAGGTAGTTTGGTGATTTCTGTGGAGTGTGATTCCCTTGAAGTGCTGGAGGGAGTAGTGCGAGTTGACTTTTGATAATGCTTGGCTAATGCTTGAAACATCAGCTTAGAATTTCTTCACAGTGGCCAATTTACATTTTAAACTTGTTTGATAAGCTAAATTACTTGAGCTACTGATGATTTTGCTTTTTAGTTTGTTGGCACATTTATCATTCTCCTCACCCTAACCTGGTAATTAAGATAAAAAATTATTCACCACTACTTTCACAAAGACCTAATTGATTTGGTATTGTGCATTTGCAAGACTCACATTGTCTTTGTTAACTCTGCTAGGAAGATAACAGATAGAGAGATGACTCATCTAAGTGTTGAGTTAACTTTTGATACAGCTTCTTTCATGTTAACACCAGAGTCAACAGGATTCCAAAAGGATCAGCAGCAGAAGGACTCTAACACATCAGCTACCGCAGGAAGCATAGTTCATCCAGAAACTGAAGATCCCCAAGCACTCCTAAAGTTTAAAGTCCTATTCTCAATTGCTCAGAATTGCCTTGAAAACATATCACCACAGTCCATGGAAGAGTGGAATAATTTAATAGAATACTTGAGCAAAGTGAAGGCAGTCATAGCAGGTGTTTCATATGAAGGTAGTTTGGTGATTTCTGTGGTGTGATTCTCTTGAGAGCCTAGAGGGAGTAGTGGGAGTTGACTTTTGATACTGACAGGTTATCTCGTGTTAATGCCAGAGGCAGCAGGATTCCAAAAGGATCAGCACCAGGCCTCTGCCGCATCAACTACTGCCGGAAGCATACTTCATCCAAAAACTAAAGATTTCCTAGCACTCAAACAGAAAATCCTACAGTTAAGTGCTATGAATTACTTCAAGACCACACCACTTCATTCCATAAAAGAGAGCAATGAGTTTAAGTTTTCTATTGGGAATAACAAGATCAGTGTTGGGAAGTAAGTATATGTGAAAAGTTGAGTACATTTATTAAATTTTTTGCCTGATTGACTGAACATTGCTACGTAACCTCAAGCTCCAATCTCATTGCCTGGCTTCAACAAATATGGTCAATGAATTTGTTAGCAAAGTGAGAAAGAAATATCTGTGACCAAACCATGTGGCAATGGTGGAAAAGAGTAGATTTCTTTTTTGTGTGCATTTTTAGTAAAACAGATATTCTTCTCAGGCTTGCAGAATATGAGATTATCTTTACCAACTTGGGAATATTCATCTTGTTGGTTACTTATCATCTCATATTTGGCACACTCCAGTAGAATTATAGTTAATTAGTGCTTTTGTTCAACACCCAAAGTAATTAGTGAATTATGCCGTCATGTGACTGAAGAAAATTTTCCAGAAATGTTTGCATTGAACAGCATGCACAGAGAGTTATTATATTATTTTTTTTTACTGTTTTTGAAGATGATAATGCCCTTCCTTGTTCCCTCTCTTGTTTATTGGATTTCACATCTCTCATTTTACAGAAGCAAGATTACCAAGGACGGAGGAGTACTAATAGTGCAAAACGTTCCATCGCGTGTAATGTTCCCTCCTAAAGCTCTGTCAACATGTACAGAGGTCACATGTTCTTTATGGAATCTGCAGATTCTATCACCACCCCTTGGAAGAAATGAGGCCTTAGTGAGCAGTGTGATGGAACTAGCCTGTGGAAGCCTTCTTGGTACAGAGAAACGTTACGAGTTCAATGTGAAAGTGAAGTTGGCTTTATCCTACAGTGCTAGTGACATTAAAGGATACGAATTGGTGATCAAAGAATTGATCAATGAGAAGACCAATGATTGGAGAGACTTGGAAACCAGATGGGCTTGGACATCATCAGGTAGAGGCTATTTTGGTAATTTACTGGGTACAGTCATCCTTCCTTAGACAACTTTACCTCTTCCTTTGCACGAAACCATAAACAACTTTGACTGTATAAGAAGATACACAGGCTCTGTAATTCTTTCTTGTAGACTTAGTTTGTGATTGAAGTTGGTCGCTGTAATGTTCATTTTTATCTTGTGTGTTTGTCCAACTACCACTTCGGTTGTTTTTTTTCTTCTGATATAACAATCGTTCTTGCCAGACATAAATTTAAAGAACTGTGAAATTGAATCAACAGAGATATATTGAAAATAGAGGATTTCTTGATTGTCATGAGGAAATTCAACAACAACTTCTGTTTCATTACAGATATCAAAGATGAGCATTCCAGCGTGGAAGAATTCCCAGACTGGTTGTTTCCGTTTGCGGAGGCAGAAATTACGAGGTTTTCTTCATTTGCGGTGGTCTGGCGTCTCAAGTCTTTCACGTTTAAAAGCCCTTCGACTTTGTCATCTTCCTTTCCCTGCATTCTGTCAGACCATCCAGGAGTGAGTGTAACATTGCCTGTGAGTTCTCTCCCTACAGGAAAAACCTTCGCTCTCACTGTAAAGGTACATGTACATCACTTTTACTAGAATATTTCCCAATAGTTTCCATATTAACATCAAGCTTTTGCTGTTAAAGACAAGATTTTTTAACACGAAGACAGACTTATCAGCCTATAATTCGATAAGCATGATGTTTCGATGCACATAATGGTTATTACTTACCTTCAATCAGCGACTTCTGTGAGTGTTGATTGTGTATTCAGTTTGCTTTACCGACTCTTTATTAAGTTGGGGCGCTTTTGGGTTTTCATTAGTTCACACAGTACAGCTTCATCTTTCTTTGAAGGTGCAAGAGATTCCATGCAATGATACTGTGCTGAAAGAACTAGTAGTTGCTGGGCCTATTCTTCACATTTCACCTTCTGAACCAGTTCAGCTGTTAGCACCTACTAGGCTCACAATCCCAGTTTCACTTCGGGAAGACATACCCAAATTTCCGGATTATTCGGCCACTGACATCAGGATATTTTGCCGAACCTCTGAAGAAGACGAGAGTGAATGGAATGAAGTCACAGAGCAGCTAGAAAATAAAGCGGTTCTTAAAAATGGGACAGTGACGTTCACAGTAAATCACTTCTCAATGTAAGTATACTCTTCTGGCTGTTTTGAAAGCAGTAATATACTGCAAAGCATTCAGGTAGGTAGTGTCCTGGCGAATCTTTCAGAGGAAAGACATGCATCATTAGGTGACACCTGGGTGTACAAAAATGTGGATATCTCTGTTAGAACTACAGAAAAGACTAAAAGCAAGAACAAAGGAAACCAAACTACTGGATTATTACTCTAAAGCCGATTCGCCAATTTTAGGTATTTATTACAAACCTTAATCGACCTTTTAGGGATCTCAGTTTATTACAAAATCTTTTCTCCATCTTGAGCCTCAGCGCCAACCCACTGTACGATTTTTATTCGGGAATTGTCGATTCACTTATTTTCATTCATTAATGTAGTCGGCTTTTCTTCTTAGTAAAGGGCTATTGTGTTTATATGATAAACAAAATAATTCATGGATGCTTGCAGATATGGCATTTCTCTTCGAGTGTTCAACTCGACATCTCACTTGTGAGCTATAGAGTTAAACACTAGAAGAGAAATTCTATATCAACGCGCGCCCGTGTATTATCTCTATATTCCCTTGTTCTAAGATGTGCACGCTCTGATTTGGTGATGAATGATCGGGAATGCTCTCTTCACTCTGACGACTATATGAATAGATGTTAATTTTGTGTCGTTTTCCTTTAGGTACTGGGTTTGGATTGACCTATTGAAACTACCCTTTGATATCTTGAAGCATCTTGTCGATTACCTCAGTGGAAAATCGATGTTACAACGAGTAGGATTTTTTGCTCGTTTATATGCTATAGAAAATTCTACGAACTACGTGCTGACTCTTTACTGTTTCCCACTCCATCTTGAAGAACAAGTGCATACTCGAACATCTTCAACTGATCACTGCGTTCGTGCTCAAGGGGAAGGAAACTCGCTGAAGCCACTGTGTAAAGAAGATCAGATGTCTGTGTCACTTTCCAAAGCATTTACTGTGACGCAAGAAGAAAATCTAGACAACTTCTTGACGTGAGTTTATTCATTTTTGCTTATCCTTTTTCCATTGTTTCCGGCAACTTGGAGCAGATGCGTTAAGAGAAACATATCTTTTGCCTGGACAAAAAGAAATACCTAGTATTTATTTCTTCGTTTAATTTGTTTGTGCCAGGTTTCTCGGAACTGAACCTTTTAAACGAAGTTTGCGTGTATCTGTTAGCGACCTCAGAAACCTGCAAGTAGAGTTGTACATGGGGAATCAAGATTACAGACAAACATTATGCACGCTGTATTTCATTCCGACCTCTTCAGATCAGGTATGTATTGTGTGAAGTTGAAAAAATGGAACTAGTGGAGTAAATTTCCCTTCGGCTGAGTAACTCTCAGGATCCACCCGCCCAAAAGATACTTCCACGCTGTCGTGCAAAGTGCGTGACTAGGAAGCTTCATAGAAGATTAAGGTAGCTCTTTCAAATAACTCCTTCACTGTACTTCCTTGTCTATATTATTTCCATCTTGTATCGTTGCATCTATTTGGAACTGGTGAGGTTACGTTAGAATTAAATCGCCACTGGCAGAGCTAAACTACTCTTTTTGTGGATATCTAGTCAGACAGTTTGCTACAGCTTGAGTTGTGCATATTGTTAGTGAAAATAAAATGAAGACGCTATCACAAGGGAGACTTTACGTCCCCGTGAAATCACGGGAATAAATCGCAGCAGAAATCAATCGTACTCAAAACCGCAGCAAAAATCGCCTGTGTGAATGGCCGTTAATGTAAGGGGTTTTCTTTTAAAACGACCGACGACCACCCATCACACTTGCCCTAGAGTCTCCTCGGTTTTGAAGGACTCTAGCTTGGTAAAGGCACAGGGCATATCCTTAGTATAGTGTATAGTATAGTGTATATCCTTAGAGAGTCAAATGAACCAATTGACGACAATTTTCAGTGACAAGGTTAGAGAATTGATAGATATAAATGTGGGATAGTATATTTTTTCTAACAAATTAAGTATCTCTATTGCAGAGCTCTTCCCCCCGGAACTCTCCTTCTGCAGCACAGGTAGTCATGCGTGAGCAAAGGGAAGATCAGGTGAGAAAAGCAACGTTCTTAAATATTGAAGAAAACAGCTACAAGAAATTAGAAAAATCAACGAAATATGTTCTTATACTTCCAGATCGTAAACTTACTTACGGATCAAATAAAAAGATTTATTCGAAGTTTCGCGTTATGATAATAATTAATCATTTGATTTTGATGGAGTCACGCGCTGAAAAAAGCCTTCCACAAGTTGAGCAATTTTTTATTTGCGTTTTCCAGTCTTCGTTTAAAGGTATCAGTTCATTAAAATTGGTCATGTAGTCTGATCGTCCGGGTAAGTGTAGTCCTGACGACTCTGGGGACTGTTGTCGGTAGTAATGACTGACGTTTTGACAAACACAGTAGAAGTCATAATCAGACGGTCCAGTGAAGGGTTGTTGCCAGACGATTGTTATAAGTCGGGGTTGTGTAGACTGATTGGTCACGAATACACACCCAGACAGAATCACGTTTCTATAACCTTGTCATGTTATTTCAGGGATTCAGCACAGCTTTGCCCTCACCGAAAGCACCTGAAGGAACAGATTCAAGTAATTCCCTAAAAGAAGATTTGAAAGTTATAATCTTAGCAGACGAGTGGAATTCACTTAAAGGTGGATTATCGACGTTTAACAGAGAACTTGCCATTCATTTAGCAAGCCGTTCCGGTACTCAAGTCACTGTCTTTGTTCCTCACTGTGCATGTGGAGAGGAAGAAAAAGCAGCAGCTGCGGAAAATCGTATTACTATCATTGAGGCAGAGAAATGTATTGCATGCTCTCCTCTCGAAGAATTGTTTTTTCTACCGAAAGGTCATCCAATTGATGTGGTAATTGGTCACGGCGTGAAGCTTGGTAAACAGGCTCAGATTATTAGAAAAAATCATGACTGCAAGTGGGTTCAAGTAGTGCACACTGCTCCTGATGAACTCGGTATGTACAAGGACTATCCGAAAGCTGTCGCACAAAGTGAGGAAAAGAACCAGCGTGAGGTTAGTCTATGCGAAACAGCTGACCTTGTCATGGCAGTTGGGCCTAAATTGAAAGGTTTCTACTCCAACCATCTACGCTCTTTCAACAAAGACCAAAATGTTGTGCAATTTACACCGGGAATTATGAAAGATTTAACTGATGTGGAGTTGTCGCTCCACGAGAATGACGAGTTTCAGGTACTGATGTTTGGGCGTGGTGATGACGAAGACTTCGAGCTTAAAGGCTACGATGTTGCTGCTGAGGCATTTGCAAGTCCTGAGCTGAAAAACGATTCCTATCATCTCACATTCGTTGGAGCGGCCCTCGGAAAACAAGACGAATTTGCAGCGAAGGTTCTCCAACATGGCATTTCTAAAAACCAGCTATCTGTCAAAGAATATATCAAGGATAGAAATCGATTAAAAGAGCTGCTTCTTCGTATGGATCTGGTTATCATGCCCTCAAGAACAGAGGGATTTGGACTCACTGCACTGGAGGCCCTATCCGCTGGTTTGCCTGTCCTTGCCGGCCATAACTCAGGCTTTTCAAAAGCCTTGCGGGAAGTAGAATTTGGAGAACTCTGTGTAGTTAATTCCGATAAACCCGAAGACTGGTCAAAGGCCATTAAGAAGGTTCGTCAAAAGGAGAGAAAAAAGCGGCTAAAAGAGATGCAACGACTGCGGGAATCTTATGAACGGAACTACAACTGGGAAGAACAATGCGAGATTCTTCTAAGGGAGATGAGGAGAAAAGTTTTTGGTAGGCAGGTTCTTTTTTCCTTTCCATCCTTGCTTTATTCAAATCTTTGACAATTGAGGTAATGACTTTTTCTGCAAAGTCTCCTTTTTTTATTTCTCTCTTTTATTGTCCACTCATTCGTTTTTCTCGTCATTCGCTAATTGATCCATCGATGTATCTGTTCTTTATTCATTCATTTATGTATTTACTTATTCATAAATCTGTATGCTTATCTATTCATGCCTAACTCTTTCTCCTTTCTTCTTCCCTTCATTTATGTCTTCCTACCTTTCTCTCTTTCTTCTCTCCTCTTTCCTGCCGGTTATTCCTTCATCTCTTCACCAATATTTCTACTACTACTAGAAAATCAATTTACATTCTTTAAATTTGTCGATTCAAGCCTTTAATTACTCTTATACTTTTCAGCGTAGAACCTCAGCGCATCGTCAGTAGGCCTATGAAGACACCGTGAGAAGCAAGCAATATGGTGATTCAACACAGAATTTTGTATTACTGAAGAAATAAGACAATTGACGTCTTTTTTTCAATTTTTTAATTCATTGTATTAGCCAGGAAACGTTTACCCAAGTTAGGCTTTGTAAGATCACCAGATTCAGATGTACATATTTTAGTTTTGATATAAATTTCCTCGCAGTGCAATACTGAAGTTTAATAGTCAGTGGTTTCACCCAGAGACCGAACCAACAGTTACGAAAGATGATATGTTACTCGTACACATTTAATGGATATTATATATTTTTTTGCTTCCCGTCTTTTTATGACGATAAAGCTATGCAATTTTATCCTATTTGAGCAAAAAAAAAAGCCACTCACTGTTCTTGCTGCATTTGGGATCTGTCACATCTGTGTGGAGAATTCTGACTCAAAGACGCGAAGATGTGATATAGTGTTCGAGTGGTGGAACAATTTTCAGATAAGAGTCGAGGGTTATCAGAGAGTTATCCTTCAACATGCTCTGCGATTGGCGTAGACAACTCTCGCCAACTTATTTCAACCAATAAGATGCAAACCAAAAAACAGTCGCGACTAAGTCACTGACGTTTTCGGACAGGTAGTTTGCGTTTTTCATTTTTATTTTTTTTTATTTCGAGTTGACGACGGTTTCTTGAGATATTTTTTTCTGCTTTGATCGACGGTTATGATAAGACATCCAAACGAAAAGTGCTCCAAGAATAATATGAATTGTTTTACCACGAGAACTTTACAATGATTTGTTCGAACTTCCGTCTACCGTAGTGTGAAACTGAAGCGCTTAATTGTTTAACAAGCAAGAACTCGAACAAATTCACGAGTTTAAAGCTCAGACCTGTTGTTATCTCCTTAAAAATCAAGTCTGTAAACGCCCATCAAATAGGATAACAAAACACGGCCCATTTAATGCATAAAATTAAAACAAATACTTGGTGACTTGCAAAAATATGGTATGTAGTATTTGAAGGTTGAAGCATTCTTAATCCTTAGTTATATATGTCGTTTTCCAGACCAACACACTATAGTCGACATTCTAGCGGTATTTGGGACAACATCTATGGGAATACGCCCTACCAGGCGGGAAAAAGCGCGATCCTCAACACTATGAGAAAATTATGAAAGATAGGTAGCAACGTACAGACGTGTATAACAACAGTAAGACATGCATTCTGTAATTCCGTAGGGAAAATATAATCTTTCAAATAAATTAACATTCTACCGTAAGTTGTGGTTTTTTTTTTCTTTAGCTAAGTCCGAAAAAATCGTTATAACACCTGTCATTCTTCGATCCTTTACCCATAAGTTAGTTTAACCTTACAGTTATTCCCGTAGAGGCTTGGACAAGAAACACTCTTAGAAATGAGACCAGTTGGAACTAGAGTGACGTGCATATTCCCGGCCCTAATCCCTTGCAGACAGGTAAGTATCTAACTATGTTGTGGTCTTTTGCGATTGGAACTGACAGTGACACTGATGTTAATATTTTTAGTAACGTAGTAAAGCCGGAATAGAAAGGCGAGAGACGAACTTTGATCGTACTTTTGCGATGCTTTCGTTTTTCAATACGCATGCCCAACCATGACACTTACCCTTAATAGATAGCCTGTGTGTCAGCCTCAGCCAATGTGCCTAGCGGTTTCGTGCGCGATTTTAAGCGTCAAACGGCGGAGCTGCGAAGAACAGGCCGTGAAGCTGCTAGAGGCTTTGAATGAAAAAATAGCCGGGGTTTTCCACCGGGAACTTCACCGCTCGTCTCTGTGGCTCGGTTGCCTTTATTGCTATTGAGTACCCAAAAACTTTTGAACATGGACGGGCCAGGTAAAAGCTGCAGCGTGGCACTTTTGACCGACCTTGCAGGGACACAGATATCTATGAGTTTAGTCCCTGAACCCTCCCTTCTGCCCCCTATACCTCATCTTGAGAAGTACTCAGCAATGTTCACCTCGGGAATAATTAAATGAGACAAATCACCGAAGAAAGGAACCATCGCCCAAAGAGTCAGTCTGTACATGGCCAGCGGTGTAACTGTAATGGGTAAATTCAACATGGCGCAACACATGCCGCAGACTAGACATGGTTGCTGCAGTTTTCAGCTGCAGTAAGACCGCGGTTTCTCCCAAAGAAATTTCAAGCCGGTTCTACCAATGTGGAGAAGGGAAATACTGTCGCTGTAAAGACGAATATTGTGAGTAGCAAGGCGATGGAGAGCTACAACAGCGGCAAATACTAAGGCAGAGAGACTGAGATGAAGCGAGAAAATTATTCCGTGAGAACAAGAACGTGAGTAAGTATTTCTCAACATTTCTCCAGGTATTTTGACCTTATGATTTAATTCCAGTGTTTCGGTTTCTCAGAGAGGGAATTTTGAGATGAAGTGGTTATGAGTTATCGCACTGAATCAAAGAACATGCGTCCGATGGCCAGGCCTATCGAATCGAAATTTTAATAGTGAAATTGCGGGAGAGATAAAAATCAGACATTTTTGATGCTACTCTGGTGTCAGGATTTAATGAATGTAACCAAGAAGTTACAGTTCATGGACCCAACGTTTCGACACTCCTACCTCGTGCCTTCATCAGGGGTGATCTAAACGCTGCAACAAGAGGTCCTTTTTATACGCTCACTAATTAGCTGCCCTTCTCTGACAAGGTGTAAATAGGCGTCAGGAAGTAAGCCGCCATCACGATTTAAAGGAGCATGGGCGGAGTTGATATGCCAGACTTCCAAACAAAGGCACTGGTGGTAGCACTGATTAGTGGTGATAATTTTAGACTTATCCCACCCAATTGGATGGTTAGTTAGGCATGTTTGCTCTGATAACGCTGGATTTTCTTTTTTGTGTAACAAGACCACTTTTTGATGCTCTTTCAAACATGTACCAAACCAATGTTTGGTCTGTCCGATAAACTTGTTAACACAGTCATTGCACAGAATAGAATAAATAGCATCGGTTTGTTGTTCTTTCATGACAGGATCCTTAGATTTTGCAAAAATATGCCCCAGTCTGAAAAGGTTTTTGAGCAACTTTAACGTTGTGGCTATTCAAAATTCTCTTGGTGGGTTCTGTAACACCTGAATGTAGGGAATAACAGCAAAACCAGTTGCTGGTTCCCTCTCATCAGGAGTGCTACTAGTTATAACTGGTTTTTGGCACTGGATTCATCAGTCTGAGAAAAGTAAAGAATAAAACAACATCAAAATGAAAAGGCTATATTTGATGAAAGACACAACCTTAGAGGTGAGCTCAACACACTTAAATGGTCAAATGACAAATTAGTCTCTAAAACAAAAGAATAAGAACTTAAGACTCCGTTTATCGCCATGAAGTTGTAAGTATTTGGGTGTAAAACTTGGTTGTATCGATCATAATCAAGTAAGTTACTTCATACTCTCTTTTCAGCAAAACAACATTCAATTATGAAGGGCAATACCTCAAAAGAAGCCCCAAACATAGCGTAAGCTCCCTCAGCTGGAGTTGGTGGATCAGGTACTAATTGTTTCTCTACATTTTCATCTGTGTAAACCTTGTAGTATTGAGCTGGGGGAAGAGGAAATAGACAGACACCTTCAGCAGCCATCTTGGAAATTACTCAGATGGCTTAAGTGGACTATGGGTGACATATCTAGTTCCCAGTCCAATATGCAAGTTTTTTTCCCCACAGGGGAATTATGTTGAGCCCGCATTCCTAGCAGCTGCTGGTAAGGTGATACAATAATGTTTTTTCTGGCAATATTAATATAGCTTTTTCCCAAAATAATTTTCCATTCTTCCAGACATTTCAAGAAGTTAAGCGGGAACTTGAAAGAGAGGTCCCAGATTACAGTCTTCTTTTTCTCCTTGAAATTCTTGATATAGCATCAAATTTCCTAACCTTTAAACTCCTAAGATCTGATTGTCAATTCTCCCTTCTGGCTGCTTCACATTTCCTTTTAAAATAGTTGGGATAGTGTAGTGTTAGATCAAGAAAAAAAACTTTAACTTGATAATTTTGGATATTCTCATCTCCTGTTTGCTGGATAATGTATGGATATAATACAGAGAAGTTGCATGTCAGTCACTTCTGGGAATTTAAAGGTTACCTACACCATGATATGGGAATGTGAAACATCATAGACCAACTTCAAGATGAAAATATGCCTTGTAACAAGCTGTAGAAACCAATCCCCCTCCTAGCCCCAGTCTATGCGGCTATCCATATGAGTTTGACTTTCGCGCGGATCATGAAAATAAAAGATGCGAGCTTGAGTTGAAATGTAATCGCCAGAACGTTCTTATGCCAGTCGTATTCCAAAATCGTCTGGTAAATTGTTCTTTCTTTTAGTGTTATTAGTATTTCCTATGTTAGTTACAATCTTGTTATTAGTTGTTCCGTCCTTAATGTATTATGTTCGTAACACTTTATTTAGAAACCACAGGCAATGGCGTGTAGGTAAAAGAGTTCGATCGAGTCGTCATTAAATTAAACTCCTCTTAAATTTATCGCTAGTGCGTTGGTTATACAAGTGAAAAAATTAATTTGCTGGGGCACAAATACTTAGAGCATGACCATAAAATCTGGGGCTCAAAATAGTAGGATGCTACCATTTCCTTTTTAGTCTTCCCACTCAAAACCTAGAATGGATACTTCTTGTTAAAAAATCTGTGATAATGATTTTTCAGGCAACACTTGGGGGAAAGATGAAAGGAAGAAGCGTTCAGTATCATTCGAATATATCGAAAGACGAAGGAAGGGTATTTTATGAAAAGTTTATCACCCTTTGTGAGGTATTTTTGTGTTAATGGTTTTCAGTTTTGTCGAAAACTCTAGACATCCTTCTGCGGGACTCTTTGTGAGTTTCTAAACACTTGTTGCACTCGCGAGTTACAGATGTTATGCGAGTGATGTGATTCTCGCACATAGTTTGTGCTCGTGTACGCCAAGAGCTAGGAGCAGACTTGCGTCATAATCTTTGTTAGCTTCCAGTTGTCATGGACGTATCGGCATTCCTCAGTTGTCCCATTAAATAACTGTTGTAAGGGTGTGCTTCTAAGAAGCGTAACTTACCCAGAACTTCCCCTTCTCTCCCTCCCTCCTTTTATTTATTTATTCCTTTCTTCTCTTTCTCTCGTCTTTTTCCTCAAGTATAGTATTTTGTTCCTTGGTGTATCACCCTTTGTGAGGTATTTTTGTGTTAATGGTTTTCAGTTTTGTCGAAAAAAAAAACTCGTCTTTTTCCTCAAGTATAGTATTTTGTTCCTTGGTGTATCTAGGAAACAGTCCAAGCTAACTCGACAAATCTACCGGACTCCCCTCCGAAAAAAGTGAAGCACGGTGAGATTATTGGTGAAAACACAATTACACGTGCCCGATTGGCGCGCTCTCCGAGTGCATTTCGCAAACTCGTGAAGTAACAACGGCTAATCAGAAAAAAGGAAAACATCACGTGGAGCCGATGAGAAACTGGAGTAAATACGAGCAAACGTCCATCAAGCGCTAGAACAAGACGAGTTACAAGTCACAGAGTGAGGCGCGTTATCCAGACCAATTGCATTATGTTGAAAAACAAAATCAGTGCAATACGGATTACTTTTACACGCATTTGAAATTAAATTTATCATATTATTTAGCTTATGCTATTTTTTAAATTATACTTAGTGTTTTGCGTCACTAGTTTATTTTTCTGTTTTCAGGCACGTATGGAAACAGACAAGTGCTGAGTGTGGAAACAAACGGGCCATTTACACACGTGTTTGACTTTTAGGACATCTTTTACGACAGTGTAGTTACGACCTCAACATTTTGCGAGACTGGGTGTTTACGTTGAAGAGGAGCAATTGATGAACTGATTGTCTCTCTCTGTTTTCTTTTACGACACGATCGTGGTCATAAGCTTGCGAAAAATGCGGAACGACAAGAGAGGATCCCCTATTTAAGACCAAGAAGGGAAATTGAATTATGAATTCCCAACTGCGAGTCAAAGTATGAAACTTGTAAAATCTGAGTGTGTATACATTTTACAAATTTAGCGAATTAGTGTCAAACCCTGAGTGCACAGGTCTACCAATCAAGCCACTACGTCCCCTTACGTTGCTAAGTGCAGTCAAATAAGAAACTTAAATCTTGAATTCAAGTACACTGTTACTATTTTTATGTATAAACTTAGTTCGCTATATTCATTATCCTGCAATGTTAATTAGATAAATATATAAATAATTTAATAATTGCTTGTGGTGAAACATTACATTGATTCACTAGCTAGACTTAAAATTTTGGAGTGAGGTAGCGGAGTTGCCTCCTTTTCAAGAATGTGGCGAGGTGGCTGTTCATTCGTGTAGATCTATTCAGCACAGAAAACTCTGTCCATTACTTGTGTTGCATCTTTTCATATGATTACAATCCTCTACTCAGTAAAAACCTTATTCCACATTTTATCCACAAGAGTTTCACATTGCCTTTTCCAACTGTACGTCTGTTCATAAGATTTTCGCAGGCTTTGTATTTCTTTCAGGCGTTTTCCCCTTTTCTTCTCGAAAACCTTTATGATCGCGTCTGACCAATCTTTTGCCTTTTCACTCTCAACCACACAGTGGTCTCCAAATTCTACATCACTTAGCGCTTTTGCGAAACCTGAGCTTTTGCCAACAAGAATTGGCACACCGGCAGACAAGGCCTCGAGCGCAGTGAAACCGAATCCTTCAGTTCTTGAAGGCATAAGAACAAGATCCACGCTGACTAGTAATTGCTTTAATAGTTTTCTATCTTCAACGTAACGTCCGAAACTCAATTGAGTTTCGCGAACACCATACCGCAAAATCCTCTTCGCAAAATTGTCTTGTTGCTCACTAGATGCACCGACAAATTTTATTTGAAAGCAATCTTTTTTTAGCTCATCAAGTGCGAATGCCTTGGCTACTATATCGTAACCTTTAAGTCTGAAGTCCTCGTTATCACCACGCCCAAACACAAGAACCTGAAACACGTCATTCTCGTGTGGTGATTGTTCTGCATCCGTTAGATCCTCTATTATGCCAGGAGTAAATTTCACAAAATCTTGCTCTTTCTTAACACAACGGAGACGATGGGAGTAAAAGCTCTCTAATTTTGGACCAACTGGCAGGACAAGGTCGGCTTTTGCACACAGCTCCAGCTCGCTTAGGTTCTTCTCTTCACCTTTTGCAATAGCTTTCGGATAGTCTTTGAACATACCAAGTTGCTCAGGCACGGTGTGAACCACGTGAACCCACTTGCACCTATGGGAGTTTTTAATAACTTGAGCTTGTCTTCCAAGCTTCACACCATGGCCGATGATTATGTCAATTTGAGGGTCTTTCGGTGGGAAAAATAATTGTTCTTGGGAAGTACAGGCTGTGAGTTGTTCTGCCTCGATAATTGTAACCCCTTTCTCTTTTGCTGTTTCCTTTACTTCTCTCCCACAAACACCATGTGGGACGAAGAAAGTGACATCGACTTTTGGATTTCTCGCCAAGTGAATAGCAAGTTCTCTATTAAAAGTTGATAAACCACCTTTCAGTGAATTCCATTCATCTGCCAATATAGTTATTCTCAATATTCTGTCGATGGAAATGCTCGAGTCCTCTGGTTCAAATCCCCTTGGTGAAATGGACGCTTGGCTGTCTCTAGGAATAAGCTACAACAAAATAAATACAGAAGCCGTTTGTCAAAAGTCACCATAAAAGGTTTTTTTCTGAGAATGTTACTCTCAACTTGGATTCACACAGAATGATGAGAGCCAGTTTAAATAACTGATTAGTCTAATTGTTATAGCCAAGCGTAGAGACCAAGAGATCTGTTTGACACGAAATAGCGATACGTTACAATCTTCTGGTGATAACCAAGAAGGAATGCAATGTGGTTCATGAGGAGCTTGATCCCTGAACTCCGCCGAATCACAAACCTGCACCCCCTCTCTCCCCCACCCAACTGCAAGTCCCTGGTTCAAAGCCGAATCAAGGTAGGTGACAGTTTTGGGTTGATAGGAAAGTATACAATGGCATGCCTAGCAGGCTCTTGCTTAGATAAGTGCAAACTAGATAGCTGCTCAACGATGCTGAATGGACAAATTTACAATCGTGCTATTTTGTGTTGGTTACATTTTACAGCTAATTACCTCCTTCGGCTTAGGGCAAACCCACAAGGACGTTGGAGCCTGAGCATTGATGGTTATTACACCATGTGGTTACTCGAAATATCTTACACAGAAATCGCAATACATCACATTGCACACTGCAGTCGGCAATCGCGATATATGAACCGATTAAGATCTAAAAGAGACTGCTTTGCTGCGATGTTGAGGTAAGTGAAAAACCTAACAGCTTATCGACAAAAAGCTAATTCCGCTGAGCGGATTTTACAGACTCTTGGTCGTTTTGCATTCTACAAACGATGAATGAAATCAAGGCTACTATGAATACTTGAATATGACAGTTACTGCATGAACATTTGTGATTTTACTAGTCATCTTTGGCTGAGTACGCTTGGAGATTGTTGTTCTTTTCAACCTGTAGGAGGTAACATTTAACTTGCCAATGTGCTTTCAATTATATAGTTTCTACTTGTATCTTTAGTTCTTGCCTGTCCATCTTGCTCCTTGTGCCTCATCCTCTCTTGCGATGTAGAGGGGAAGCTAAAATTGTAAGAGCCCTGCAACAGACACTAAAATCCTCAGATTGGTTCTTCATTTTTCTTCCTAACGTTGTTTGTTTAGGGGCTTGGCCGAGCCTCTAGAAGCCCACATCCATTGTTTTTTTCCAAATCCACTTGAAGCAATCTGAGAAATCGTTTGCCTCTTCTTCGCCCCACCCTCTCCGGTAAGCCCCATGTATTGTTTATCCAAGCTTATCAAAATTGCTAGCATTTCATTCCTGCACTAAATTTTCTATCAGGAGGGAGCCCCAAGGATTTACTGGGTCACACAAAAGACTGAGAATGCGTAATGTTGAGTGTGTGATGTTGATCTGATTTTTCCTGTAGGCCAACTCAAAACTGATCCTGTCAGTCTACTGGACTGTGCAAAACATTTTTGAGCAAAATAGCTCATGTACCTCCCACGGGGAGGGTTGGGGTGTGCCGAAGAGGGCAAATCCGCTGCTCTGTTTTTTCACTTTCCTTAGCGGCTGCTTTATCGCGTTAAGTGGATTAAATTCAACGATAAGATCATATGTAAGGTACCTGAGCTTGAGATGTTGGTATGACAAACAATGAACACAACATTTCCTTGTCAGATCGGTGTTCCTGCCACTTATAGAAGTCTACCTGTAGACAGCTTAGATCGACGACTCTAACGGGCACGCTACGTCGAGATGGCTGATTACCCAGAAACCTGAAGGACAGAAAACGCTTAGAGTTCTATAAAAGGTTACTAAAGAATCTGCTTGTGAGTAAGGGGTATAAATAACCCCTTGAACATAGGTTTGGCGAAAGAAGAGGATATGGCATTGAATTCTCCAAAATATTAGCTGAAAGCGATGCTGACCCTTTTTAGGTCACTTTGTCTCTCACGAGCAAATCATCAGAGTCTGAACAATTTGAAAAAGGGGAACCACTGATGGCAAAAACTTAAAAGTGAACGTTAAATCTTGATATTTGACACTTACTTCAGAAAAAAGTTTTCAAATTGTCCTTTTTGCACTACAATAAATGCTTCGGAGAGGGACACAAATGCTTGATCTTCCCTGCAAAGTGGCTTCAATGAGTTTTCTTCACCTTGACAGCACACACGGTATGTTGAAGATAAACCTTCTTGCACCAAGTTTTTTAAGTGGAATGGGAAACAACAAAGAGTTAGCAAGTAGTCCCCAGGTTTCCCTATATCACATAGGCAAGCTAAAAATCGGGCTTCTTGCGCCATGAGTCTCCTGTACAGATCCTGTACAGACGTCTTCATAGAAACAGCAGGTTTCTTCATCCAGTCTAGCCATACCCAAAACCTAAAGGAGAATATGAGACGTTGTGAGCTAACTACTTGAAGATTAATTTTTCAGTCCTCCATTTCCAAAACTGAAATCTTTATTCGGTCCGATCCCATTTTGGAGATTTTTCTTTGCAAGTTAAAAGCTGGGCTTTAATTCTCCTCGCGACGCGCGTTTGCGGTTTGGCCATGCATAGGTGAACGTGACTTGTTTTTAGAAGTTCTCTTTGTCTCATTTCCCTTGAACCATGAAGAAAGACTTCGAAAACAAAGTTGTTGTGAATCAGTCTCACTTGTGAATCTTGTGAATCGGTATTCCAGTGGGGGTAGCCTTAAACGCACAACTTAATAAATCCATCGTCACGATCAACGTTTTTAATCAATTTTAAGTTACCCAACCTCATGACGGGTCGTTTCAAACGGGTAATGCTGTACCACTAGAGGAAAAAGGAAATATTCTGAGTTTATGAACTCAGCGGACCGCACCAACTGGCCGTCCCAAAGGTCATATACTTACTCTGAGAGATGGTATACTTCAAAAGTCACTATTCCGTTCTCAAGATCTACTGATCGTCCTAGTTCTTCGGTCATTTCTGCCCATTCTGGTTCTTCGTCTTCAGAGCGTCGACAAAATATTCTTAAGTCATAGGGCGAATGGTATGGCAACTTAATCGTGTCTTCTCGCAGAGTAACGGGGAGTTTTAACGTGGCAGGTGTCGATAAGTGCCCTAGTTTTGGATTACACGAAATGTGAAGGATAGGTCCGCCAAAGATGGTTCTATTTGGAAATGCATCACACGGAGCCTCTTGTACCTGTACAGGAAACAGCAAGCGATTTGAAACAAGAAGAATATATGCAAGGAATCCAAATACAAAGTGACTGCCGGTGATTATAATCGATAAAGCGCAAAGATATAGCCATTCTTTTAAAACTACATGTTGCTTTCGGTCTCAAAGAAAGAAAAAGACGGAGCTCTTCACAATTATAAAGTATACTGCATTGTTTGGTCAACAAAGACAAACACTAAAGGCACTGAACTCCTTGGTTAAGTTACACTTGAATCCTTGCTATGTTACCTTTAACGTCAATGAAAAGTTTTCACTTGAAGGGAGAGAACTTTGAGGAACAATCACACTTAGTCCTGGATACTCTTGGAGAGAGCAAGTAAACTGAGAGGTCGTTAAGGATGGTTTGTTAAATTTGAACGACTTGAGGCGCCATACTACAGCAAAGGACGCGGAACTTCCTATTTCTGCCTCAACAAAAGGAAATAACCAATCTGGAAGTCGCTGCCTTCCAAAATGTCCACTTTCTAGATCTGCAATAAATCAAAGCAATAAGTAATGTCAGTGGTACTAAATATATAGCTTTCCACATTACTAAAGAAATTAAAAACGTTCTGTGGCTTGGAATCGTTTTAAAAAAAAACGATTTCAAGCTAAAGAACGTATTTAAAAATACATGCCTTACACAACCTGATCGGATCAAGCTAACTAATGGCATCCGAGGACTTCTTTCGAAAATCTAAGAACTGTGATAACATCCTAATTAACTGGCTCATTACTTAACATCATTCGCGCGCAAATGAAGTTATCTCTTCCCTCTTGGTACGCTGGCCACGCCGGCGAAGGGTTAGCAGAAATAACGAGGTAAGAGTCTTCTCAATCGCTGAAAACGTTTACCACTATTAACAACATGCAAGGCGAGTAAAACCCTCGTGCAAGCGTCTGATCACCATCCGATTTTTATCGGTAGTGCTAGCTCGCCCTTAGTAAGGCAAGTCGCGATTAGGTTGTCGGGGACAAACGATGTCTGGTATAATTTTAAACAATATTTGTACCTGATGGTCTCCAGACACTTCTGGTCTCCAAGTCCTCCCAGTCCTTATTCTCTCCATTTGTCAATTTTTTTACCACCAGTTCATAGCCTTTCAGGTCAGTTGCACTGTGTGATATAGCTATCATCACTTTTCCGTGAAATTCTTTCATGTCTTTAGAAGTCGATGGCCGTTCATTCAGAGAAAGCTCTACAACACTGCTTACTATGATCTCATTTGGTCCAAGAGATGGTGATCGGATTCTTGGACTCCATAATGAGCATATGACCTCCGTAGGTTTCCTCACAGCACGGCATGCAAATGAAAAACAACCAGGAAGCTCTTTTAACATTTTTACCTCTCCTCTCTCTGTGATCGTTTCTCTGAAAATTTTTAGATCCTGTTGTCAGACTTGAGTTAAAGAGTGAAAATAATACTATGGACGGAAATACAAAAAAACAGCCAGGCTAGTTATTCACTCGATGGCCATTATTAACGAAAGCACATGTCACACGTAACTCGGGAAAACCCAAAGATTAAATTTGCAGAGATCTGACCTTAAAAGATATCTTCTATCCTCAGTTTTCACTTCGTAATTACATCATAAGCAAACATACTTACTTGAAAATCTCCCTCTTAATCTCTGTCTTGGAAAATAGTCGAGTGTTCAGAGCTGAAGCTCAAACAGAGAGAAATATCAAAATCAAAACAAAACTATTATTAACTGTGAGCAATTAGAACGAATTCCGGTTGCAGCGACCTTACCGGTAATTAAGCCGAGGGTTGCTTTTATTGCCTTTTTGGTGCTTATGTTATGTGACATAACTAAAAAGTGATCAGTTCATTAATTAGGTTACCGGTTGTGTTTCAGTTTGATCCGGGTCAGTTGAAGATCTTAGCAAGAGAGGATCACCCAATATTAGCAAGAAATGTGAATGTGTTTCTCACGAAAAGTCTGCAATAATCTGCAAGAGACACTTAAGAATCCTCAACCTATCGAATTACCGAACTTCAGCATAACGCCGAACTATAGCCGCTACAACAACCGTGTATGTCAGTTGTACCGCAAGCGTTGAACTGAATGCTCCGATCATTTGCATTGCTTGATGAGTGTGATCACCTTTTGATCGCACGAAACAGAACAGCTGAAATAAATCTCTCATGAAGCCCTCAACTATTAAATCATCACAGACTGCTCCTCTAAGATTAGAGTGATCGTTGGACTTTCAGAGTTATTCAGAGTTATTCTCACAGTTGCAGGTCAAACGACCTATTTTTCTATGTCGCCAGTCGCTTCCCTGAACACCACTCAACGTTAAAGATCAACCCTTCGGGAAAAAAAAGAATTTTCGGTGATTTTGTACTGTTGGTAGACTATGCACACGCAATTTTTCGCTCAGAAATCGCAGAAATAAATTACTCGAGTTCGATTTAGTTATAGCCCTTATTTAGATTAGTTTTATTATTAATTAGTTCAATTGGATCAGTAACCGAACTTGCAGAAAATGAATTGTCCAATTATGTTCGATTCACCGTAAAGTCCGAATGCCTAAACACCAAGACTTACTCTTCTACTTAATACATCGATAGTAAAACTCACCCACTTCATTTTCTGTCACCTCTACACTAGCAGGGCAAATGAGAAGTCTGTCACCACTGATTTTAACTTCAATGCTGTAGGCACCTGGTACCTTCGGCGTAAAATGTATTTCAAGCTTCCCATCTTTTTTGTCGCTAATAGCCAAATCCGCCACTTCCGGTGCAGGTTCAATCAATACTTCTACAAGACCCTTTAAGTCTGGCTGGTTAATTGTGTTACCCTCGGTCGTTTTTGGACATAACATCATCACTGCCTTTACGCCAGCAACAAGAGTTTCATCCAGTCCTTCCAAAGTGGTCAAATTCAGATCTATCTCCTCAGTTAAGATGTAACCCAGTCTTTGGCCCGCCTCACTTGCCGCCGTAAATTTAATAAAAGAAGTTTCGTGATGTTGTGGAACTTCAGTTTCGCAAAGATCTTTAACTCTTTTATACAAATTTTCCCGATTTTGCATAATGTATGAACTTGAACCATACATAACCACACTTTCCACAAAGTCGACAGACCGATTCACTTGTTCCAACAGTGATTTCGCTTTCCTTTTAGCATCATCAATTTTCTCAAGTCTTGTAACGCGCGTATTCTCAATGTATTCTAGATATTCAACTGCCTCACGCTGACGTTCTTGACTTTCTGCAATTATTTGTTGATATTTCCCAACTTCTCGTAAGGCTCTATGTTTGTCGACTGTGGCGTGGATTGTCGACGCTGGAGTTGTTTCGTCGCATTTGGACTGGGTTAGCATTTTTTCGTTTGCAATGTTTATTTTCGCTTGTTCAATTGCGTGTGTCGTAACGAAGGATGCATGTGTTTCAAGCGCGCGTTCTCGAATGTCTGAAATTATTTCTTCGGTTGCCTCACAGACTCCATGATTAGCGATTTCAGCATTGATTTCTAACTCTTCGATACTTTTTTCAAACTGCTCGATCGCATCGATCAACACGTTTTCTTTTCTTCTGGCTAGCTCAATGTTCGTAATAATTCTCTCCGCTTCGATGTCAGCTGCCTCGTCGAGAGCCAAAAGTTCATGTTCCCGGTGTGTCGTCACGACGCATAAAAAGCAAATGCAAGACTGACAATTCAGGCAGAAATATTTTGTTGTTGACTGCAAGTGGTAATTCTCCAAGCAGAAATTTTCGCGCTTCAATAAGACCTCGTAAAGTTCTGGTCGAATCTCCGCTGCTGGTATGATTGTGTGTCCTTCAAACGTAACTTGAAGAGTCTCGTGTGCAGTCAAACAGCTGGGGCACATAAACATTTTACAGTCGACGCAATAACAACCTTTGAAGCTATTTATCTTACAATTATCACATGTAATACTAACACCATCGTTACTTTTCTGAAAAGCAGAAGTACTCGCTAACCTCTCTGGGAAGTCGGCCGCTAGTCTCTCCCTCCGAGCTTTAACTTCTTCCACTCGAGGCATTTCGAGGGGAACTTTTAGGCGTACATTTCATTAAAATCGCCACAAAATAAATGAAAATAATAACATAGCAAATATTCTTAGTTCCCTAAAGAGCCCCAGAAAAAGCAGGTAAATAGGTATTGAGCGTCTTTCCTCAGAAACTTATTTTCTAAGAAATCCCTGGTGCCCTGAGGAGAGTGGCCACCTGATCTGCCGCGCGAGATTGGTAGCGAAGTTAGACACGAAGGTGACGACTATCGAGAAAGTCGCTCGAAAGTCATCTCGCCCGAAGCTCTGTCGCCCTAAACTAGAGTTATGTCGTCCGAGATTAAGTAAAGCTACGTCAGTGTTATATATTAGGCTTTGAATCTTATTTTCAAGAAACGTACAATTAAGGATGTGTGCATTTATTTTAAATTTTCTGAGTGATCGTTAAACTATGAGTACAAGTTTTCAAAATCCTTGTCAGGCAACCAGAGAACACAGGTTCTTAGATGCCAGATACTGTTTACATTATCATTAAATTTTCTATCACCATGGTTTCCCTTTTGGAGAGGAGCATTATCCCGAGGCTTGTTGACGTTAGCAGGCGACAACTCAGCATAACTTGGACAGATCTTTAGGAATTTCATGGATTTAACCACGCAGAAGAAGTTGCATAACTGTTTGACATTCAAAGCTTTCAAAGAATGGAACAAAAAAGGTTTCTATATAGGGAGAATGATCGGGGTAAGGAATACTCGAATTTGTTTCCATGAGACCCATTGTTTTATACACTAGACAAGCAGGCGTTTGCATTGTTCTGAAAAATTTGATGAAAGGTACCTTTTCATCCTTTTCTCAATGCCTGCTCGAATTTGTCAATCCTCTCCCCCTGAATATCTTTTGAGCATCCTGTGCTCTAGGGTCTTGCTACGATGCTACATGTCATTGCTTGGCTGTAGCCGGAGATCTGACTACGAAAACACGGGCAGCGGTATATCCTTGTAGGTTAATACTCAACATGGATGTAATGGCGACCTCTGATGCTCCTATGTGAGGTACCAGTAATGAATCTTCTAAATGGTTTTGCCAGGATTGTGATACTCTGATGTCAAGAAGAGAAGTTTTAGCATTGTACAGGCGAATATTTCGAGTAGCACGGCAATGGAGAGCCGCAATACCTGCAGATACTGAGGCAGAGCGACAGTACATAAAAGACGAAGCCAGACAATTATTTCGTAAGAACAAGAACGTGAGTGAGGAATTATCGAAATTTCCATTATATTGGTACCTTAGTTTAATTATAAGAAAGCATTCGTAAATATGGAGTGGAGCTCGGAAATTTCAGGCTTAAGTTTCACTGTATGTGAGTCGGTCCAAATTCTGCCCATTAGAAATATTTGAAAGATGTAATGTTCCCTCAAAAGTGGTTTTGGTGAGATAATATTTCGGGTTGATCTACTCCATGTTAAATTGATTTGAAATATTTGCATGAGGCAGAATTTTAGGAGTGGTACATTATCTCTGAAAATTTAGATTCAAAAACGACTCCCTTCAATTTGATCCTGATCAGAGATGTGTTTAGTTTGAGCATTTCATGTATGAATGTTTTGGCTTGCATTGAACATCGTCTACCTTAAAATGGTGGCACCGGCAGCTCAATGTGAAATTTTTCATTTCAAGGTTCTAACTGGCCTCTTAAGATCATAAAGTGCTGGCCAGAAATAAAATTTAGTCACTAGAAAAAAAACTACTCTTTACTATGCAAATGTTTATCATCTCACTTAACTCTTACTACCAACCATACCATTCTTATAATGTTAGTTCAGAAAATTTAGTATTGGATCAACTAATTATCCCCAAATTGGTATTTTTCTATACTCTCATCACTTATCTGGATGATATTGTATTGATATTGTAAGGAGAAATTTTGTCTTGGTCACTCATGGTAGTTAAAGGGTTAAGCTTGAACTATAATTACAAACCTGTAGCTTCATAATTGACCACCAACTCAGGTCAGTAAAGTGGTAACTTTTGCAAATTTGGTCCCACTCGTCATGGAAACAAAACTGGTTGCAGCTTAGAGTGCTAGGCAGTCTGGCAGTTTGTTATTTTTATGGTCCAGATACTATTGTGTGATTGTGAATAATCACAAGGTTATCTGTTACTTTTCAGTTTTATGCAAGTTAGGAGGTGACCTTTTAAAAAGAGTTGAAGAGAAAAGTTACCAAGTGTACTGAGGATTGCCTTCAGTACTAAATACCCAGCATTCCTTGTTCCTCTCATACTTAGTAGCAGCTAACTAAGACTTTTTTCTCCTAAGTTCTTGATTGGAATTGATCATTAGAAATAGTATGTTCTGTTCTTGGATTAAGTAGTCTTGTTCAAGAGAATAATGATATTGTGCTAATACATGGAAGCTCTGTTTAAAGACTGGTTACCTTGATAGGTGTCCCTCTATAATAAGGGGGATTGTGATCTTGAGGGAAAAAAGAGAAGCTGTTTGTGGTCTGAGAAGAGCAAAATACCTGGCATTTTGAGAAATTTGTGACCACCTTTAATAGATCCTTAAAGTTTAAGTGATTATTAACATAAATCTTAAGTCCAAGAGAAAGAGCTGAAATAATTGTCCTTTTACAGATTACTAACACAAATGAGATAATGCTTTGTATCCATGAGGCCAATGCACGAGTAGAGATGGGTATGTAACTTTAATTTTTTTTAAATTGTGTAGTATTCCTTCAGAAATGGGTTGATAGTCTCCATTATTAAGGTCAACTAGGGTAGTCACAAAATACATTCCAATAGAGTTAATACAGTAGCATTAAAGGAGAAGCTGTTGTGGTGGCAAAATACATATTTTAGACTGAATCATTACTCTATGTATTTCAGGGCTTCACTATGGAACACCTTATCCTAGAATGGTAAGCCTGATATGCTAGGGAAGTTATTTTTTTTAACTGTGCTATAAATGCTTTAATTTAAACACACCCCATTCATGGCAGATCATTCCCATACCATCTACACAACTAATAACCATAAGCTGTGAAGAGTGACACCACTTTCCCCCAAAAGACTGCCAAGTGGGTTATTCTGATTCAAATTTGAATTTGTAAGCAGTTATAAAATGATTTGAGGTTGTTTGAATTGCATTTAATTTCTAGCCTCACTTTACAAAACTTAAATCATTTTATTTCAGTCCAAAAATGACTAGCTTAAGTTATTCTGAAATACTTTAACTTACTATAAATTGAAATATCACTCAACTGAATGGGGAAATTGCTTGTGTTATACATTATAGATACACATGCCGCCAACAGCTGTTCCAAAAACAAATACAAAAGAGCGGAAAACCCAAGAACGAATTAGAAAACAGGCCAAACCTGTTTACATGCACTCAGATGATGATGTTGATCGATAAAATACTTTGGCATTGGACATTTTGGGCCAGTGAGTGACAGAGTTAACAAGAGTACATGAGTTCACTTGTGTTGCTAACTTCATGCTGGTGACAATTCACTATTGTCCCAATCAAAGTGGCCCTGATTAAAACTATGACTGTGAAAGTGACTGACATTTCAACAACCTTAGAAAAGACTCTGATGGCAACTTCAAATGAAATGGTGATTTCCACTGTCACCAACAACAGTTTATTTCTCATCCAATCCATCAGTTTACATTTGTGTTTACAATTGACTGCTAATCCTGGGTTCAAACTATTTATTATGAACTGCTCCAAGAATTATCAGTTACACTTGGAAAATTGACCAGTAGAGAGGATCCCTTACTGACTCAATGTTTGTTTGAGAAAAGAAGTACTTCCAAAATGAAGTTCAAGTAAAGAAATGATTCTTGCAGGCTGTAATTTAACCCTTCAACTCCCAGAAGTGATAAACATGGAACTTCTCCCAAAATGTCCATACATTATCCAACAAACAGGTATTACGAATACACAAAATAATCTGGCAGATGTCATCTTGATCCAACACCAAATTCTCATAACTAATAAACAAGGTAATGTGTAGTAGCAAGAGGGGAGAATAAACAATCAGATCTTGGGAGTTAAAGGGTTGAGCTATTATAGAAAAGAAGCCTGTAAAAATTCAGGCTTTGACAGGATATGAATCAATGCCTCCCAGATGCCTGTTGTACACTCCAACTGACAGAGCCACCAAGCTACATGCTGGGAGCAAGGCCAATTTAAAAGGATTGTTCTTTCCATAGAGGACTTTGATAAAATTTTTTCTTTAAAGAATACATAAGAAATAGAGTTTTTTCTTAAAACAATTCTTATTATTACAAAACAATTGATCACTTGATTGAATGAATTTTTTTATTAAAAAGTCACTCTGTTACAATCATAACCAGCAATTTAAAATCAATTCAAAAACTAGGTAGACTGCTGTGTGATTTAAAAATAAAACCATCCATTAACTACCAGACTTAAAATTTATTTACTTGGCAAAAATAATTTTGCATGCAGATCTTCAAAGCCCCACTAAAGAAGGACATCTTACAATCCAGCAGTATGTATGATGGAGTTACATGCCACATCAATAATGCAGCATTTTCTTTCCAATATTCACATACTGAAATAATTGTAAGTGTGCAACAATAGACCAACTTCATTCACAAATGACATTAGTCATCATGTAAACAATATCAAATTGGAATGAGGTATCATTAGTGAAATAATTGAGAGAGATAGTTTTCACTTAAGGAATAATTCACTTTCCAGTTGTGTGCTTAGCTGTTAGACTTTTGCACAGAGTGAAGCTAAGGGTGACCTTTTCATGAAACAAACCTCTAATACTTTCTTTCATGACAAGATCAACCTTAGTCTCACTCCTGTTCTAAGGCTTCACAACTAATCTAACAACTGAAAAGCTAATGATTAAAGAAAGTCATAATCACAGAGGTTTCAATACCTATTAATAATCATCCCTAATAATTTTTGGTAGAACTAACGTAACAATGTTATAATGACAAGAGCTTGTTAAAGAAGCTTCAGGTGCCTGCCTAAGAACAGAGGAGTATAAAATACTCTTATACGTATGTACGTACTGGATATGAGTTGCATCATATGCAAAAAGGAAACCCACTGTAACTGCAACATGGTGATGAATTATATGATTAAAAAAATGTCTTAAAATACAATGGAAAAGATATAAATGAAGTATCCTTAAATTCTTTTGTGATATCTATTCACAAATTAATTTTTCCTTACACTTTAGCTTTCAGGAAGGACGATGTTCCAAATGGAGTAATATTCCAATTGAGCAAACAGGATAGAATTGGTTTGGCTTTACTTTCCTCCATAATTGTCCTTAAAACTTGAGTCACTTTTATAACCAATCAGATCTGAAACTTACAATAAACCAATCAAAATTTGTTCATGCACATTTCCCCCCTCCCCTCCCCCCTGCAGGAAGTTTGCTTGTCTTTCTTTGAGACATCTCATTTTCATCCTGTGATATTTTCCTTTGTTCTGTTATGATGCTGCGATTACATGAGTTTTGGTTTCACAACAGTCAATCCCTATGTCCTCTATCAGCACATAATATATTAAAACAACCAATATCCTGACTTTGTGATGCTCTCATCTGTCAGTGTTATGCCAAACTGCACTTAGGAATATATCCACTGAACGCGATGACATCAAATTGCTTAACTAACTGAGAAGTTAAAAATTCAATGCTTGCTAACTACTGGATAGCTAAACTTCAGAAAACTATTATTTTGTTTCTGAATGTGCTCAAAATTTGTTTTATACAAATACCAAATGAATCTAAAATATTACTGTGGTAGGGACTCATTTTTCTTCAACCCTTCTTTGGGGTAATTATAACATGATTATTTGACAATCTGATGCTGTGTTATTATCCATTCAACTCATGCAAATTTAACAGCAATTCGCTGTTAGTTCTCAAATTTTGATTGAACTGAAAGAATAAATAAATTGTAAGAATATTTTTATACAAAAAGCTACCAAAAAATCTCATGTATTGTTTGAGTTTGTCTTTTACTTACAAAAGACACTTAAATTTACAAAATAAAAATGGTTCAAAATAATGTTGAGTAAAACTTAAATTACAGGATGATAACTCACACAGTGCTTTCAGTAACATTTGACATCCAACAGAAAGACAGGGTGTTGGAATTTCTTCACTTTGAAACTGTTAAATGTTTCCAGTTTACAGTGGGTGCTGCACTGAAAAAGTCAATGACTGCAAATCTTACAGAAAGCACTGATTTAAAATTTGACCCCTTTGTCACTTGAAATAAATCAATCAATGTTTAAATATCTGCCCCAACTTTGGTGTTTGTCTTCTCCTGCATTTCTTTCTCATATGTTCTTACATCATCAATGGTCATACCTTGAAGTGTAATTAAATTATTAATAGGGAGCTTATGCACAAATGTTTTTTTTTGTTTTGTTTTTTTCATTCCTGACACTCACTACACCTTTTTGGTCAGTACAGTTTGGTTTAAAATAATGCTACATCACAGGCCTTACAGTCAACACATTAGCGTTAAAGCCACCACATCTCAGAATTGTCCCTACCTACGTTCTATAATGTACATTGCAATACTACAACTGGCATTACTTTGAGCTGATGTATTTTAGTATCTCTGTGCTACTCTGGCACAGAGTAAACACTCAAACAAATGGTGTAAATATGTGTAAGAAATTTAAGCTGGCAGGCAGGAGGTAAAGAAGTGGGCAATTAACAAAGCAAAGCAGGAAAGTTGAATAATTTACATAATGCACATGTACAAATTTTGTCTTTTATCACTTGAGAAATTTTTTATTTTAAAGTACATACACTTACCAATCCAATCATCAATCCAAGCAAATGCTTGTCTGTGACCAAGTAATAAAATATCTTGAATAACCTGTTGACATACAGTAGATAGTACAGCTTAATTCCTTTCTGTAGAGGTACTACAAATTAATTACCTAAAGTATTATTAATTACAATGAGACATGCCAGGCAACCAATCACAGTGATCTATAGCTGCCACAAGAAGCTCTATGGGCTTTGATCTAAAACATGACAGTTGGGGATGATCAGTCCCACAAATTCAAAACACTTCCAATTCATGCAAGTAATTCATGCATTGGAAAAATTATTTCACGACAGATACAGTGACAACTAATGCAGCTTTTTCAAAGAGTTAAAGCTTTTGTGCGAAGGGGTGAAAAGTATCAGAAACTGTATCAGAAACTGTTTTTTATCGGCAAGAGGTTCTGAGGAAAAACTATCCACTATAACTACCTACATCATACAATTCCTTTTTTATACCACAGTCCACCTTTAATTTGCTTAAATATCATCATTCACCATTCAGCAATCATTACACTATATTTCTACCACCTTTGTTTACTTGGGTACAGGAATAAGAGAAGCACTGACCCTCACCTTATGCACATAGGACTCTACTCTTGAAGCTAAGGCCCAAACATCAAAAGAAACACTAACTAGTTTATACGAGCACATGATGGGTTGAGCATCATCCTAAAATTACAAACAGTTTCTGTTTTAGTAATATTACAAGATTCAGGGGAAAAACGACATGATTACATCATTCATGAATTATTGCCCATGTTTCAAGTTTTGTTGTACTAGATCATATGCTTATGTAACCTTTATATGAGCACATGATGGGTTGAGTATCATCCTAAAATTACAAACAGTTTCTGTTTTAGTCATATTAAAGAGAGGTTCAGGGGAAAAATGTCATGATTACATCATTCAGTAGTTATTGCCCATGTTTCTAAGTTTGTAAGTTGTACCATAACAACAGAGTACTCTGAAGTATCTATGTATGATACTCATACATTAACAAAACTGAAAAAGTACAACTCTGTCCAAATATGACAAAGATTCCTTCTCTACAGATGTGTTCTCTAATATAAACAATTTTGTAAGTTAATATAAAGACAAATTCAAAGAGGTTTAAAGGAGATCATTTCACACCCCCAACAAGTGTGATTGGTCCACAATATTAGAAGGGACATCCTCATCAGCAAAGAACAGAACTATGTGGCTGCATAACTAGTTGATAATTCTGTGTGATGCAAAGCATCACCTCATGAATTTACAACCATTATTTTTAGTGTAATAGGGAATTTCTACCAATTTAAAAAAAAATTTTAATTTACTGTTGGAATGTGCATACCATTTAAATAGTTAAGAAAATATTCTACACTCACCCTCCATCCTTCCTTTAAAGGACCTCTACCTGTTTTCTTTGATTTGAAATACCTACAGTCCTAGATTAACAGGAAAAATATTTCAAATTTCATTACTGATGTCACAAACATCCAAGTAAGTTGATCAAAATCTCCACACAATTTGAACTCTCCATCACTTTTGTTGTCAGAGCTGTGAGGCTTTCCTCAAGACCCACATGGTTAGCATCTCAGTTGGTAATGAAGCCAATATTTCACACTGCAATGTACACTACTGGCCCAATTTTAATGCTTTCAAATTCAGTGTAAAATCATAACAAAGGTCTAGGGATCTAATCTCAGAATCTTAACACTCAATCTATTGTAGTTTCTTGGTTATTTTTTGAACCTTTGTACTCTCAAGAGGTTGTTTAATGTTAAACTCTTATCAGAAGTATGCTATAGTTAAGCATATGACTTACCTCTTCTGGAACATAATGTTTTTCTGGTAATTCATCATAAGCTATATCAATTGCCACAACTTCCCTTGTTTCAAGTGTTTCCTCATCTAATTCAAAACACTGCAAGAAAGATACAACCAATCATTTTTTAAAAAAAAAAAAAGGTCACATACAATGTTAAATCAATGCAAATAACTATTAACATTTTAAGTGGAAAAAAATCAATGTCAGAACTATTTCACAAGTACAGTCTGTGTGACCAGTATATCAAAATCAATTTGAATGAGATACAAAAAACTTGTTGAGATGTGAAAACTTAATTGTCATCATTGTGACAGTGTATTTCATCTCGGTGATCAGTTTAAAACTCAGTCTTTAGTATTTATTATACATAACTTAAAGTTTAAAATGATAACCAAAGAAAGTCTTAGTTAAGAACATACTTACATTGTCTATACTTCCATTATCATTGAAATATTTCGTTTTAATCCTAATTGAAAATCTTGGAAGAAAGGAGCACTGCATAGAGAAACAACGAAAGATTATGTAATTGTCAGTCCTCTGTTTTGTCTGATTTCTTGAAACTGGTCTCTAAGAGACCACAGATGCCTAACTATCACATGAAAAGCTGTGATCATTATATTTCTCTAACAAACTCAGGTTATCATGCTAACACTTTGCTTTATCAGTTTGTAACTGAAAAATAAGTCTGGTGGCTCCAGATGGATTGTAATCTGCATATCAAGGAATATTTGTCTCCAAAATTCAAACAAATCTGTAAAAACAGTTCAAAGCCATCTTATTTTTTTTGTACTTTGCGGCTCTAAACAGTATGTACACATCACAATTTAGTTTACTTGTTTTTGAGTTACAGGGACATAGAGAGAGGGTGTTTCTCAGGGGCTGTTGGGTTACTATAATCTGACTTGATATACATCACATTGATCTTTTCCACTTTTCTTTCCATTTCTTGTAATTCAACAACAGAAGGAAAAACCTCATCTTTTTTTCTGATAAAATGTCCTTTAAATTGCCTTGGCTAGTACTTTTTCAACGTAGACAGCTTATAACTTAAACATTTCTTGTGCAGGGCAGCCTTCTGTTGGTTTCAAGCTTATGGGAAATGTACAAACTGTAATTCAAGTAAATAAAAAGAGGGTACTCACACAATATTCTGTTGATAGAGAGTGAAGGAGAATGAAAAGGAAGAGGAAATTATTATTAAAATATAAACTTAAACACAGAAACAACTATTACCCCTTTTCGTCATTGAAAAAAAACCTTGAGAAGTAAATGAGGTTGGAGATTATTTCCTTCAATGTTTGATGCATGTTAATTAACCCTTTAACTCCCAGAGGGACCAAGACATAATTTCTCCTTGCAACATCAATACAATATCAAGCACAGAAGTGATGAGAATAAAGAAAAATATCAATTAGGGGATTATTAGTAGATCCAATACCAAATACTCCAAGCTAACATCACAAGAACTGTATGGCAGACAGTTAGAGAATTACTAATGAGATTTTGGAAGTTACAGGGTTAAAAATTGTATGTCATTCAGGAGTAAACGACTAAGCCAAGTACAAGGGTTAACTAGTATATTTGAGGCAAACTCTCATAATCTTTACTGACCTGTAATAGTGAAAGGGTAATAATTCCAAGCCTTTTCTTCTACATAGAATATTTTTGGAATATAGGACCGCATCCATCCAGGAAGACGACTGAAAAAAAAAAGAAAAGAAAAAATGGAAAACAGTAAACTTCCCTTTATAACTGACAACCTCTTACAACTCAATGCTGTTTTAAGAAATTCCTCCCAAGAATTTTCAGACAAGGGCATAGCTGGAAGGGGGGGGGTGTCCCTGGGTGCCTGTGACCTCCCCTTTGGAAGCCTTGTTGTAAGCCTTTCTTTTTGACAAACAACCAGCAATATTCAGGTGGTAAAAACTAATGAGTACCATCTGTTTAACAAAGAGTGACCCAACTTAGAAAAATCCTGGCTATGCCCCTGTGAGGGTAAGGTGATTGGCTTATTTCACAATACTCTACACTAGCCCTGTCAGCCTGGTGCTAAAGCCCATTCCTCTCATCTTTGGACACATTTAAACATGGGTTGTTCATGAAGTTAAAACAGGGTTAAAACAGGTTATCAGGTTGTCTGTGAGCAAGCTCTCTAGTGGGCACCATCAAATTCTACAGACAGATTCTGTTTTCACTAATTGAATTTTGACAACTTTTTGACACCCAGTTTAATTAAGATTCTCTAAATAAATTATCTGCAGACTACCAGTCTGTCCAGCAGCTTGCTGGTCATGTTATCAGGAGGTTCACGATATCAAGATAATTGCTCTCTGTTCCCAAGCCTCCCGCAGAAGATTATTGGTGACTAAATAGTGCATAGGAATTACCTCTGTAAACTGGCACAAATGTAACACCCAATCCTCACTCCTACAATTACATTCTCAATTAGAGGTAACTTCACAAGGGAAATACCCAATACAACAGAAGTCTAACATAACACATACCATCTTCCATATACATATACAGGTGCACAAATTCACGAAATAACTTACAGGGAAATCTTGGAATAAACCCTAACAATAAAAAACCTCAAACTCTACATTGCAAATACATTAAATCTGCCATAACCTGTACCTGGATAAATAAACTCTCTTTTCTGTGAATTGTCCCTTTCCAAACTTTGGGTCCTCACAGGGCTCATTTTTTACCACATGGACTCCTTCACCTTGCTCACTCTGTTCATGGCTGTGTTTACTTATCATGAACAGTTGACCTATTTGATACTGGATATAAGCAATAAATAAATAAAAATTTTAATAAATATTAGCTTTTTTAGTGTTCAATGTATAAGTTGATATATTTACATGTAGGATCATGTGTGCTTCTCAGGACCCTCTAAATAAAATTCAAAAGTATTGACTACCAACTTGAAGTAAAGCTTAATAATTGACATAATGCCAAACTGGTGACATGTGAATTAGTTTGCTGTTTAATAAACTGCAGCAAATAAATTGATCCCAGGTACTCCAAGAAGCATATCCATTTAAGCTTCAAAGTAGAGGGTTTGCAAACCCAGCAGCCTAAACCACATAGGCAAGCCATCAAGCACAACTGGGTGCTAATCATGCTTGTGGTCAGTGCTCCATGGTGCAACCATTTGGTCACCATGGTGAGAAGAAAAAACTCAAAAACCATCCCTACCAAAGACTTTAATTTGAACAACAATACTGGATATTTTAAGATATGCTGATGAACTAAGTCAGAACATCAGGCAATGCAAAGGGGAATCTGAAACCCAAAAGAATAGATATTCTGAAGAATAGCATATTTTATTTCATAAAAATGGTACTTCCCCCTTACATTGTTAAAACTTCTGCAGCAAATTTTTCAAGTTATGTTTATATTAGATGTTTTGGTAAACTTAAAAGCACTGGAAACCAACAGAGAAACTTGTTTCACAACTGTTTATCTATACAAAAGTTGATATAAAATATTCATTGACATTCACTTTCAATATTTATTAAGTTTCATTTGCATAAACATACTCTATTTTGGCACATCATAGAAAAGTTATTTGTGAAAAACAAACAATTTTCACATCAGCTGAGATGAATATGACATCTAAAGAAGAAACAAGTGTGTTTTTTTCAGTTTTTTAGCAAACTTTTCAGTTGTAGTGCCAATAAAGTGTTTGGATATTTTTTTAATTTTTCTATGATTTGTGAAAGAAATGAAAGAAAGTTAAAAAACCATCAATTTGGAAACTAAGCTCAACATTTAATTTTAAGGGATTAACAGATCTTTTGTAGTCACTTGTTTGAGTTGTTTACAAAGTTCAGTAATGCTAACCATAACAAAGCAAACTCTATTATACAGCATGAATTAAATATTAAAAAATTGAAAATGTCTCCTTTGTTTTCAGTCCCAGTTGGTTTGTTGTAAGTTATTAGAATGAAAAGGAAAACATTTGATAGGTTGTACATGCATATTTGAACTGATACAATTATGGTTGTGTGGAAATTCTTTTCACTCAACAATCGGTTGATGAGATTTGGTTGTTACCTTCCAATGCTGTAATTAATGGGTGTTGAGAAAAAACAGCCCAGCTTGTAAAGCTATTGTTGTTAGGTAAAATAGAAGCAATAACAGACTTTTATCGATCACAATCACTGCCCAAGACTTACATGAAAGATAACACATGCAAATTAAAAGAGAAGTAACATTTCTAAAGAAAAAACTTAATTGATAAAATGATAACACAGTTTTGTTCTCTAAGATATTTTGGAAACGTTTCATAAAATTTAATAAAAAAATTTGTCAAGCGTGTTAAAACAAATTTGCATGCAATATATTTTGTATTAAATTTAACGATCGAAAATGATATTATTGCTCGGAAATTGATAATATTTTCATCCAGGAAATTACTAATCAACAAAAGTTAAATTACCTGAAACTCGAGATAAGGAGGGGCTTTCATCAAACACTTCACTCCATTAAGAAAACTTGCAAATTAGGGTTAAAAATAAAGATATTGCACAAATTTTTTAATCCAAAAGTCCGAAAAGGATATTTACACATTAATTCACAAATTAGAGTTGAGCTTTTCGCTTTCTCAGAAGTACAAGAAAAAAAAAAATAGAGAATCACGCATATTTCGTGGTCATTCGAATAGCACCGAGCCCTTCGGCTGTTATTAGCACAAATATCGCTTTTAGTTCGACACAAAAGATAGTACAACGGATCCATTTCGATTTCAATCTAGCTTTAAGGGCAACTCTAAAAGTTCATTTATCTGAAACAATCATCAAATGCAGATACTATTTCTGTTTCATTCCCGCCTAACGCACGCAACACAGCAACTTTTATCGGTAATTTTGTCCATTACGAAGCGAAACCTCACAAGCTTCGACAGAAGATCTAGCGACCATAAAGCAGACTGTAAACTTTCAAATAAAAAGTAACCGAATCCAGAAAGCTATATATATTATCGATCTATTTCCGCACAACTTGGCGGTGACCCCAAATTATTGCGCGGCGAAATTGCTTATGTGATCTTCAAACCTATCCAAAGCAAGTCGCTCAAGTTGAGAAAATCCTGCTGTCAAAGTTCAAGTTCATACCAGTATAAAAAATTCATATTATTATATAATTAGAGTAATGCTGGAAATCTCGGTTGAAAATACAAATCTGAACTTGATCAAGAAGATATCCTCGATTAACCTGGTTTCGGGCTGACGTCTGGGTCTCGCGTGTCTTTTCGCTTACAGACGATCGACATTTCATCACGTTCAAAATTACGACGGTTAAGTAAAACATACCTCTTCCACCGTCATCGGCATACAGATCCTATACTCTTTCAATATCATGTTGTCTAGTTAAGAAGAAAATACACTAACAAACTTCAAACAGCGTGCTACGATACAGTACTATAAAACATTTACCGCATCTCGTAAACAAATGACAATCGATGGTAAAATATAGCTTAGGTGCCATGCCTCCTGCATAACCCGATCGTGTGTCCTAAAAACCTGGGGCGCAAATACCGAATGAAAACCTGGATTTAGAAGATTTAGGAGGTCCGGGAATCTACGGGAAATCTTTCACGTTCGGCTTAAACTAACTTGCTTCTCGTTCGTGCCCACCCTTGTGATTACGGTAATTTCGTATACACATTTTTCGGACACATGAGTTCGAATGACGAGTCATCGACACAAACGGCACCCCGCGGCAATCTCTTGCACGCAAGACACGCGAACTACGGGCAAACATGAGGAAAAGTAGTTTGTGTCAGTCAGCGAAGACGAGTAAAAAGGAGGCAAAAGAAGATGATATTTGTTAAATTAGTGGGAGTGCGGAGCAAAACCCAGCTGTTTCCCTGACCAACACATTTTTCGCTCGCCTTCTTCAAGTGAGAGCCTGGCAAAAGCTATGCGAAGGGCCGGGCGAGCGACCGGAAGCGCGTCACAAGAGCATTTCTCAGCCCTTACCCACTTCCCCCTCGCCTCACCGTTTTTTCGAGCCCACATGTCAGTTTAGATTTACAGGGAAAACCGTTAAATTAACCCCTCCCACTACCCTCCTTCCGCCCACACGAATGAGTGTGGAAGGGCCACGATATTTGACACCTTTTTTTGGATTTCGCCAAGGAAGGGACTAATTGTTTAACGTCGAACTAAACGCATTTGCTAATATTTATTCTATGAGGGAACAAATCGTTATAGCACACCTTAGGTTAATTTTCTTAAACAATGTGACAGCTGTTCAGGTTTCATCAGGAAATTAGAAATGGCATTTTTATAAAACGAACCCACTATTGAGCTAAAATCTTAATACAAAATTTAACTAAAATGATTTTTTTTCTTTCTATGTTAAAAAAAATTATTTCTTTTAACTGTTTTGAGTTTTTAATGGTTGTGGCGTCACGTAAAAACCAGGAATTGTACTTGATAGATTTTAGTAATCTGTTTTTGTCTTATCGACAATATACGCGGGTCGTTTTTGCCATTATCAAACAAGTCTTGTTGAAATACAATCGAGTCCTCTATTCCTTGGTTTACGATTTTCCATTCTCTCCGGCTTCTTTTGTCTAGTGCTGATAATTTTTTGTAAACAGGGTTGCTAAACGCTAAGTTACAATACAAATTGATGTGCTCGTCAGCATCAATGAATTCCAAGCACGTCCTCTCGAGTGCCGTCAATTTACCAGCCGTATCAACTTATATCAAATGAAGGTTTCTTATTAATTTTGTACGAAACTTTCCTAAGATTTAATTTTCGTGGATTGTCCTTGATACGCAAAAATATGTTACCGAAAACAAAACATCCCTCAAAATGAAGTGTCGTTAAAATTCACTATTTGGTATCTTTTGTCAAAGTAGAAAATCCGCATGGGAAAAATTATCGCTTAAATTTTTTATCCTTCGCATTCCGATTTACTCGAGACATCCTTTTCCAAATCCGTCGAAAGAAACGGGAAAAGATTTTTAGTTGAGGCTCACGAATTTCGAGTGACAGCGGTTTTAGAAAGCGAGACTAAAAGCGTGCGGTTTGTTAGAAACCACAACACTGATAAAAATTATTTTTAAAACCGAAAGATTAAGATAAAGGGAAACTACTCGAAAACGAAAATTTTCCGAGAATATTCACACTACATATATATAGATCGCCCATAGAGCGAAAGTCAGTAAGTCTAGTGGGGTGACTCTATGTCCTTCAAAATATATAACAGCTACCGGTTTTTATGTTGTTTATCGGAGTTCTTCACTTTCTAGTCCTTTCCGTCCAATATCGCGCAATTAGAATTCTCAAAGCATTTGTACGTGATATTGACTGACGGCATCGGGTAACACGCTATTGTTACGAGTAATTTCTTTCAGAAGTGCAAAAGTGCTTTTTGTCTGTTAGGCAATATGTGACCTTCCTCCTTGACCTAAACTCAAGGGCACGTACACACCGCGGTCTTCTCATGCAGGTGGTTTCAAAGATTTATCGCATTGCGTGTGCTTGTCAGCCACTGTGTTATTTACCACGCTCTCGATTCGTATGGCTCGCAATGATTGGGGTGAAGCTCCTTGATTTCTGACCGAGCATACCCCTCGTAGCGTGTCCATAATGGCGTTTCGAATGTGCCTCATCTTCCAGCAGTATATCACAGGATTCAAAGTCGAGTTGAGATATGCAAGGGTTAGTGACCAAACAAAAAATCCCTTCAAGGGAGTGGTACGGCCATAGATTATCATAGACGACGTGGAGATGAAAAAAGGCGCATAACACGCCCAAAATACGACATATACGTAAAATATGCCCACAGTAGTTTTAAGGACGTTCGCAAAATTAGCCCCCTCTCCATTATATGCTTCTTGTCGCACTTCGCCACCTTCGATATCATTTTTAAGTCGACGCACGGTTAGATAAATCTTACTGTAAGCAATCGTTGTAAGAAAAAGACCAACGAGGCCTCCTACACACATAATTAGGTACTTGACATGGGGCGAAAGCCAGAGTACTATTACAGAAACACTCACACTCGCCAACCATAAAGAAACCACTGAGGTAACAACACGCTTGTGAGTCACAAGCTCCTGGTATCTGAGATGAAGATGGATTGCTAGGAATCTGTCTGCACTTACAGCCAACACGCCCAAGAAAGACGTTATCGTGAACATGCCGATTATCGCATCGAAAACCATGTACGTGCTACAATTGGGGATAGCTTTGGATAATCCCTTGACAAGGAGCCAGGTATAGAAAGGCTGACTCAATAATCCCACACCAACATCTGATGCAGCAAGACTCAGAAGGAGAGTTTCCAGAGTCTTCGGTAAACATGACGTCTTTTTAATCGCATAGATTGCTGCAATGTTCATCATGACTGCAGTGTGGCAGAGCAAAATGTTGAACACACAATTAGTGATGTACGTCGAACGAAGATCTTCAACTTCGGTAATTGAGGGGAAGAACTGCAACACCAATATATCACAAGACAAATTCTGCATGACACGTACGAACTCCTGCTGGCCTTGCGTTTTTAAAAAAAATTTCCACGCACAGTTATGTAGTTTTTGACATCTGAAAAATTGACGACTTCGCGTGTTTAAATCGATTCTTTTGATGGAACAAATTAAACGTGAGGATTTTCTACATTCAACTTGGTTTAACCGGCTAATTCAGTCACTTCTAAAGCTGCTATCATTGTTTCAGCTTTTCAGCTGTCCTGGTCGTTTATATTGCATAAGAAAATGTTAATGAATAGTTTTGCGTCAGCAATAAAATTAAAATTTATAAAAACAACAACAGGATGTGAATGTCGATTAAAAGGTTAATTCAAAAAACAATCCCACATGACGCTGTAAACGTGTATATAACTGTATGGAAAATATACAAAAAAAAACCTCCACATGCAGCAAAATTTGAGAGTGTCTTTAACAGCATTAAAACAATATGTTAATAGTAAATGGTGAATTAAGTTAAGTTTGTTCCAATATGTTAATCAGTAAAAATTACAGAAACAATTCACCTGCTCAAACAACTCCTAACTGAACTAGACGCATATCTGCGAGTACTCGGGCTTCTTCTTTTCAGAGAAACCTGATTGTTATGTTTAAGTGAAGATTATGTTTGCTGCCTGATGTTAATGGCAAAACTGCAACAACTGTGTGTCGCTTGATATAGAGCTGTGAAAGTGTTTTATACTCACGAGACAAGATCGGATTTGCATATTTAATACTTTAAAAAAAACCTATAATACTTAATTCTTGCTCGTAAAGCTAGGGCGAGACGTAATTGCTTCTTCTCTCACCAATCATTTTACGCGGATTTTCTTTTAACATCGCATAGTTTGAATTTAGGTTTTTTTTTTTCAAAAATTCATTGTAGCTTTTAAATTACTCTGTTTCCACGTGTCTTTACTTAAGAAGAATAAAAATGAATGAAAAGACGTTTCCATGTCATTTTTAGGTTATTCACATCCAGAGATAGTTTGACCCTCTGGCTCGGACACCTTGGATAACCTAGTCCCTTGAATGGACAATGAAATGTATTGTATCGTATGATTACCCACCCGGCGAAGTTATAATCTTGCACTTTATAATTTGAAACTCATGTATTTCAACTTTAATTTATTACCTAGGAAAACGGTAATTTTAACTAATATTTAAATTTTAAACAGGATCTGACTCCAGCATAATATTAGAAGAACAAAACAAGATCTTGTGTAAATACCTGAAACAGGTATTTTCGTCAATAGATACTAATTACATCTGTAAACATCTTCGTAAACACAATGTATCAAAAAAGTCAAGTGTCAGTGTCTTATGTGACAGCAAATTAAAGACCTCGAGAAACAGTAATCACTGTGCCAAGGTGTCGTCATCAATAGATATTAAATCTACACACATCAAATTCGTAGACATGACTCATCAAATCTTTTATTTTAACGTATCTGAAACAAATATAGTGTCAGTGTCATATGCGAAAAGTATATACTGTATTGCTTGAATGGTTTGCTGGTGGAGAGTTTTTTACAAACTGTAGTGTCATCATTCTCATTGTGTGTCATATCTGTCAGTTGTACATCAATATTTCCACAATCAATTTGAATATCTTTATATAAGGGGTTATCAGCTTTTAACCAATTAAGCGCTGTTATTATGAACTTAGGTCTAAAAAGTTGAAATAAACATGTCCCCTGAGCAGAAGTTTGCTTATTAACAGGATGCACGTCGCCTTTAGAGTCATTCTTTTTTTGGGTTTTCTGTTTCTAATGGACAGATCTTGTTTTCACCAAAAATAAATAAATTTAAGTCCTTATCCTGGTAAAATTTCCGTACAGCCCCATCCTACATTATGCATTCAGTTCTTGAACAGAGAAAACAATGACAAAAACAATACATTTCCATTGGGAAAACAGATTTGTTTTACAATGGTATGGGGCTGTGCGGAAACTTTACCCTTATCCTTAGCGCCGGACTAACTAGAATTAGAGCAGCGAAAACGCCACCGAACAGAAATATAATGACCGACATTCTGATTATCAAGAGAGAGAATTTTACTGGAGGCAGAATACATGCCTCGAAATTTGCAAACAACACGATTACAGCGGGAGCCAACTGGATTCATTTGGTAGATGACGACGAAACCAAACGTCTTGTAGAAGGAAAAGATGCATTAAAATTTTCGTACAATCATAAGTAACTCGTAAGACATTATCGTGAGGTAAGTCGAGTCAATATCACCAAAATTACGATTTCTAAGAAAGCGACTGAGTGTATCACGCGCAGAAGGGGAACCTTTCGGTGCTATTTGATAGACTTTCTTGGAGTCGGGGCTATCTATTGATTATCGGATATCGTTGTTTGTTTTAAAGAAAAAGGCTCTTTTCTTTACAGGGATGATGAAGGCCAAGGTATCACTGATTTTGCAGTTCTCAGGAGTTTAACGATTAAGTGGAATTAGAAAATTGAATATAAACAAATTTTCTGACGTGCCAGCGCGTATTGGTTTTTTTTTACGAAACCACAGTTATAGGAAAAATTAAGTTTTATTTCACACGAGCTAAACTGTCTCAATACATGTACACCATCACCCCATGGGGGGATTTGGAAATTAGTTCCCTAAAGGAATATAGTTATTTGTTGAGTACCTCCCAAAGGAGTAATTTTCAAAGGTTTTAGTTTGAAAACGTGTATAAATTCTAGCCATTAAATCGTTTATGAAACCACGTTAAACTCAGTTCATAATGCAGAAACTTTGATATATCGTTTGTGCTGATGTATTAAGTGCATTTCACCAATACTTGACTTCGGCTCAAACGCGAAGCTTACTTATGATACAGTAAGGGTAATGAATTCGCAAACCAAGCACAACTTTAAAGAGCCACGCCTGAAGACGGGTGTGGAAAATGGCATAATTTGGTCTCAAATTGGGTGAGTATTTGGAGAAGTGGCCGGTACACTCCTCATACTAAGGAACTGCGTAGGGTACCCACCTTCCCCCCCCCCACCCCCTTTTTTCCAGCACTCGCCTTCAGTTAGCCTTTGTTGGCTGCCCAAATAATACCAGCAATTTTCTACCACCCCGATTACATTTAGACATGTCGATAAACGTCTACCGTCTTAGGTGAAGTTTGAAAAATGAAAATTCATGAATTATCGTTAGCTTTTTAATTGATATTACACTAGTGTTTCACAGGAGGAGCTTCATTATTTCACTACCAATGCAACTACTACTCAAGCAAAAAAATTATCGTAACTAAATTGATCCTTTGTCAAGCTACACCTTAAATATAGAGACGTGAGCAAAAATAGGAAAGCAACAAGATTCCTAATGAAGACACCTTCACCGAAGTTGCCTCACTCTTCGGTTTTCGTGGCTTACTGGTAGGCTCAGACGGGGAGATCTGTTCAGCGATTCTTTTCCCTTTCTCGTCTCCACTTAGATAAGCTCCTTGCATGTAGCCGAACCACTCATCGTGTGTCGCTTCGCCAGCAAAGTACAGTCGTCCCAGGTTTTTTCCAATGTTCTTCCAGTCTTCAGAAGTCATACCCACCACTGGCTCTGAAAATGCGCCTTGTGTCAGCGGTTCCTTTGACCAGCGGTGATAGTATATATCTGAAGAAAATACCGTGAAAATACACTAATTTTATGTTAAAGAACACAGCTGTAGAACGTTCAGCCGTGCATTAGTTCCCCGCGCAAGAAAGAAAGCAAAGGGAAAAACCGTTGTCACGCAAAATTTCTTTACAATTTTGCAGTGTAGCTTCACCGAAAAAGTGAAGTGCTTTTTAAACGCCGTAACTTACTTGCTTGTGTGGTATTTAGACTTTTAAGACAACTCGGGACTAATACAGTTTGACTACCTCTCGGCCGTTTCAGCGTTCGCACTGTGTAATATCTCCAGCCACACTGTCATTGTGCTGACAGTAAAGATTAATTCTTGTTGCAAAAGAGCTGACCACAGCCAATAAGACTAGCCACCTTCTACCAGTGTAGGCATTTAAGTATTGTTTTTTTGTCTTATAATCCTGAACTTCTTAGTTTTTATTGAATCAAATCCTGTAAAAAAAAAAAAACAGGCAAGCAGTGCTTTTGAATGATCACAGACTATAGCCCTTACCCGTAGCTTCAGGGACGCCCTCTCCATAAACCTTCCGCAGTATTTTCATGATCTCTGCCTTTGTTTCATTAAATGATTGCCCCTCAATCCTTCGTCCTTCGGTTCCAGTTACCATAATTTCTAACATTCCGCTGTCGACGGAATATACCCCGGGTCTTGACAGGTCCTGCCACACAGGGAAACGCCCGCGCTCTTTGGAAGCGTACAGAATATATTCGCGATCATCCCAGAACCTTTTTGGAAATTTCAGGTAAATTTTTGTGTATATCGATAACGGGTTTTTATAAATGGCCTCTTTTTTCCAATTTGGAAGGGCTGGCTCGAAAGTAACCAAGTCGCTGGCCAGAACTCCAGAGCTGAATGTGCAAAGAGCGTAATCTGCCTGGTAACTCCAACCATCGGAGGTCTGAGCTTCAACTGAATCCGGGTTCAGCTTGATTGTTGTGACAGTTTTGCCCAATAAAGTCTTCTTTTCCAGTGGCTTATACAGATCTTCAAACATAGACCACACTCCTCGCTCATCAGTCACCAAGAACTCTTCTCCAGGAACAAACAAATTGTAGAAAGAAACTTCTTCTGGAGGTTTTGCGAACTCATAGTCTAATTCAAAATATTCAATGGCTCTTTCTATGGGCCGTTTTCCTTCCCATCCCATCAGTCGAAGACCAACGCGGGCAGGCATGTCGGGAAAGTTCTTTGTTCTTCTTTCATCTTGGAAGTCTTCAATTTTGTTTGTCACTTTGTCATCAAACTCATGAAAAACAGCAAAATCGGTGACATCTCTGCCATCTTCGTCCCTACAAAATTCATGAGAAATGACGGTAAAAAGTTCAAAGTATAACCAAATGTCAACGCAAATTTTCATCTCTCTGTTTAATGGTCTCCACGAGGAAAAAAAAATTGCAGTGAGTCCCTCAGAAACTCTTATAGATTATGGCATCAAAACGTTTGAGTAATTAGTTTGGTAGCTACTTAGTTGGTTAGTTTGCTTGTTTGCCTTGCTTTGTCAGGTATTGTCTTTTAGAGTAGTGCTTCCAGACTCATGACTGGAGCTTACATATTATCCATATACAGTTAAGTTTATCTATTCAATCGTCTCGGAGCGCGGGGCGTGGAGCGCGGGGCGCGGGGCGCGGGGCGCGGGGCGCGGGGCGCGGGGCGCGGGGCGCGGGGCGCGGGGGACAGCTAGGTGCCGATCAATATCTCAAGTCTTGGGTTCATATAAAGGGTAAAGAAATCGAGGCTATCAAGCCTTTGATTTACATCTTACTAAGATAAGCAGACGGCTACAGAGTTCTCTTTGTTAAGATGGAAAAAGTTTAGCTTCAATGCTTTGTTGGTTTTCTTTATTTTACAAGTAATTTTTTTACCTAAAAGCAGTGTAAAATCCTATATCTAGAAAGTCATGTTCGCAATGTTTTTTAAATTAAAAGGTTGTCCTTTTTCATAATTCAGTTCAAGCCCTTCCTATTTTGCAATTTTTCTAAAATGTTCAGCTTAATCGAAGTTAAAGCAACCTATCTTACCTCACAATAATGTTTGAATAATTATATTTGTGAACACGAACACCTCTCGCTTCCTTTCGTTCCACCAATGGTTTGGTGTCATCTTCATTCACAAAGTGAATCCAGTTTGCTCCCGTTTCAATCGTGTAGTTTGCAAATTTCACAGCATGTATTCTACCCCCAGTGTAATTCATCCCTTCCAGAATCAGAATGTCGGTGATGTTTCTGTCCAGTAGCGTTTTCGCTGCTTTAATTCCAGCGAGTCCAGCGCCAAGAATAAGGACTTTAGTTTTGCTTTGTTTTATTGGTGAAGACAAAGATCTGTCCACCAGAAACAGAAAACTCACAAGCAGGATGACCTTAATCATGATGTACATTCTGTGAACAATGAACAAAGAAACTGATGATCAAAAGAGGATAAATAGCTCCTGAGGATTATTAAACTGGAGAAATATCCTCCTATCACAATTCCGGAAAGAAATGTAGCATGTATTTTCTCTGCGTCATGAGGTTGCTTAAGCGTTGTCAATTTGGTGTTTTATTTTGTTTACAAAGTATGTTAATTATATTCTGGACATTTCTATACCAAAGTCTGATTCTCTTTTGAAGTTTTAAAGAACCTTTCAGTGGCATTTTGATTAAAATTTCTGACTGCCGGCAATTTAGTCCATTCAAGACCGAGCAAGGCAATTTGATTAGGGGCGTAGTGACATCAACTGAGCGGTGTTGTAGTATGCACAAGCTTTCTCTATTAAAAAAGCAAATCAAAGTTTGGAATCGCTTTACTTTTCTAATTAAACATCTAATATTCTTAAGAAGTTTGAAAGAACGTTTCGGTTGAAATTCTGTCAAAATTTCTGACTGCGGGCCATTTAGTCAAATTGAGACCGTTCCCGGCTGCCGGGCATTTAGTCGTAGCGAGTTATTTATGCCTGCTCAACCCCTGACAATGGGTCCTGCGCAGAGGTCAAAACTTAATTGGCTTCCACTGTTGAGAGTCCTTATGGCAAAATATTTCCACTCCTGACTGACTGTGAGAAAAAATGAAACTCCGAGATTCCGGGAGCATAATGTGGAGGACAAGACTTATGACGCACGCCAAATTTCAGCGAGTTTCGCCTTCTAGAGATGATCAACTTTTGGAGAGTCATTTTTCCATCACCACGACGCATTTTAAAGCTTTTCGAAAAGCTCTCTTGAGCGTGATGGGGCGAATGAGTACTCCATGCAAAGAACCGAAACCATAACAAATGCAAATATCTTTTCTGAATTTTCACAAACTTCGATAAACAGCTAATATCAAACTCATGAAAAGTGGAAGCAAGGCTGATCTGTAACTTCGTCAGAAACTTCCTCTACATCTTTTTTTAGGTTAAAAGTGCATTTTAAAGCTTTTCGAAGCGGCTCTCTCGAGTGTGATGGGGCGAAGGAGTACTTCATGCGTAAAGAACCGAAACCATAACAAATGCAAATGTATTTTTAACTGTTCTGGATTTTCGCAAACTTCGATTAACAGCTAATATCAAACTAATGAAAAGTGGAAATAAGACTGATATGTAACTCCATGAGGAACTTCCTCTTAATCTTTTATAGGTTAAAACTAAATATACCCCAAAAGCATTGATTTCAACACATTCGTTACTGACCCACCTAAGGCACCGACCTTTACGTGATCTGATCGAGATAGTTTTCTGTGGTAGCATAACAACATGAAAATAGTATGATTGTGTTAATGCTTCAACCAACTTTTGTACCTTACTCACAATAGTCTCATCCGTAGCGGGTTTGATTCGTCACCTGAGTTTTTCACTGGACGAACTGACCGACCTTAAGTGTGTTTTTAATCAAAACATGTTTTGTGCGTGGTCACTTATTGACCTCCATTTGATTTACATTAGAGCTTCACTCAATCAAGAGGACCTCGAGTCCCCCAAGCCAGCCACATTTGTCGACTTAGCTTCTTATCCAGAACTCAGTGATCAACAAGATTTCGTACGCCTAAACGTCTAAAATTTTGTGAATTTACGCTTTGATATTTTTAAACGCATAACAGCGAAACCACCCCAAAGTCCGTAAGCTTTTGCATATAAATCCGTATAAGTATTTTAATTATTTCAGGAGAAGAGAGATTTAAGTAAGGGCAAAGTACAATTTACTTACTATAGTTTGACGCGTCTCGATCTTTCAAAGTTTCTTCTCTAAGTTTGCGATGTTTTCATGCAGATCATTCTGAAAATTATGCAAATTATGTAAGACACTCATCGAGGTAAGTGCAAGACTTGGCATGTTTAAGGTTTAGGAGAGCGTTACCTTCGTGGGTCCGGCGTCGCGGGTGAAAATTTTCGCGAGCAAAAAGAGGAAAATCGCAATATAATTGGCGTTTTAGCCTCCATTTGGTGCAAAAATATCTTTGGATATATGTCTACGACAATATTTGTTTTGAGAGGCAAATAGTTCACCGAGAAGAAAACGGTAAGCCTCGAGACAACTTTTTCTTCAAAGTTGATACAGGAATATATCTATCACAGGCTTTTTAATAGGAAGGATTTTGTAAAATGAACCTGTGTGATGGCGTTTACTTTTATTCTACTTCAAAGTCTGCTTAGTTACTTTCGAATTTTACTGCACCAGAGTACACTACTACATCTAGTGGGTCCTCTATGCAACACGAATGTTTCATCAAAGTTACAGTTATGTCACTCTATCAGTCAATAAGGGCTGCTCTAGGGCTATCAAGGCTAATAACAAATCTCTTGCCGGCTTGATGAATTGTTTACTTCCACACGATTATAAACCAAAGAGGGAGCAACAAGATTCCTACTGAAGACACTTTGGTGGGGTTGCCTCACTCTTTGGTTTTCCCGGTTTGCTGGAAGATTCACTTGGAGAGATGTTCTCGGCGATCATGTTCCCTTTCTTCTCACCGGTCAGGTAAGCACCTTGCATATAGCCGCACCAGTCTTCGCTCGTCGCTTCGCCAGCAAAGTACAGACGTCCCAGGTTTTTTCCAATGTTCTCCCAGTCTTCAGAAGTCATACCCACCACTGGTTCTGCATATGCACCTTGCGTCAGCGGCTCCTTTGACCATCGCCGATAATAGATATCTGAAGAAAATATACAATAGTTATGTCAAAGAGAGTACTTGCATCATGATGTGGAAGACCCGCAGACTCTAATGGTAAATATCTTTGTGCAGTGAATAAAACTAGCCAGAACTCAGTCTTTTAGGGTGACATTCCGATTGGTTCGTCTTTTCTTGCTTGTTTTCAGTCTAGTTTAGTAATAATCAAGGTTTTCAAGGCCACAATTTCGTGTCTTAATTTTGTTGCTTTCTGTAGGGATAATTATCGGCAAAGGAAGAGACATACATTTATTGAAACTATCACGAAATTATCTCCCCACCTGACAATATTTTTTTTGACAACGTTCAGAATGAACGATATGATATGCTGATTTCTGGTTAAAACGAACCCTGCAAAGCTGAACTATTGCCCTTTACCTGTCGCTTCAGGGATGCCCTTCCCGTAGATCTCTCTCAACATTCCCATGATCTCCGCCTTTGTTTCATCAAATGATTGCCCCTCAATCCTTCGTCCTTGAGTCCCTGTCACAGTAATCAGTAACATCCCACTCGAAACGGGGAAGATCCCAGGTCTTGACAGGTCCTGCCACACAGGGAAACGTCCGCGCTCTTTGGAAGCGTACAGAATATATTCGTGATCATCCCAGAACTTTTTTGGAAATTTTAGAAAAATTTTTGTGTAAGGCGATATCGGGTTTTTATAAATGGCCTCTTTTTTCCAATCAGGAAGGGCTGGCTCGAAAGTAACCAAGTCGCTGGCCAGAACTCCGGAGCTAAATGTACAAAGGGCATACTCTGCCTGGTAACTCCATCCATCGGAGGTTTGTACTTCAACGGAATTCGCATTATGCTTGATCTTTGTGATTAATTTGCCCAGCAAAGTCTTCGCTTCCAATGGCTTGTAAAGATCTTCGTACATGGACCATACTCCTCGCCCATCAGCGATGAAAAAGTCCTTTCCGCGCTCAAACATGTTGTAAAAGGAAACCTCCTCTGGAGGCCTCGCAACCTCGAAATCGAAGTTGAAATATTCAATAACGCTTTTTATGGGTTGTTCAGCTGACCATCCCATCATCTGCATACCAACACGGGCGGGGAAGTCTGGCTGGCCCTTCCTTTTTAGTTGGTAGTCTTCAATTTTGTGCTCGATTTTGTCATAAAACTCACGCAGAACTGCAAAATCAGTGATATCGTTTCCTGCTTCGTCTCTACAAAAAATAAAAACAATTGTAGGTTTGCAAGAGCAACAACTTTTGAACGTTTTATCGGCGTACCTTGGAGGGATACTCATCTCAAAATGGATATTCGAATTCAGTTTCCCCTCGATAAAAATTAAACCCTTGATATAGGATGAGAGAAAGAGGTGTCCATTCGATTCTACGGAAACCCGAGGCAAAATGAATTAGTCGTCACATGAATGCTATATTTTGCTAACATGTTACGGGTTAACCATATTTTATTTGTGTTAACCGATGATTTTCAACATGGACCCAGTTCATTACAGGGTTTTCACAAGATTTGCTACATAATCCATTGGATTTGTCTGGTCTTGTGGATAGCGTCATCCGCCCTTAGAAAAACCGGGACCTGTTGTCCAGCATTCTTGTTCCCAGATCATTCGATTTTAAAGTCGCTTTCTGAGAAAAACAAATTACTAATAACAAGAATAGCCCTGGAAACGAAATTAAGGGAAATGGAGTAAAGGATAATTTGATGGTACGGTCTATGGAGACTTGACAGGGGTGTGGATGTGAAGAAGTACGTTGTTTTCAGCTCTTTCAAATTTAAAATAGCTGAAACAAATTAAATAAATGCGATCGTACATTGTTTATGTTCACCTGGACGGTAAACATATGGAAATTGTGCTACTCGCAATTTTTAAAAGCCGACACACAAGTCGGACTTTTCCCTGCTGTATGAGGCGCGAGTTACCAGAGGAAGGGGAAGAGGTGCCCAGAGACCTCACAAGAGGTTTGTGCTCCTCCTCGTGTATAAGCCCTCTCAAAAAAATCTAGCTATGCACATTTCCAATTATCCCAACTGGCCTTGTAGCGCCTTACCTCACTAATATGTCTGAGTAATTAGAGGTAAGACCTTGCATTTTTTTTGCGTCCCTTCGATCCACGATAGGTTTGGTTTCTCCATCATTTACGAAATGAATCCAGTTCGCTCCCGTTTCAATCGAATAATTCGCAAACTCGATGGCATGTATTCTACCCCCAGTGTAATTCTTTCCCTCAAGAATCAGAATGTCGGTGATGTTTCTGTCCAGTAGCGTCTTCGCGGCTTTAATTC